AAGGCTGACTGCGCCCTGCCTGTCAAGCTGGTGAGTGAGCTTTCCTGCTGTCCTGCTGTCCTGCTGTCCTGCTGTCCTGCGTCTTTGCTCCTGCACTTTCCAGCAGTGTGAATAGACACTGTCCCGCACTTACCAGCCTCTCCCTCCTCCCTCCCCAACAGTACGAAAAGACGCTCAAGCGCTTCTTTGCGAGCGGGGCAGTGGGGACAGGCGGGTCTGAGGGAACCCACCTGCGCGCCTTGTCCTACATGGCGCGTGCGCAGTACGACGCCGACCAGCTGGCGCAGTGCCGCCGCTCGCTGCTGCTGGCCATGCATGTGGCGCCGAGCAACGCCGCCCTGCGGTTTAACGTGGCGGTGGCACTGCAGAAGATGGCGGTCACCGTGCTGAAGCAGGAGAAGCGCACGGCGGAGCAGGTAGGGAGGGGCGGAATGATTTCGGGGTACGACCAGGGGAGCAGGTAGGGTGGGAGCAGAGGTTGTGGGGAGTGAGCAGGGTGCTTGTAGCGCTGCAGAAGATGGCGGAAGGGCTGAAGGGCTGCAGGGCGGAAGGGCGGAAGGGCTGCAGGGCGGAAGGGCGGAAGGGCTACAGGGCTGCAGGGCGGAAGGGTCACGGTGCTGAAGCAGGAGAAGAGGACGGCGGAGCAGGTGGGTTATGATGGAGAGAGGGGGGGTGTGATGGAGAGAGGAGGGGTGTGATGGCGAGAGGAGGGGTGTGATGGAGAGAGGAGGGGTGTGATGGAGAGAGGAGGGGTGTGATGGCGAGAGGAGGGGTGTGATGGCGAGAGGAGGGGTGTGATGGCGAGAGGAGGGGTGTGATGGCGAGAGGAGGGGTGTGATGGCGAGAGGAGGGGTGCGATGGCGAGAGGAGGGGTGCGATGGCGAGAGGAGGGGTGCGATGGCGAGAGGAGGGGTGGGATGGCGAGAGGAGGGGTGCGATGGCGAGAGGAGGGGTGCGATGGCGAGAGGAGGGGTGCAATGGCGAGAGGAGGGGTGTGATGGCGAGAGGAGGGGTGTGATGGCGAGAGGAGGGGTGTGATGGCGAGAGGAGGGGTGTGATGGCGAGAGGAGGGGTGTGATGGCGAGAGGAGGGGTGTGATGGCGAGAGAAGGTAGGTTCTGCCACCCTCCCATTACTCTGAACCCTGCCCGTGCTGTGCTTGCCTTCCTCCTTCAGATTCGCAAGGTGGTCTCGGATCTAAAGACGGCCCTCCGCCTCTTCTCTCAGGTGCTCTTACTGATACCACACCCGTACTTGTGCTCTTGTTGCATGTATGTCGCGCCCAACAGTGTCTCACTGTCATGCGTTTTGATCTCAAGGTGACCCCGCTCCGCTCTTGAAGCTCCCCGCTTTCTGCAGTCTGCGTTCGTAGCCACATGTATTGTGTCCATTCACCACATGTATTGTGCCCATTCACCACATGTACTGATGCAAGCATGCAATTTAATTCATGATGGCATATGTGCACCTGCACCTGCATGTGTATGTGTCACTGCGTGTGTCGCAGCTAGCAGCAAGGGGGGTGCAGGGAGCGCAGGGAGGCTTTGACAGGAAGAAGGCCAACTCGCACCTCGAATACTGCCAGGTGATTGCAACAAGCAACGTGGTATTGAGCGCCGCCAGGTGATTGCCAATCAGTGAGTAGTACATTCTTTGTTCCTCACTCCTGCTGTGTGAATCTTTCAAAGCTGATCTCCCTGTTGACTTTCCGTATGCTTTGTAAATTCCTCAAAGCGTCTTTTCAATCTATGATCATGCTCCTCAACATGTGTGAATGCCTTGGCATGTGTTCCTTGGACCATCACCATCATCACCATCACCACCATCACCATCACCACCAGCATGTGCTCGGGTCGGCCAAGCAGCACCTGGAGGTGGCGGAGAGGGAGGAGCAGCAGCGCAAGGTCAGCTCGCTCTCTCTCATTTCACTTGCTGCCCCTCTCCCTCTCTCTCATTTCACTTGCTGCCCCTCTCCCTCTCTCTCATTTCACTTGCTACCCCTCTGGCTGTCTCTCATTTCACTTGCTGCCCCTCTGCCTGTCTCTCATTTCTCTTGCCGCCGCTCTCTTGCATTCCTCCCTCTCATTACCCCATATCTCATCCTCTAAAACCCTTATAGCGTTCACCCAATCCCATGACCAACCCCTCTCTCATCACTTCTCTCATCCCCGCTCTCCCTCATTCCTCCCTCTCTCATACCCCATGCCTCTTCCCTCCTGTAGCATTCCCACCCCTCTCATTCTCCGCTCTCTCATTCTCCCTCTCACGTTTCTCTCTCTTTCACCTTCCCTGCTCTCACTTTTCCGCGACTCCCCCATCCCCCATCCCCGCTGCACCGCACTGCACCCTAAACCCACCCCTTCCTTCCTGCCATCTCCAACCAGCACTGCCATACCATACCATTCCCCCTCCGCGCCTTTCTCCCGTCCGCCTGAGGCAACAGCAGGAGGCTGGGGCTTTGAGAACCTCAATTTCGAGCCCCCACCTCCCCGCACTCCCCCTTTCACCTGTTCACCACCCGTGCAGCAACGGCTGGAGGCAGAGCGGCAGGTGGCAGAGGTGGAGGCAACGAAGAAGAGAGCAGAGGAAGATAAACTCATGGAGGTACGGCGCGGTACGGCGCGTGCTGATGGGGTTAGGATGGGTGCTCACAGTAAGTTTTGATGTGTGGAGGGAAGTATGGGTGGGTGATGGAAAGAGACCGTTCCGTATCCTTTTTTTATTTGCCCTCACTCCTGCCTCCCGTGCGTCACAACACAACAGGTGGAGCGCCAGAGGAGGGACGAGGAGGAGAGGCGGCTGCTGCAGCAGGAGGAAGAGATCAAGCGCCGCGTGGTGCGTATGTATGGCGCTCAATGTGTATGTATGGCGCTCAATGTGTATGTATGGCGCTCAATGCGTATGTACGGCGCTCAATGCGTATGTACGGCGCTCAATGCGTTTGTATGGCGCTCAATGCGCATGTATGGCGCTCAATGTCCTCTATGTGCTCAATGCGCTCAATTGGCTCGATTGCAAATCTTGTGAGCAACAGCTGCTACAGCACGAGTGAGAAATCCTAAAAGGCCTCTGGTGGGTCTTTTCGGATTAGTGCTGTTTTTAGGGCTCGAGGTTCCTCCTTTTGAGTTGACTCAAAAGTCACCTCTGGTGGGTCTTTTCGGATTAGTGCTGTTTTTAGGGCTCGAGGTTCCTCCTTTTGAGTCGACTCAAAAGTCACCTCTGGTGGGTCTTTTCGGATTAGTGCTGTTTTTAGGGCTCGAGGTTCCTCCTTTTGAGTCGACTCAAAAGTCACATCTGGTGGGTCTTTTCGGATAAGTGCTGTTTTTAGGGCTCGAGGTTCCTCCTTTTGAGTTGACTCAAAAGTCACCTCTGGTGGGTCTTTTCGGATTAGTGCTGTTTTTAGGGCTCGAGGTTCCTCCTCTCCCCTTGTGCGAGCCCTCTCTTGACTGCCATGTTCTTGCTCCCTTGGCCCACCCACCTTGCCGCTGCAGGAGATGTGGAAGCGCAACGACCGACCCAAGCCCGTGGACGACGACGACGAGGGTGGGGATCACGGCCGCGGGGAGGGGAGGAGCCGCAAAGACAGGGAGAAGGAGAGGCGCAAGGAGAAGAAACGGGACAAGCACCGGGATAGGGACAGGGACAGGGATAGGTCTCGGGAGAGGGAGGAGGATGGGGACAGGAAGGAGAGGCGGAAGGACAAGAAGCGCAAGAAGAAGAAGAAGCACCGGGAGGCAAGGGACGATGACAGGGAGGATGGGGCGGGGTGGGGCAGTGACCGTGGCAACAGGAGCGATAGGGAGGAGAGGGACGAGGGGGAGAACCCGTGGGGTGACAACGAGAGGGGGGAGGGGTCGGACGGGGAGAGGGGGGAGAAGGAGGCGGGGGGCGCAGCAGGGAACGGTGCGGGGGATGATGCCCTGGCTGCTGCTGGGCTTGTGGATGATGAGGATGAAGGGGGAGGGCACGCCAGGGGAGATGATGACGAGCGGGTGAGTGCCGTTCCCGTCTCCTGGTGCATCTTGCTCTTCCCTCGGTCGTGTGCATGGTCCTGAAAATGTGCGTCCGAAAAAAATATGCTGGCCGAAACCATCTCCACATCTGTAACTCCCTCCCTCCAATGCAGGGAGCTCCCTCTCGCAAGCGGCGTCGCCAGCTGGCAGATTCAGACGAGGAGGACGCTGCCGCACCTGCCAGCAGTCCACATGATGCCACAGAGGCACCCCACACTGACGATGCAGAAGCAATGCATGAAGGGTGAAGAAGAAGCACAATGCAAGCAAACAGCTGCATGAAAAAAAGCGATTACGGCTCGCATGCATGAAGCACTGTAATAGCGGTATCTATTGGGAATCATAAAATTCCCCCCATCGATAGATCCATTTATGGCTAACTGCATGATATTCTCGAGAATGAGCTTGTTTAGCATAACTTCGATGTAGCAGATGTCGCATGCTTCAGGGAGCGTTCTAACATTAGTTTCGGTCTTGATTTGCTTCCTTGGTGTGTTACAACTCGATTGCATCTTGTGCAATTTGTAATCTCTTTCCCATGTCATTTTCTGTAAAAACATTCGATATTTCAGTTAGATGACTAAGACTCCAATTGCGCTTACAAGCTCAGACGTCGCAAATATAAAGATCCATCGTCTACAAAACATGATACGATACTCCAATTACAAAGTTGCCATGCATGATCTGCATCAACTGCAGCTGTCAGCTCCTTCCCACTTGTCATGGACACAATGACTAACCACCACCCAACACCACCCACCACCACTCCCCACCGCCAAGGTGGAGTGGAGGGTAAGGCAGGAGTGGCAGCCAGCTTCAAACTCGCCTTCTATCTCGCTGCCAACATACTGCTATCCAGCTACCACTGCCATTGACATCACACCATGTCATGGCAGGGCACTATCACTCCTCACTAGCACCCCACCACCACCTGTGACCTCTCCCCCTCCGCACCACCAACACAATCAATGTGCACTCCCCCTCCGCACCGACAACACTACCATCACTTCCCACCACCATCAGCTTGGCTTGACAAAGGTTGAAAACCCCAGAGTGAACCATGGGGGGAGGCAGTGGAAGGGGACGACACCCCCTGAGTAAGGTGAGAGCAAGGCGGGGAAAGGGGCTGAAGCCCCCAAAGTAAGGCAATTGAGAGGTAGGAGAGAGGGTTGAAACCACCAGGTTCAAGTGAGCAAAGGGCAGAGGGAGGGGGTTTCCCCTGCCCTTTGCTCTCATCAACCTCAAGGTTTCAACCCCCTCCCCCCCCTGCCCCTCAACAGCCATACTCTGAGAGCTTCAACCCCCCTCTCTGCCTTGCCACCACCTTACTCAAAAGGTTTTTCCCCCACCCCCCCCCCTCCACTGCCTCCCCCTTGGCTCACCCTGAAGATTGTGTTCTTAGCACCACTTCTTCCCTTCACCACCTCCCACCACCACTCTCCACCACTCTCCACCACCACCAGCAGTGGGGCTGAGGGCCAACCCCAAGACCTGAGCCCCTCACCGACGTGGCTAGAGGGGACACTCACACCAGAACACCCCGGCCGCAGGGTCTGGTGCTCGTCCATTAAGCCTTAAACGTGCGGGTATTGGGCCCAAGCTTGAGATCAACCCCCAACCCCACTGCTCACCACCACCACCACTTTCCACCACTCCCCACCGCCACTTCACCCCACCGCTGCCACCACTTCTTACCACCACCACCACCCGAGGCTAGCTTCCACCACCAGCAACACCTGTGAACGGGGGGGAGGGGAGGGAGGGGTATTAATAGTGGACCAACCGAGGGTAAGAAACGAAAAGAGCTAAAAGCGAAACACCAAGTCAAGCATGAGAATTGGACGCACGTGAGGTTAAGCCATAAGGTTGGCCTTACCTCCGCAACAGCCAGCCAGCCCCAAACTCCGCCTTGAAACCACCAGCAGCAGCTGCAGCCCCAGCAGCGTGGCAGCCCAGCGGCAGCCCAGCAGCAGCCGTCCGGAAGGGAGAGCCAGTGGGGCGGGTACTGGACCAAGCTAGGAGGAGCAGCGAGGGGGACCTGTGGGCGGAAGGGGGCGAGGGGGAGGGAGGGAGCGGGGGGATTAGTGAACCAAACGAGGGTAGAAAACGAGCAGTGCTCAAAGCGAAACCAAGTCAAGCATGGAAATCGGATGCAAATGCAGGAGGATTGAGTTAGAAAATTGGCCTTACCTTCGCAGCAGCTAGCCAGCACCGCACTCCGCCTTGAAACCCCCAGCAGCAGCGATCCGGAAGGAGGGAGGGGCAGTGAGGCGAGTTCTGGTACCAGCTGGGAGGACCGGGGAGCGGGGCCTGTGGACAGGGCGGGGGGGGGGGGGGGGGGGGGAGGGGGGGGAGGAATTAGTGGACCAAATGAGGGTAGAAAACGAGTAGTGCTTAAAGCGAAACCAAGTCAAGCATGGAAACTGGATTCGAATGCTTGCAGAACGAGTTAGAAGGTGCCTTACCTAGGCAGCCAGCCAGCTTGCCCAGACCTCCGCCTCGACAGTCACAGCAGCAGCAGCAGCAGCAGTCCGGAAGGGAGAGTCAGTGAGGCGAGTCCTGGTACCTGCTGGGGGGAGCAGGAAGGAGGAGGGAGGGAGGGATATACCACAGTGGGAGTGAGTGGTTGGTAGCAGCGGATGCAGATGCAGAGAGGGCGGAACTGCAGTCAAGGAAGGCAAGCATGCACGAGCAAAGCTGCTGTAGCACACCCAAGGGGGATTACCTTTGGCTTCGAAAGTTTTGCACCCGTAATGGGGGGATAGTCTGATCCTCATACAGAGGGGGGGGGCCGCTTGGGTGTGCTACAGGCAACTGGGGCGACGATGAATGCACCAGGCACATGCAAGCGAAACGGCAAGGTGCAAAACGGTCAGAGGCGAAGGGATAGGGTGTGTGACTTATCTCCTTTCTGCCAGTTGAGGGGGCGGATTGGCAGCAGACCACAAGGGCGTGTCAGGTCGTGCTCCTCCCCTCTCCGCTGGCCAGCGAGTCCTGCACACCCGAAGCGGGAGGTGGAGGGGGAGGCGGAGGGGGGAGTAAAGTGAGTTCAGAGGCAGATAAGCGAGCAAGGGAGGCGCGCAAACGAGAGACATGCACGGAGGAGCGGCGGGGGTGAATAAAGGGCTGCTGTAGCACACCTCAAAGGGTGCCTTGGTTAGAAAAAAAATTGAACCCGGGGGGGGGGGGGAAGGGGAAGGGTACCTGCACCTTAGTCTGAACCTGATACAGGGGGGCCCTTGGGTGTGCTACAGGCAGCTCGAGTGGAACGGAGTGGCGGGAGATGCACGAGAGACGCCACGCGCATGCTGGAAACGGAAGAGCGGCAAGAGCAGGGCAAGTGGGGGCAGGACGAGGTACTTAGCTTCTTGCTGCCCGTTGAAGGAGCTCGACAGGCGCAGTGGAGCACACGGGTGCAGCAGGCGGCCTTCACCTCCGCGTGCTCGTGGATCTCGTCCTCCATGCTGCCCTTCCAAGTCTCATAGGGGGACCTGCGCACCACAGGCGGAAACCAAGTCAGTGCAGACCCCTCTGAAAACAAGTCAAGACGGAAACGAGTGCACAAAGCAGGAAGGGCTTGAGTCAAATGAAGTGCCTCACCTTAATGTAGAGGCATCCCCATGCTCTGCTCGTGCTCCCTTAGCTTCTTGCTGCCAGTCGAAGGAGCTTGTCGGGCGGAGTGGAGCATAAGGGTGCAGCAGGCGGCGGCCCTTGCAGAGTCTCCAAGCCCCTTGCAGAGCCTCCAAGCCCCTTGCAGAGTCTCCAAGCCCCTTGCAGAGTCTCCAAGGGGGGACCTGCGGGCCAGAGGGGGAAACCAAGTCAGTCAAGGTGATTCAATACCGAAACGAGTGCGGAATGCATGGAGGGCCGGGTGAGTACAAGTGCTTTACCTTGCCGAGATGAGATGAGACGCCATCCCTTAACACGGGAACCGAAAAGTCCTAAACACGGGAACCGAAAATAAGGCGGCCTGGATGGGTGAACGCACAACCCGAAACCCGCCTACTTTTCAACCCAACGAACAGGTCTGGCTCTGACGGAAATGAGCGCGACTGTTTGATTTGTTCAAGCCCTCTCCATTATCCGATGACTCAACTTTCTGTACACTGTACTTACTTTCTTAAAATGTCTAATCTTATACGTTGATCCCAAGATGGTGTCTACACAAGAATGATCTGAAGTACGAGATTAGTATACCACTCGGGCATACCATTCATACTGCTAAATCTGGTTACACCCCTTCCCCTTCGCAGCTTCAATCTGGCGAGTCTTGTCACACCTTGTTACACCTGTGGCAATCCCCACATACAACGAGAATCGTGACTTTCTTGTGTCCCTGTGTTGGGCTGAGAAAAAAGCCCTTAGGATCTTCCAGAGACTAAGTCCCAGTTGTAAAAGGATGCTTGAGTAGTGCAGCGGAAGTTGCGTAGTTGAACCCTTGCACTAGTATGTGAGAGCAAGTGATTGATTAAAAAAAAAAACATACAGCTATATATAGAAAATAGGAAAGTAAAGCAGTTGTGGAATGCAGTTGAAAGAACGGTTATCGAGTCGCACAGCGACTCGATGATCGGTTCGGTTACCACCCTTGCAGTTGTAACGGTCAGTCGCAACCTCCGGTTGCGACCATTCGAGTCTTTCGTCCTTTCGTGTTCCTTCGTCCAACCTCCTCGTGTAACCTCCGTTGACTCGCGTACCCGATACGCCTTTCCTCGAGTGTAGTGTCATACTTCAGAAACGCTGAAGTCCTTGAGGTATTTCCAACAACTTGCAAGGTAGGTATGTCCAATCTACCATCAACTGCTCTTGCACTGTTGACTTCTGACAGCAATTCTAACTGCACCCACGGCGCCAAGATGTTGAGAGGCATTTGTCTGGGTAAATGGATGTGCATTAGCTGGGACTTCCATTAGTACGCCGCAATAGAAGTGTATCTGCAATCACACAGTTCCACAAATCAGTTATAACAGACCCGCAGCACATGGACACAAAGTAAACCAGCACACAACTTACTTTTCCATCAAAGGACCTTACTGGTGACACGTGCAGCAAGTTCCAAAACTTCGTACCATCCTTCCTGCAGATTCAGCAAAATATAAAATCAGCATGCAACTCGCTTCAAGGAAGAACAGTAGAACCCTGTGAAAGTAATGACCTGTAATTAAGAATCTGTACAGAGCATGACCTGCTCCCCTGTATGGCGTCTCGAATCTGAGTTGCACAGAAAAATCACCGCAGGGATAAAGACAACAGATCATACACAAACACCAGCAAAGAGGATACAACATTGCAAGTTTCACGAGAAACGGGAGCGAATGCAACTGTTGCATGCTCGACCGTTCATGCTGTCAAAGAACCAAAACAACCCAATACCTGCTGGACATCGTCAGCATTTGTCTCTGGCCCTTGAAGGAACCGACAATTCCTTCCCACCACTTCTGGCCAAGAATAACCTGACATGGGAGCTCTTCTGTTAGCAAATTTAAAAGACCGTGGGTTTGAGGAATAAAGAATGCCATGTTTTTTGGCACCTGTCATGCTCAAGAAAGGCTTGCTTGCATAGACAATTGGGTAGTCTGAGTTTGTTGCATCCACCCTGCACACATGCGGGAGTTAGGCTGGCTGAGTATCAGACGAAGAAATGCATGCTTCTGACGGAATGCACTAGACAACGGATGACTCACAGTACAATGCTCTGATGAATTCTTGCCAGAGACGTCAGAAGGGCTCCTGGAAGCTGAGATACAGAGTCAACTAAAGAACCTGCAGCCTGAGGACCTGCGCTCCTCTGAGCTGCTTCAGGTATCTGTAGGGACTCGCAGAATGATCCCCACTTTTCTAGTGCGAGCTCGGCAGATAGCTTAGCAAGCGACTCGTATTCTTTGAAAGCTATGTCGTCATCTGCAATCCAAACACAGATTACACGGGAGAGAAAGCTGGGATTTATAACCTTGTCATTGCAGAAACGCTTATCTCACCTTCAATATACTACGACCTAGAGCGATGGCTGCTCGATGGCTTCTTCCTTCCCCACTTTTATAAGAATGGACGCAGGCTAGGTCGCTATTCGTAAGCTAAGCCGCAATCTGAAGGCCACAAGAACGTCATGTGCAGGCTGGATCGCAAAAGGCAGGCTGGATTCACAGGCAATCTGCTAACGCAACGCAACACGGCCAATGCAGCCAGCCAGCGAAACTGCTTACCGTTTGGGGCGACATGTACAGAACCGGCACATGATTTGTCAACAGATGTGGGGCTTTCTCCGGAGGCCAACGTGGTTGTAGTCCGCTCGGACGTCTCGAACCGTGCAGGCAAGCAGGTCTGCACGCCAATATAGTGCGCGAGCACATTCTTCGGACCCATACGGACAGGCGATATCTGGAAAAGGTTCCAAAATGGAGTTCCATCCTTCGTATAGTTAAGAATTTGAACCTGACATGAAGCTTCGTTCCTGAAAATTCAGGAAATGGCTAGTGTCAGGTGCCAGACTTACGGAGCATAACGCGACATAGCGACGATGGACAAGCCACTGACCGAATAGCGTCACGAATCTTCACAACTGCTCCTCTATCAGTTCCCGGACCCTGAAGGAATCTGCAGTTTCGCCCAAGCACCTCCTTCCGGGTGTATCCTGTCAGCTCGAGAAAGGCATCGCTAACGTAGACGATGGGGTTGTCCTGTTGTTTAGGGTCCGTGACCACGAAACTGAAATTTAAGTCTTTGAGAACGCTAAGACTTCTCGAGGCTTTCTCGTCCGACATGGTATCGGCTACAGGCTTCATTCTGCAAAAAGACAGAAGGATGCCTCAGAGGAGACTGGCTGCTCGAAACAACAGAAAATCCTCACCTCTCCTGAACAAGCTTGTTCACACAAGAACACCATCAGAATTCGAGCAGGAGTGACGATGACGTGAACAAGGGAAATATGTGGTGCAGAAGCGCGTAGGGGGGGAGGCGAATTCTGCCACATCGCCCACAAGCACCCTGCGGGTGACGTCAGAGGGACGCTTTCCGCTACAACACCAGAGACACGAAACTATTTGAAGTGCATTTACAAATGCACTTCTTATATTTCATTAAAAAAATCCGATGACTAGCCAAGGGCATTATCCAGCCCAAGAAACACAATCTTACAAGTGGAGCGCCAGACACAGGCGGGCCAGCATTTCTACAACCAGCGGCCACCACTGTCCAATACCTAGAAACTGGTGAGGGAGCAATGACATACAAAAGCTGTCACATAATGAAGTTTAGTTAGTCGGAGCCATCAGTTGAATGGCCGGACTGACATGCCTTACTCTGTGGGAGAACCACTAGGGCTGCTGAAGGGTCAGTCAAAGAAAGACTGAAGTAACATCATGCTGCTGGAGCTTCAGCTTCCTTCTTATCATCATGCATACGGACAACCACAACAGGGCAGTCACCTGAAACATCACAAATCAAGGGCAGTGCACATTGCAACCATATCTCATCAAATCGACACAAGTCATCGAAGGGATTGTGAGGAAAAAAACAGAAAACAATTAATTTCACAACTTACAATGGTGGACACAGTAGTCGCTGACACTGCCCAGACGAGCCTTTCTTGAGCGCTTCTCTGCACCAAACCCCCTGCTTCCCATGATACAGGCATTCACTCCAGCTCGCTCCACCTGTGATCAGCCAACAAGGAGTAGTGGTGATGATTTTGAAGCAAATGCAGGACGCAGAACAAGCTGCATGACGTGAAAGTTGAGTGACCGTTAAGAGACCTGGGTTTCCTCGCAATTCCATAGTAAGTTGAAGCATTCGCAAGGCATGCACATACTCCGTACCTCAAGGCAGATGCGCTCCTTCATGTCATGATCCTTAACAATATGAGTCTTGTAATGGATTCCGGCCTCTTCCAACGGAGCGGCAAGGTCTTTCGCCTTGGCGACTGTCAGCGCATCGAAATCGTCTTCCATCTTTTGCTTCGTCTCTTTGTCAGGAGCTTCTTCTGTAGTTTCCGAAGCACCCCAATCCGCGCCGTATAGCACGGAGGTCGGGCGAACATGTAACAACACCACCTGACACACAAAATATCGCAGGTTTACGAACCAACGACTCGAGGCAAAGTCACACTTAAAGAGAAAAAAGAAAGAGAAACCAGAGATGCAACACTGACACCATTTACATGTCGATGTAAAAAGAAATGTTGCACCTTACTGATATGCTTTTATGGTTCCAAGTTGCATTTATTACGAATTACTCGTTTATCAAGAACTCACATGGTCTGAAGGGCGAAGGTAGTTCTTGACAGCCCATTTGACCGCGTGAGCGCTCTCATCACTTAAATCCACGGCTATTGCAATCTTTCTTGCTGGCTCCATGGCCCCGCCTCCGCCTTTACCAACTACCTCTGGGGATCGCTGCCGCTTCTTCGCGGCCCCTAAGCCTACCTCTGGAGCCTCTGTAGCCGCCACGTCGGCGAGTGCACAAATCGATTATCTACCGGGGTAAAGGATCGTCTAGAAAATAGAAGCTACTTGCATGAGGAATAGGAGACAACCATACACAGCGGAAGAACCCCAAGCGTAGCTGCGGACTCGGAACTGCGGAATTAGTTGTTTGCTATGGAGAAGTGAGAGAACTACAAATTAGTTCTGGATGGAATGTCATTTTCAGGAGTTGGGTGGAGTTCGTCGTGGCTCGAAACAGTGAATTCCAGTCACTCCTGCGAAAAAACTGCGACACAGTTTCCCATGAAATTGGCTCATTGAAATTCGCAAAATCGCTTGCGTCTGCGATTTCGCGGATAACAACGTTTACTTCGGGCCAGCTCACGGCATCCCTAATAATATTCTGATGAGGTGGACTGATGCTAGTCCATGTCATGGTGTAGCTCCAGCGCATTGCTGAAGAACACACAAGATGAGTGATCAATACACTACTGATGAAACTTTCACCTACAGAAAATTCTCTCATTTTGTTACACCCCAAAACCGTGTTCCGTTTAGGCTTGAAGCTTCAGCCGGTTAAAAAGAATGAGGAAGTGCCTCTCCGGTAACGAGAATACGAACCCGAGTTCAGCACCATTGGTGTGACGTGAGCCCTGCCAATTCATGACACCAAGCAATATGAATGCTCGTCAATAACTCAGATCGAAGGTTTTTGAAATTAGCCACAGAGCACACAGCCAGAAAGAGCAGGCTAATAGATATATAGGGGATGGGATGAGTGAGAAGGCTCACCTTTCCATCAAATACAAGAAGCTCCCCATCAACCCAGCGAGGGTTCTTAAACCCCGGCTCTGCCAGCTGACCCTGCCCAGGGTACCTAGCCACCTGGAAAGACACAACACACAAAGGGCACAGAAGAAACACCAGCCAGCCCCCAATGAGCTATGTATCATGCGTACTCCACACAGGTGACGGATTGTGAGAAGACCTACTGCATCCTGCACTCACTCACCACGCCCAGCTCATCAGGGTACACCCCTCGGTACGGCATCTGGCAGTGCCGGCCAGTTTTTGCCCGAAAGGAGACCTGCAGGCAGACAAACAGCCCCACACAAGGCGGCACAGATATCACCAATCCGCGGCCAGCCATATCACAGCAGGTAGAAGTTTCAGCCGGACATTCTGGCAGAAAATCATGTCAAGTAGAAAGGCATGAGTCGGATACAGAAGTACCCCCAGTGAGAGCTCACCTTCCCTGCAGGCACGTTGAAGTCGCCTGTGAGCTTCACCCCCTCCACGTACTCAAACGGCGGCACCAGCGATCGCCCGCCTTGCCTCCTCGTCCTCCCAGCCCCCTCCCCATCCTTGGCCCCCTCACCCACCCCTCTGACTAGCCCCTTGCTTCTCAATATCCGACCCCACTCCGTGCCCTCATCGCTTGCAGCAGAAGTGATAGACTTGGTTGGATCAGCTGACTCGGCTGACCGGCCGCTAGTGGTGCTGCTGTCTGCCTCCCAAGCCTCAGTCTCCTCCTCAGGCTCCTCCCACGTGCCAAACCTCCGCCGGACCTGAATAGCCTCAGAAGTGTACGGGCCATATGCACCCACGTATAGCCCTGGCAGGGTTAGCATGGGAGAGAGGAGAGACAAACAGGGGTAGGGAGCAGTGGAGATGTCGAGTGAGGTGAGCAAGTGTTTAAATGACAGGTGTCAAACCACACGCACTCAAGAGCGCTTCAAGCTGAAGGGGCCAAGCAGGGGCCCGTAAGGAGCAAGGAGAGAGGTGCACGCACCAGCGAAGGGGTCCGTGTTGGCATCAGCGACATTGATGCGCGTGAAGGCGGTGGTCCTGGGGAGCGTGTACCGCCTCCTCTGCACGTGCTGCACCGCCGTGCGGATCAGCTGCGCCACGTCCTTGTCCTTGAACACCTCCTGGCGGGCGGTGAGCAGCAGAGAAACAAGCAGGCGAAGGGGGGGGGTAAGAATCGAGGATGGGGCAGGGACAAGGGCTGCACGTGCTGCACTGCAGTGCGGGTCAGCTGTGCATCGTCCCTGTCCTTGAACACCTCCTGGTGGCGATGGCGGTGATGGTGGTGATGGTGGTGATGGTGGTGGTGATGGTGGTGATGTGATGATGATGGTGATGGTTCACGGCACACCGGGCAGAGGGAGACGGATAGAGGCAGCCATAAGATAGGAAACTAAGAAGGGGGGCACAATGGACAGGGCATGGAGAGGAAAGGGAATCACAGGGGCCCACGAACTAGAAAACAAGGTTGGAAAGGCGGACGAGTTGGATGAGTGAGAAAGGAACGGCAAGAGAGAGGCCTCACGGGTCCTGAGAAGCGGTCAACGCCCCAGAGCTGCTTCGCCACGTCTTCCGGCATCAGGTTGGCTGCTGCCCTCGTGGCCGCCGACGCCAGCTTCCCACTCACCGCCGCCGCCACCGCCGCTGACTGCGATGCGGACGAGGAGGAAGAGGAAGTCGAGGTGGATTGAGACGTTCTTGAGTCAGGCGCTGCCCCGCCTGCCCCACCACCTGCCTCGCTGCCCTCGCCCTCGCTGTCCTCCACAGTGAAGAGAAACGCGTCCCTCCCCCTCCACTCTATCCTTGCAGGGACCCTCGTGACGCTCTCCCCGGCGCCATCCCCAGGGAATACCCCGCCCACCACCACACGCACTGCAATGCCCTGCCGCCCATCCGCATCCTCCACTCCCTCCTCATCCCCACTCTCCGTACCCCCCACCCCTCCCCCCCACCACCGTCCCCGCCCCTTGTACTGCCTCTGGCGGAACCAGAGGCGGCAGAGAACCCCTCCCTTCCCAGCCCACTTGGAATTTCCTCACTGCCTCCTCCTCTGCTGCTGCTGCTGCTGCTGTTGCCGTCACTGTCACTGCCGCTGTCCCGGGCACTGGGAGTGCTGCTGCCACTCATTGTTCCCTCATCGGACATCCCGTGCCTCTCTCTGAACTCCCTCAGTCGCCTCAAATCCCGCTTTGACAGCTGACTCGCACTTCTCTGGTCGTCTCTTCCACCACCCCTGCTGCGGGTCACACTTCTCTGGTCGTCTGCATCGTCCCTCTCAGGTTGTGCTGGCGGCTGAGCTGCCTCTCCCGCCCCTGCTGCTTCAGCATCACTCTCACCAGCGATGCTGCTCCTCGGCCCCTCCACACTGCTCTCCCTCCCTCCACTCTCACTCGTGTCCCCATTGCTGGGATAGATCCTATCACTCTCATCATCTGTAGCATCTCCTTGTTCCGTTCTCTCACTCCCCCTCTCATCATCACTTGCACTGCTCCCAGACTTTCCCCCTTTGTCTGCCTCACCCGCTGCTGACGCTGCCTCACCTGCTGCTGACGCTGCCTCACCCGCTGCTGACGCTGCCTCACCCGCTGCTGATGCTGCCTCACCTGCTGCAGCTGCAGCAGCAGACTCCCTGTCCCTCGCTATCCTCTTTACAACGTCCTCCACTATTCGCGGGATGTCCGCAGTCCCCGGCCCCCCGGACCCGTCCGGTGCTGCCACGTCAGCAGGAGACACGACTGGGAAGACGCGCAGCTTCACATCTGGTAACCGCTCCTTGAAGAAATCGAGGACCCGCGATAAGCTATCATCGGCACCAGGGGGGAGCGAGGAGGCAGGGAGGAGGAGGAAGGAGGGGAGGAGGCAGCAGAGGGAGACGGGGGAGGGGTGGGTGGGGCTGGAGAACGGGAGGCAGAGGATGCATCCGGTGGCAATTGAGACGCACTGCCGCTTTCTCTCTCCTGCTGCTGCCTGCTGCTGGCTGCATTCCCTGCCTGGCCATCATCGGCTGGGCTCTTCTTCCCCCAGCTGAACGAGATGGCATCCTGCACCCGTTGAACGCTGGATGGTGCCGGGGAAGGGTTTGATGGGACGAAGCTGATGGGCCAGACTCGGTGGCACTGCTGCTGCGGCTGCTTGCGGCAGTGCTGCTGCTGCTTGGGGCAGAGCTTCCAGAGCCAGTGCTCGTGGGAGCAGTGGAAGCACCCTTGGCCTGCGCGCTGGCTGTCTCGTGGTGCAGGTACACGGCCTGCAGGGGCAATGGCGATAGAGAGGGAGGCGGCATTGGAGAAGGGGGCATTGGGATGGTTTCGCAGTCATGCTGCAGGAGCAAAGGACGGCCTGCAGGGGGGACCGGATGGCAGAGCAGAGGCTCGGGCTGATAGAAGATAATGTGGGCAGCACGGAGTATGATGAGCGAGGGTAAGGAGTGCTCAAGGCACAAAGCAGTGCACACAGGTGCAGTGCAGCGCGCACCTGCTGGTCAAACCGCTTTGCGTTGGTGGCATGGCGAGCTGCATAGACCTCGAATATGGGAACGCCCTGACCAGCCACGGACAGCTGCCTGCTCACATTAACACAAGGACACACACACACACACACACACACACACACACACACGATTGGTTGGTAGAAATGGGGGCTTGTGAACAGGCATATGGAAGACAGAAAGCCACGTGCATGTCCTCTCGTGACCTGAAATCGGCCCTTCTTACGGCTTGAAGCGCTTACTTGGCAGTGTATGACTTGGCGAGCAGCTTGCCGTGCTGCTGAGTGACATGGATGAGTCGACCAAAGGGGTCCGCCGAGCCACTCTCGTCCAGCCCCGCCCACCATCCCACCTGGCCACCGAACAAGGGAGGAGCGCTGTCCAGTCAACAGCGGTCATCAGCTTAACCTCCAAGCTTGCACATCTATTGTGATGACGCATCCAGAGAAACTTGGGAAAATGCACCATCAGCTTGCGTGCTCCTTGCACTTGCCAAGAATTATCGCTGGCCAACACGCTCCCACTCAAATCGCCATTCTCCCTTCATTCTCCCTCCATTCGCGACAGCCTTCACTCGCACATCACATGCTCCCGCCACTCACCAGCCCAGCGCCTGCGTCGTCCCGCAGGTGCTTGGCATCGCTGTACCTTTCCTCTGCCACTGCCTCCTGCTCGCCGGAGAGGGAATGACGTGACGGAGGGAGAAAGAGTGGCGTGAGCACACATGGAGCTACGAGGAGGAAGAAGCAGGGAGGGAGAGCGCGTCAGCGTGGAGAGAAAAGTGGATGGCGCGTGGGGAAGAACGCTGAGGAAGGGTGGCATGAAGAGAGCAACTTGAAGGACTCTGCCCTCACCTTGAGCTCTCGGAAGACGGCCGCCATGGCGTCTTGCTCCTCCAGCGCGCGGATGGCGGCCTGCAGCTTGGCCGCTGCCGTGAAGTCCTCGTCGCCCACCAGGTCGTCCAGCTGGAACTGGCGCAGGGGGACGCACACGGCGGGCACGAGGGACGGAGATGAGAAGAGTGGCAGAGAGGAGCGGATGACAGGGACAGCGATGGAGATGGCCGTGAAGTGCACATCGCTCACGAGAGATAACCCACCTCATCCCCTTCCTCACCTGCAGCGTCGTCAGCATGGCCTCTCTCTCCTCCACATCAGCAAACACCCTTTCCCACCGCTGCCACGTCGTCTCCCCGGCCCCCTCCTCCTCTCCGCTCTCCTCCACCTCCACCTTCAACCCCATCCCTTCCTGCCCAAGCCCCCCCGCACCGCCGACGAGCCGGGTCTTGTCGAAGTAGTCCTGCAGCCGCTGGGCGGCCACCGCCACCATCCCCTTGAGCGGATCGGCTCCGGCTTTAGCGGCCGCGGCTGCTTCCTCTATCCGTCGCAGCCGATCATTGGCAATTTCCGCCATGCTGCTGCCGGCAAGCGAGGGCGGATCAGCGGATTCATCCGTAACAGGTTCAGCCTGCCTGGCAACATTTCTGTTTTTAATGGAGTCACTGGAATCGTCCGGTAGACGACCCTTGGCGCCGGGATCGCTCGCATCAGAGAACTTGCCGATTGGTGAATCTGTCGCATCCGCTTTTTCTTCGCGGAGCTCGTCGCCTGAAGGATTCTCCTTGGGATTCGAGACGACTCGGAAGAATCGGGAGGGTCGGACTTGGAAGAGCAGCGAGCTGCTACTGCTGAAGCCTTCTGCTGAATGTGGAGGAAATGCGTTCGCGAAGGCCGTGAGAGAGGCTTACCGCGAAGATAGGCTGACCATTTGACGCCGGAAGAGACGCTGGCCTGCTTGGAAGGCCTGACGGACGAATACACGGAAATTCTTTCCTACGTGATGCTGTCCGACACGTCTGCGAGTGTAAGGACGGTCGGAGCGCTGAGGAAGGTAGTAGGCGAGGCCTAAGTAGCAGGGGAGCGTCCAGGGTAAGCATGGCGATTGCGAAAGCGAAAGGCAACTAGTCCTAAGCACTAGACTGCCAAAAACAGAGGAATATCTGTAAGGCTAGTTACCAGGACGCATGCAGCATAGAATGAGACCGAAATTTTGTAGCTGGATGCTAATTAGTATCAAGCCATATCAAAGGTGAAGCCATAGAAAAAGAAGCGATCGATCTGTCAAGCAAAACCAGAGGGTGAGGGAATTTCCTGTGAGGCAAGTGTGCAGAGGCACGGCGGGTCAAGCCGGACAGGTATGGTATGGCAAGCTCGAGGGGAGGCGCTACGTTCGACGCTTCTAGACTGGTTGGAGGCTTGTTGCGAGGCTGTGCCTTTGCTTCGAGGCATTTTCCTCACCGAAGCAGCCTGCTCGGGGGAGCCAATTCAAGGGGCTGCTCCGACTCAAGCCTGCCTGCCAAAAGCGGTAAGCCCAATGTCCGGTGACCACGTGTCACCAACCAAACCTGACATGTCCCTCTACCAGTAACGCAAACACTGATGCATTCCGCACCTGGTGGTTCGGAGCACCTGTTGGTCCGGAACCCACAGCCTGCCAGATTCCCAATACCGACTGCCGCACCTCCCAATCCAAACCACGTCATGTGGCGCCATGGCGCCTGGCGCGCGTCTCAGCCTTTTCTCGCTGAAAGGATCCCTTCACTTCCAGACACTTCCTCAGCAGTCCTCGAGCTCCCAATTTTACTTCTGGCGACACTACGTTTCCACTCTCTGATATCGCCATGTCCGCGATGGTCTATTCGCACGTCGCCGTTACCCGCCTCCACTCCCTCTCCTCGTCACATTCCTTCTGCTCACATGGACCGACCAAAAGCGCATTCCAGCACAGTAATAAAGCCGCCTCTCCGCCGCCTTGCGCGCAATCATCAACCGCCCGCGCGTCGCTCCGCCACAGCTGCGCTTCTGCAGCGGCAATGGGGGGTCCCGCGGGCGAGGCGGCAGCGGAGATGGAGATCCAGGTATGCGCGGGGAAGAGCTGCCGCAAGGACGGCGCGCTGCAGACGCTCGACCACTTCCGCGGACTGGCGCCGCCGCACGTGACCGTGGACTCGTGCGGATGCCTGGGTGAGACCGCGATGGGTGGTGGGACATGGGGAAATGAACCAGTGGATCGGGATAGGCGAGTGCGAACGCATTCTCTGTCTCCCACTTTCCTCATCTTCTCGAGCACAGCTTCAACTTCGCCTGGCCTTCACACGCGCCCCAATTGACTGCACGAGGGGATGCCGTTACAATCAAACGCCTGTGCGCCTTACCCCGCGTTACAATCGCAGGGCGGTGCGGATCAGGGCCCAATCTGGTGCTGCTGCCGTCTGAGACGGTCATCAGCCACTGCAGCACGGCGGCGCACGTGGCGCGGCTGCTGGAGCGGCAGTGCGGGGGGGCAGCGCGGAGACGAATCTGGCGGCTCTGGAGCTCAAGGGCGCGGGAACGCCGCATTTGAGAAGGGGCGTGCGGACGAGGCTGAGAGGCTCTTCTCCCAGGTGGGTGCGCATCTGCTGGGGGACTGAAAGGGGGGCTGGGGGGAAATGGGGGGAAGGCCTGGGTTTAATGGTAAGTGGAAATGTTGGTGTGAGGTGATACTGAGGTGATACTGAGGTGATACTGAGGTGATACTGAGGTGATGCTGAGGTGATGCTGAGTGCGGGTGTTTCTCCGAATTTCCTCCTCACCGCCTCTCCATTCCCTCCTGCCACCATGCACACAGGCTATCGCTTTGTCGCCTGTAGGGGGGATGCACAACCTGCTCTGCAATAGGTGGGCAATACAATGCTGCTGTGAGCAGTTGATGCGTTTGAGAAATTTCCGTGTCCCCTTCATGCTGCAGTTGTCGAATGATTGTCTGGTTGCTGAAGCTGGTAGATTCTGAAAACCTCGTTGTATGGAATCCCGCATTTGCATGCGTGTTCTGCACCCATGCGATCGAAGGGCTGCTGCAAGGGTGGCATGTGGTAACCCCATGGGAGCACTAGAGGACGCTGATGCTGCTGCAGTGCTCAAGCCTGGCTGGTCATCTGTAAGTCCTGTTTACCCTTCCTCTCTCAAATCCGATTCACAGCAGCTTCTTTGCCACCCACTCCATTTCTCCCTTCCTCAGCGTCTTTCCATAGTCCCTCCTCCGTCTCCCATCCTCGATCCCTTTCCTCTCCCCTCCCGCTCCCCCTTCCCCTTCGTCCCACATGCCCCTCAGGCTGTGATTCGCAGAGCAGAGGCGCTGGCAGCGCTGGGGCGGGGGAGGGAGGCCCTGGAGGCATACCATAGACTGGCCGACACAGACGCCGAATTCAGGCGCTCAAAACAGTACCTGGTGAGCTTGGCTTCTGGCAGCTAGCTCACAGCATTCCGCCGGTGCAAGGGCAGCAGCGACTGCATACTATGGACTGTAAATGCACGATGCAGCTCCTCCGGAATAAAATACTCTTAAATCTGACCCTTTTGCTCCCCTGGCTGTCATTGCCTGATTTTGCAGCGCAAAGTGAAGGAGCTAGAGAGGGCTACGGAGGCAGCAGCCTGATCCACAGTGTTGCCTGGCAGTGCCGACATTGTGTTAGTAGTGTGTCGCCTTTGGGGTAGAAATATGCTATCCTGGACTTGTTGCCGGCTCACATGGTTGAGACACCTTAAAAGCGCATTCATGGCAAATAATTTGAAAGCTGTACGCACATCAGGGCTGCCCCATCAAGATTAGCACCATGTACATTCACAAGGAGTTCCAATGAAGCAGGAAATTTGGTTTGCTGCATGTGGCAGCTTTTATACAGTCCTTTCTCAAGTCCCGAAGTGGTCATGCTACGCGCTGCATCCTTTACACACTGCTCTCTAGGAGATGTGTGCAGCCTGCGAGTCAGTGATTCGGCTTTACAGATCAGCACAGGTCAGCTTTGGTTGGGCGCTGCGGATATACCAACATCCTACGGTATGTAAAGCACTTGTAGCATCACAACTGTCCGTGCATAAATCACATGCAGCACATCACCAACCACAGCAGCTTTTCTCCTAGTGCCTCCCCACCAAGGGCACCACTGCGGCCTCTAGTACATGCGGATGGTCCCGGCGATGCTGTCGTCCTTGAACATGCGGAACTTGATATGATTCAGCTGTGTGGTTGGACTGGATGCCATGATCTGGAAACAAGCATACATACAGCATGCAGATCACGAATGTCCTCCCATAAATCATAAACCTTACCAGCAACTCTCTGCGCCGTGTGCGTTTCCCCCACTAGCAGTATCCCCCTATCCCCTAGCACACGCCGTTGGTCTTGGCGATGCTGTTCTTCTTGAACACGCGGAACGTGCGCTGCCGCAGGGCTGACGTGTCCAGTGAGTGGCTGTACTCCAGCTTCTTGCCGGGCGGCATCAGCCGCGTGCCCGCCAACGGCGACAGCACGTACCCCTCGTCCGCCTCCAGGTTCCTCACAAGCTTCGTCCCCGGCTTGGGCACTTCCACAGCCACGGCCTCGTGCTCGGGCACAGCAGCAACGGCAGCAGCAGCAGCTGCAGCAGAGCCGGACGTGGGGAGGGTGCGGGGAACGGTGACGCCTCTGTCCTCCAGCATCTTCACTGTCATGCGCAGGTCGTTCAGGAAGCGGTCTGCCAGTGACCGCGAGAAGTCCTCGCGGACCAGCGCGCGCAGCATGGTGACATGTTCGAGGTCGGGCGCCATGGTGTAGGCAGGGATGATCCACCCGAACTGCTTGAGCATGTCAGCAATGTCGTACTCTGAGAAGGGGCCGTCCTTCTCCTTGAGCGCGAAGGTGACGAGCGGCACGCCCACGTCCTTGGAGAGGATGTCGAAGCACCCCATGTCCTCCAGGGCCTTCTTCAGGTACTGCGCGTTGTTCGCGCAATTGCCGATGATCTTGCGGTACCCCTGAGGGTGGCGGGATGGTTGGGGAGTGGAGGGACAGGGAAAGCAGGTGAGGGGGAGGTGGAAACGGCTAGGGAGAGAAGAGGGAGAGTGATGGAGACAGAACATAGGGGAGGAGGACAGGAACATGACGAAACGACGTTTTTCTAGATTGAATATCTCGACTGATTGCTCCACGTTTTACATTCAAGCCATTGGGCAGACTGAGTGAGAGCAGGGCTCACCTCAAAGCCGAGGCGGATGAACTGATAGTACTGCGCGATCAGCTGGCTGGAGCCTGCAGGAAACGGGAGGATGAGAGGAGGGATAGTACTTAATGCGTGGTCGAGGCTGCAGGTGGCTATCTGCTGCAAGCATGCTAGATGATGGGAGAGGACAGAGGCCTCTGCCTGAAAGATGGGGCGGCGTCCTTCTCAGCGCATCTTTCACTAGCATTGCAATTGCTGGACCCAAGCCCAACTCTAGCGGCTGCGTTTTGACGTTCCCGAGACCTTGACCCACCCACATCAGTCCATTCAAATTAATTTCCAGTCACCCAGCCAACCCCTCAGCCATCACCGAATCTCACCCCTCCATTCCCATTCCACTCGCCCCGCACCTTTGGAGAAGTTGAGCGTGAACGTGGGCTGGTCGGCGCCCAGGTAGTTGACGTGGAAGATGAGGTCCTCGGGGAGATCCGCCTTGCTGCGCCACACCACCCACCCCACGCCCGGGTACACGAGCCCGAATTTGTGGCCGCTCACGTTGATGGAGCGCACCGTGGGCAGGCGGAAGTCCCACTCCAGGTCCGGGTACAGGAACGGCGCCACGAACCCGCCGCTCGCCGCGTCCACGTGAATCGGCGTGTTCCACCTGTCACGCGCGGAGGGGGGCGCGGGGGGGGGAAGGGGGGCGGAAAAAAGGGGGGAAGGGGCGCGGGGGATGCGGATTGAGAAAGAAAGAAGGGACGAGCTTTGAAGGAAAGATAGGGTGATGTGGCTATATATATGGCTATATATGGCTATATGTGGCTATAAGTTTGTCTCTGAGGAGGGAATTGGACGGGAAGAACCACCAATGGAAGAGGGACAAGACCGTAAAAGCCCCTACATGCAGTCATCATGCGCTGCTCACCCCGTCTTGGCATTCTTCTCCACGAGCAGGTCGTTGAGGCGCTTGATGTCCTCGAATTCCCCGTTATAAGTGGACCCAAGAATGCCGCAGATGCAGATGGTGTTCTCGTCGACGGCGTCCACGGCCTCCTGCGGGTCCATCACGAACGACCCCTCCTTCACGTTCACGAACTTGGTCTCCACCTCGAAGTAGTTGGAAAACTTCTCCCAGCACACCTGAATGCGGAACAAGGAGAAAGGAGAGAGAACAAGGGAGAGAGGAGACATGATACGAGAAAGAAGAGAAGACGAATTTCCCAGGTCAAGAAGCTCAAGAGATACCTCAGCTTTCAAGAATCTCGTAGTTAGAGAATAATGCAACATTGTCATGTCATCCATTAACAGCAATAATACACTCAGCTCAAAAGCACGGAATGCGGCGTCACCTGGACTTCGGAGCCGCAGACGAAGTTGGGCTTGTCGTAGGGCTTGCCCTCCGCCTTGCGGCGCTCCTGCCACTTGCGCTTGAACGCGAGCCCCGCCAGCATGATGGCCTCTGACGACCCCACGCACCCCACGCCGATCGCGCCCTCTGCGTCGCCCAGGGGCGCGTTGAACAGATTCGCAATGATGTTCACGCACCGCTCCTGCAGGCGAGAAATAAGGACGCATTCACGTGGCATCGAAAAGGGATAAAACAAATGCGAGTCCTTAAAAAAAACCTCTTTCTGCGTTCCTTATTTCTCCCCGCAAGAATCTAAATGCAGTAACATGGATTTCAGGGAAGATCAGCCGCTCGATGTTACAGAAATCCATCAACTAGCTTTTTTTGAAGGACAAGTAGCGCATTTCCGACATTGTGCTGTGAATGCTTGCCTGGAGTTCGTTGGTGACGGCGTACTCCTCGATACTGATATAGTTCTTGTTGAGCGTTGAGCGACTCCATGATCAGCTGGTCGCACTCCTGAGTAGACTGAAAAGGCACCTCGTTACAGTGTCATACCTGGAGCTCGTTGGTGACGGGGTACTCCTCGATATTAATATAGTTCTTGTTGAGCGACTCCATGATCAGCTGGTCGCACTCGGGCTCCATCCACGTGGTGACGAACGACGCGAGGTTGAGGCGCGGGTTGCAGTCAAGCAGCAGCTCGTCGTGAATCATCTGGTACGCCGCCTCCTTGGGAATTCCATCCTGGGGGATCTGGTACCTGCAGCATTGAAAATCGCACAATGCAGGCTCGTTAGAGGTGTTTCGTAAGATTGATATTGGTTCTAAAAGCGACATGAGAAAAGTCATTTATTTCGCCGCTCTCACGGGTGCGGCAGACGGGGAGTAACGTTGCGTGCATGAGAAATGTCCGTGCATGTTACCGTGCACGCGGGATGAAAAGGGGAGATTTACTTGGGAACGCTGGCAGACGTGTAACGCGAGGAAAACACACACTCGACGACATGGTCCTCGCCAGCAGCAGCACCAGTAGTGTTGTGCAACATGGCTGCTGACGATCAAGACACGATTCTTGCAAGAATGGGAGTCGGTTAGCAGTCCACAGAGGGAAGCCTGTGAGCTGAGTGATGGCTGCAGAGAGTGACAGAATGCTGGTTGAAATAGCAATGCTGGAATCCGAATTTCCCTGAATGCTGATGGACGTGGGATTGAAGGCCCAAGAGAATATCCTTATTCAGTCCCACTGGATAACCTCTAGGGCCTTGGTTCGGACGTGCCTTGGTTCGGACGTTTCTTGATTAGGCGTTTGATTTGGTCTTGGTGGTCTGGGGAACCACAGGCTCGGCAAGGTTGCCATAGGTGTCGAAATATCTGGCCATACCAACGCTTGGAAGGCTGACCTGGCATGATGCTTGAGCGCCGGCGCCCCCTGATCTTCGTGAGTCAGGTACCTTTCCAGGTATGGAAAGCGAAAGTGCCCAAAACCCAAAACGCAGAGGTATGGGTAAGGCGACGGTCAAGGCCTTGAGGTTTGTATCATCCCCTGAGGTTCGTAACCTCAAGGCCTTGACCGTCATCCAAACCTCTTGAGGTTCGTATCATATCCTTTTCCGTGTGATTGGGCAACTGTATTTGCGGGATAGCAATCACCGATAAGGCTAACATTATCCCCTATACACTCTAAAATGAGGTTCTTTCAATACATTTCCATCCACTTACCCATAACATGGTACCCAGTTCTTATGCTATAACACGGTACAAAGCAAATGGCAGTCTCATGGTATGTAGTGCCTGGTTGGGATAACAATATTCGCCCGTTGTGTAGCACAAGGTTTCAATGAAGACCTCCGGTCACAGTTCACAGCATGGAACGGGAAAGAAGCGCACTTGGCCAACTATCCATCATTCCATTCCATCCAGCGCCAACTACAGCGCTGGCCGGAACCAAACATGCATGATGAGGGCTTCATGGTAACACCACCACCATGAATGGGTGGCCCATACCACACCCTGTCACGAGCTTCTGAGCAGACTCTTGGGCTTCCTCTGTTGACCTCGTACTCCCTTTTTGCGAGCCACGCTTGCTCGAACCTTTGCCCCCACTTTCCCCTGCTGAACCTTTTCCTTTGCTCTCCTTGGCATTCACAGGCCCCCCAGCCTTGGCCGCGCCTTCACCACTGCTAGCATCAGCACTCCAGGCCACACGGTAGCTCCATAAATTGTACACACCAGGGGAGAAGACCACTGCTGTGAGCTTCAAGGAAACTTCCTCTCCTGGAGCCAGCTTGGGAATCTGCATGGCAGTTTGGCCGGCCCACATGTACGGCCCACATGCCGCTGTGCCGCACGCCACCTCATCACCACCCAACCCGCCAGCTCCACCTGAGAAGCCTCCTGCGAAGCTTCTGGGGCTTGTTGCCACGCCACTGTCTTGGCCGTTCAGGTTGTTCGGGCAGAAAAAGCCGGCCTTTTCAGGCAGAGTTGAGCCCAGAGTGGATGCATTGACACTCTTTTCAACTGCGGGCAGCAGCGCAGGGTCAAAAGTGTGGACAGCAGCGGAGGCAGGGCAAGAAGAGCAGTTTCGGAGGAGGAGAGTGAGAGAGACAGGGCAGGTGGGATGGGACGAGAAGTCATGCTCGAGATAGGAGGGGCCGTCCATTCTCCATCGCACCGCAGCAGCTGATGCAGACGTGGAACCAGCAGTGGATCCAGAACTGGCAGCAGCAGATGCAGCATCTGCTGCTGACCCACTGCCTGCAGCACCTGCTGCTCCTGCTGCTGCCCCACTAACTCCTCCCCCTCCTCCAACACTTGTCTTGTTGCTGGTGCTAGCAGCCGCGGCAACAGACGAGGGGTCGTAAGCTGGGCCCACCTGACAGTTACAGATGTGATGCGTCCCAATGGACACTACATCCCTGCTCCTGTCACTCTTGTTAGAGTCATCTCCTGCAGACCCCCCCTTGCTGCTGCCAGTTATCGCACTCTTGGGTAGAACGAGGGAGGGCACATCGGACCCACCATTCCAACCCGCAGCAGCAGCACTCCTGCCATCAGCCGCACTCCCTGACCCCTGATGCTCCCACACAAGCACCACGTCCAGCAGGTCGTCCCCGTGGCCACGCACATGGCCCCCTCCCCCTGCTGAACCCCCCCCCCCACTGCCTGTCCGCCAGAAGGGCCGCGAGCCAATCACAGGGCTTCCTGTCCCCGCTGCGCCTCCGGCCGGGGGGGTGGGCCAGGAAGGGGGGCGGCTGGGAGTGGAATGGCCGCGAGGGGAGAGGGGGCCGGAGATGGGGCGGGCGCTGTTGAAGCGGGAGTGGTGCAGCGCGATGTGCAGGGGTTGCTTCGGGGGAGGGGCGTCAGGGTTGGTGACGGGCTCCGGGGGAGGGAGAGCCTGGGAGGGTGGAATGGAGGGGGAACGGGAGGGACAGGAGACAAGGATGATTTTGTTAGGTGGGAACGACTGGGTGTGCTTTGCAGATGGCAACAGATGTGATTGTGTGGAGACACTTCACTTGGAAAGTCCTTCGTTTGATAATTTATGAAAGAGATTCACCTGAGAGACGGGTTCAATTGGAAAGGCAGTTTGACTCGGGAACAAGTCTACCCAAAAGCCTCGCTCGCTTCAGGGCAGGAAATGCAGCACGTCCCCGCATACAACATCCAGATGTGTTTGCAAGCATGCACAGAATGCTAACAATCGAGGAAGGTTCACCTGGAAGCCTCGTTCTCTGGCGTGCAGGGCGTGCAGGGGGTCCCTGCGGATGTCAATGAGAGGCTCCGCCTGCCCCCCCAGCCTCACGTCACTCCTGAAGCTGCCACCGTCTGCACGGTCATTCCCAGGCGGCGAGGCAAAGTCCTGCAGCCACCCAAATTTGAAGAAGAGCTTCAGTCTCTGTTGTGCTTGTGAGATTCGCGGCTGCGAAAGGAAAATCTCCCCTATAGAGCCCTTGGAAGATCTTTCCAGAAGGACAGGGGAGAAAGAAAATCTGGACAAGAGTGCGTGTGGGTGAGAGGGTGGGGCGGACCTGAATGTGGAAGAAGAGGGAGGTGCCCTGCCCTGGCGGCAGGACTTGCGGTGCCGCCAGAGCTGCAGACAGTAACGCCCCACTCATCTCCTCCTCGTCATCCCCCCCCACTGGCTGCTGCTGCTGCGGCTTGCTGTCCAAAGTCAACACAACCGAACCAGCGGCAGCAGCAGCAGCAGCAGAAGAGAGCGAAGTTTTCCGTGGTTGGGCTGGTAGCAGGGGGGCGAGGCGCCAGTGGGCGCCGGAGCAGGAGACCTGGCGCAGCCAGAAGGTGCGGGCGTGGTTGTGGTTCTCCACGTCCATGCGCAGCAGATAGGCAGCGATGTCCGACGTGCTTGGCGCGATGCGCAGCGACACGTGCAGCGATGGGTGGATCTGGGGGCGGTTGAGAAGGTGAGAGGGAGAATGAGGACGCAGGGGAGGAAGAGGGCCTCAGTTGGTGGAGCTGTGGGAGTGACCGAGAAGGGCTGCATGGGAGGCAAGGAGAAGGAAGGGCATTTGCTGGTGGGGGCAAAGATGAAAGGTAAAAAGCAGAAGAAAAGGGGAATAGGGAGCAGAAGAGTGTTGAATCTCGTACCGTGATCGTGTGCCGCAGACGCAAGGTGCGGAAGGTCATGGGCGCATGTGACGAGAGGATAGACGGGTGAAGGTGGGATGGGCGATGGTGAGCGTGGTGCCCATGCCCATGCCCATGTGCGTGTGAGTGGTGGGAATGGTGGTGTGTGGGAAGAGGAGGCGGGAACGACCCGCCCTCTGCTCCACTCCCAGCGCCAAAGCCAGCAAGAATGCTGCCAGTGGCAGTGGCAGCAGCATGGGCGGGTTCGAAGAAGACCACGAGGCCCAGGTCCAGAGAGGCCATGTCCAGCGGATGCAGCCAGACGGGCCACACCAGGGATGAGCCCCCTTCCAGGACGAACCGCTGCCAGGTAGGTGGTGGGCGGGTAGAGAGGCAGGGGAGGAGAAACAGGAGCAGCTCACACTCATACCTTTGAGGGGAACCAAGAAGTGGAAGTGGAAGAGCATCGGCAGACTTGCAGTGGCGTGCCCGGGAATACGGGGAGATTAAGCGTGGGTGACGAGCAAAGAAGCGTACAGTGGGGAATGAGAAGATGAAGCCATTCTTCATGCTGCCATGGTCGCCTCTAGGGTCCGTCACACTGCGACTGTGCTCCACTGGCAGCCCCCCGTCTGCCTCAAGCCCCCCACTCCGCCCACTTCCTCCACTGCCCACTCTCTGTGCTCCCCCATCCACATCCTTCCCTGCGGCTTCCCTTGGCCCTGTGTCCTCCAGACATGCGGGCAGGCGGGCGTTGAGGTCTGCAGGGTCGCCCAGCAGCAAGCAGGCAGGGTGGCTCGTGCGCAGTTTAAGGCGCTGACGAGGGAAGAGGGGGGGGGTAAGCAAAACGGGAGAAGAGGCAGCAGAGAAAGATCGTTACTGACTTGTTTGTCAAACGTCTCAGAGGTTGCCTAAACGCCAGCAGACTGGGTGACTCGAGGGACGCTGCAGACGCTGAAGGGAAGGGGAGGAGGGGGACGAAAGAGGGGAAAAAAGCGAGAGGAAGAAGAGGAGTGGGTTGCAGGACAGCGAATACCTTACATTGCCTGTACCCCTTCCTATCTAATACAAAGGACGAATTGAGAGGAAGAGAAAGAAAGGGACTGGTTACGCTTGACGAGGTGGCGTTGGAGATGGCTTTGCCACGAAACGGTTCCTATGCCAATGCACACGACACAGCCATTCATATGCCAATGCACACGACACGGCCATTCATATGCCAATGCACACGACACGGCCATTCATATGCCAATGCACATGACACGGCCATTCATATGCCAATGCACACGACACGGCCATTCATATGCCAATGCACACGACACGGCCATTCATATGCCAATGCACACGACACGGCCATTCATATGCCATGCACACGACACGGCCATTCATATGCATGCACACGACACGGCCATTCATATGCCAATGCACACGCCACGGCCATTATATGCCAATGCACACGACACGGCCATTCATATGCCAATGCACACGACACGGCCATTCATATGCCAATGCACACGCCACGGCCATTCATATGCCAATGCACACGACACGGCCATTCATATGCCAATGCACACGACACGGCCATTCATATGCCAATGCACACGACACGGCCATTCATATGCCAATGCACACGACACGGCCATTCATATGCCAATGCACACGACACGGCCATTCATATGCCAAAATCCAAGGTTGAAGGCATGAGCTGCTCATGGCACAATGAACGATACAGCTCCCATCCCCCAACCCTGCATGTGCCAGCAGTGGCGTCCAGCAGTGGCGTCCAGCGGTGGGGAACGGCCTAACCTATGAACGGCCTAACATACGAACGGCGTAACATACCAACTGTTAGAATATATTGTCTATTCTTTAGCCTACAGAGCTAATTAGTCTTGGGTAGTTATAAGCATCGTATTATAGCTTGGGTATAGTTACCCTAGTTGGGGCGGGATCCCAAAGTTGGGTTCTCATCCTTGCCATGATTGGCCCTCAATTGGTTGAGTTCCCGATTCTTGGCCACCCCCAATAACTCTGGCCACTCTGGCAACATTATTCGGGTTACCAATAAGTGGGTCAACCTCATTGGTGGGAAAGCCCCCCCCTCCCCACATTTCTATGTAAGGCCTTGTGCTCTCCTCCCTAATTCTTAAGTTCACTCTTTCTCACACGAACGGCCTAACATACGAACTGCCTAACATACGAACGGCCTAACATACGAACGCCCATCGCTGGCCTATGAGAGACATCGCTGGCCTATGAGAGCCATCGCTGGCCTACGAGAGCCATCCGGATTCCCGATTCTCACCTTGAGCGGCACGTGTGACGTGTTGGTGACTTTGAGCTGCAGGCGGTAGAGCTGCCCCTCCACCGCCTCCTCTGGCATCCCCTCCAGCTCCGCCTGCACGCGTGGCATCTCCTGCATGGATGGGAAAGAACACCGGGAACGGGCATGGGCAGGAGAGTGGACACACGTGTGAGCGCACACCCCGTATGAATGCATGCGTGCACACATAAGGATGCGTGCCTGCGCAAGCGTTTCCCAAAAGCAGCACTGCGTATCAGGAAGAGCGGGTAAGCTTGAAGACCCGTGGCGTGTGATCAGTGATCACATTGAAGAACACAATGAGACATGGGGCCAGCACAGCATACCGGGATGACGTGGAAGTGCAGGCGCTGGTGAGTGGGCAGTTGTCGGGATGGCTTGCCCTTGCGCTTGGGAGGCGCCTTGATGTCGAAGAGCGAGCGGCTGACAGCCGTGCGGCCCTCGCTGCTGATGGCCCACTCCACGCCGAATATGTGCAGCACGCCCACACGGGATGGTCGCACTCTCAGACGCACCTGGCGGTTGGGGGTGGGTGGAGGAGGGTGTGCGGGGCAGCAGGGGCTTGGTCGTGAAGGCGAGCATGTGCACGAATGCATGGGGCAACATGCATGGATGCGCGGGTCGAGGGTGAAGGCAGAAGAGAGATGGATTGTGAGAGGAAGGCACTCACTGTGAGTCGTTCACCCGGCTTCAGGGAGAAGGCTGTCTTCTCCGCCACATAAGGCTCGGCCTGTCCAGCACCAGCAGTAGCAGCCGCACTGCCACCCTTCACGTTGCTGTCCTTCCCCTTATCCGCCTTCCCATGTCAGCCTTTCCTGCGTTCCCACTCGCCCCTCCACCACCTCCTTCTGTTCCTGCTGGCAGATTAGAAGCTGGACTACCCTGTTGCTGGTGACTGCCTCCCTCTGCAGCCTTAGCGCTGGCCCCACTGTCACTGCCACGGTCCCCCCTGTCCTCCCTGCCCTTGCTGGTGCCACTAGCGCCATCCCCGTCACCCTCACCAGACGGGGTGGCATCAGCAAGGGGGTGCAGGAAGTGAGCAGGGTCGTCTTCTGCCAGGTTGCTGTGAGATTGACTTTTACGAGATGTGCTGTGGACGACGGGGAGAATTGGGAGGAGCAACAGTGGCAAGGGAAGGAAGAATGGAAAAGGGTTAATGACTTGGGGTGGCTATGCAAATGCATATATGCAAGATGGAAAGAGGCACACACAAATGAGCCAGGCGTGCAAGAAGCACTTCGCGTCAGATAGCAGCGGCAGCCTTTGCACGACCAGCACCTCCTCACCTCGCATCGTCATTCCCATTGTCCTCCCAGAGAGACTCTGAGGCCTGTGCCTGGTCGAGAACTGGCGAGCTCGCTGCACGCACCATCCCTGAGAGCCAAGAGGGTTGGAAAATGGAAAAGCTTCAGGCGAAAACGGGGTTAAACATATCCTCCTCAGTAGGAGGGTGAACCTGTCACTGAGATGCCTCATTACGCTTAGCAAGAAGGGGGGTGCATCAGATTAGAACACTATTGGGTTGGCTCAGAATGAGGCCTAGAGAGGAATCAAGGGAGGAGCGGCATGAGAGGGCCAATCAGCATCACGTATGCCTAGGACCTGAAAGAGGGTCAGACCGGTTGAGTGAGCAAAAGACAGACGATCCAGGAGCAGCCCAGTGCCCACCCGGTGCATCCTTGGCAGCAGCATTCGGTGATGAGGGCCGGCTGTGGCTAGAGGGGGCAGCATCAGAGGCCAGGTCGCCAGCAGCGGAGGGCGATGCAGATGGCACTGCTGTGGGTGACGCTGGGGACGGTGTCGTGGCCGCTGCAGTGCCGGTGCCACTGCTGCTGCTGGTGGTAGAGGATGAGGAGGAGGAGGTGTCGTAGTGGTGGCAGAGAAGGTGCACGCCAGATATCTGGAGGGCGATCTGAAGGGGGTTCCAGAACTCCACGTCCACTCCGATCTCCTCTGCAAGGCCGGACGGCACCAAGCAGAGCCACCGCATGCAGATAATGAAATGACCCAATCAGCAGTGAGATATTGAAATGAAATGACCCAATCAGTCAGCAGTGAGATAATGACACGACCCAATCAGAAGTGCGATAATGAAATGAAATTGCCCAATCAGCAGTGAGATAATGAAATGAAATGACCCAATCAGCAGTGAGATAATGAAATGACCCAATCAGCAGTGAGATATTGAAATGAAATGACCCAATCAGCAGTGAGATAATGAAATGAAATGACCCAATCAGCAGTGAGATGAATTAAGGCGACACCAAGCAGAGCCACCACATGCACAGCCCCACACACACAGGCACACGCACCCCCTGCGACACAAGTGTTGGTGGCGATGGTGTCGTGCGCCCCCGCCCGTGTCTTGGACGGCGCATCCAGCCATGTGGGCACCACCATGGCTGCAGCGGGCGGCACCACTCCCTCCTCCAGCGCCGCCCAGAATGACTCAGGGAGCTCCTCCTGTTAGAAAGAGTGACGGTTAGGCCCTTCGGTGTCCGCAGAGGCAGAGGCAGGGATGGGGAGCTCAGGTGGCTTCGAAATGAGAGGGGGCTAGGATAGGCTTCGATGGGCAATGGCCCGGGTATCGAGGTGGTCGGTAAACACCATGCTTAACAACTGAGGATGCATGCAGGGGATTTGAGGAGCTTACAGCAGCAGGGGAGGCGAAGATGCGGTGGTCCTCAAAGTGCACGTGGACCTTCTGGGTGTTGACGTGCGGCAGAGGCAGCTCCAACGAGCCCTGCTTGTCCTTCGCCTGCACCGCCTGGCGGAGGAGAGAGATGCGGAAAGGGATGAGAGGAGAGGAGACAGGGAATGATTTAGCCAAGGTAAAGAGGACATAGGAGGATAGATGATAGAGGAGAATGGGAGCAAGACATCGCTCAATGCCACAGTGTGCATCCAGATGGTACCGCAAACTCCTGAATGGCATGGCACATACCTGCATGCACCCCACATGATCAACATACGCACTGCATCTGCGTCCACCGCACTGCACACCTACCTGCACCACGTAGAGGAACTCTCTCAAGAAGGTGGCTTGCATGGCGGCAGACTGGTGGGCGCACGCCAGCAAGCGGACGAAGTAGACCACTGCCCCATTGTAGCTGCCGAGGTATGCTGAGAGCCTTCACAAGAGAAAGGAGGAAAGGGAAAAGCAAGAGAGTGAAGGGAGAGATGCAAGGATGAAGAGAGTGAGAAGAGAGGGGGAAAGAAAGGCAGACGGGAGGTAGCCAGGTTCAGGTTCAGCCAGCAAGTGTTGTTTTGAGGCGCCTCAAAACCTAAGTTGGTACCTTACGTGACTTTAGCCCACGTACACGTAAAGTACGCGTAACTTTACGTGTACGTTACGTTACGCGTACGTTACGTGTACGTCGCCGGGCAGGCCTCAAAATTTTTTCCCGGGCAAAATTTTCCCCCTAAGAAAACGCGATTTACAACTACTACTAGGCTGTTCAGGGCTAGGCTACGGCTAATGCCTACGCTCCGCACTGATCTATCCCATCAATCTAAGTCGCAACTAAATTCGTTGCGCTGATAGTATACGCGTTCCTCCTAGTCGTAAGATGCTACGTAGTCTAGACTTGATTGTCGCTGGAGTAAGGTTAGCGATTGGCATTCGTCGAGGGAGGAAGGAGAAACACATGTCGAGGGGGGTTGGGTTGGGTTAGGTAGGGGTTGTTCATTGACGGGTTGGATTGCCGGGGCACCAAATTTGACGCGCACCGGCGACGAGATTTCGCGCATGCGGAATTTCGCTAAACAATTTGTGACTTTCGTCGCACCCCACTCGTGATAATCTTCTACTAGAAGATCAGAACCTACAAACGTTTTTACAAAAGTCGGCTTTCCATCCCCCCCATTTTTTTCCCTTGGGCAGCCTAATTTTTTTTAGACTGCCCGTACATTCAGGCCTAAAACCAGAATCGCGTAAACGTACGTAAACGTAAACGTACACGTACGTAAACGTAAACGTACACGTACGTAAACGTAACGTAAGGAACCAACTTAGCTCAAAACCAGGTTCAGGTTCAGCCAGCAAGTGTTGTTTTGAGGCGCCTCAAAACCAGGTTCAGGTTCAGCCAGCAAGTGGTACTCAGAACCTGTGGCTGGACGACCTCCCTCACCAGGCGGTTGTGCCGCCCTACCTGCCGAGAGTGAAGTTGCAGTGGTCCAGGATGAAGTTCCAGCCCTTGCCGCCATACACACCCTCCACACACTTGTACGCCCGCATGGCGTGCTTGCGCTGATGCCACGGTTGGACAATGGGATGGTGGTCACGAGGGAGCAAAATGTTTACTGGTGGAAAAGGCAGAGTACACAGGCAATGCGGACAGGACTTGGGAGCCAGAGCAAGAGCTCAAAGAGGAAAGAACAGGAGGGTGGATGTGACCCTTAAACAGGCGCAAAGTGATGTGAGCAATTGCAGAGGTTTGAATGACAAACCATGAGGCAAGGTACCTGGGAGGCGAGGTTGTAGCGGTTGCCTGCGAGCACCATGTGGAAGCCGTACTTGCGCAGCATGGGTGGCACCACCCGCACAAAGCACAGCGCTGCCTGCTCCAGCAGCACTGCTGCCCGCACCCCACTCTCCTGTCCATGAGGGAGATGGGCACGTGACGGAGGTGCGGAGGACGAAAGGAATGAGAGGAGAGGTAGGGTGGTGACTGTACTACAGAGCTACCAGGGTTTTATACTGAGACATGTACGAACAAGGCTAAAAAAAAATACTCAGAGTGCAGCACACGCATGTATAATAAGTCGACGACAGAGGAGATGAGGTGACGTACCCGCTGGCCTGCTCACTCATTCACCCGCTAACCCGCTGCCCCCACAAACCCGCTGACCCGCTAACCCGCTGACCCGCTCACCCATTCACCCGCTGACCAGCTCGCCCGCTCACCCGCTCACCCGCTCTCCCACTCTCCCGCTCCCCCGCCCGCCCGCCTGCCTGCCCGCCCGCCCGCGCGCCTGCTCACCCGCTCACCCGCTCACCCGCTCACCCGCTCACCCGCTCACCCGCTCCCCCGCTCCCCCGCTCCCCCGCTCCCCCGCTCCCCCGCTCCCCCGCTCCCCGCTCCCCCGCTCCCCCGCTCACCCGCTCACCCGCTCTCTCGCTCACCCGCTCACCCGCTCTCCCGCTCACCCGCTCGCCCATTCACCCGGTGACCAGCTCACCCATTCACCCACCGACCCGCTCACCCATTTACCCGCGGACATGCTGACCTGGTAAAATGCTAACCCGCAGACCTGCTAACCAGCTGACCCGCTTACCCGCTGACCCGCTAACCCGCTGACCCACTAACCCGGAAATATGAGGTGTCGAGGGATATGAGGGAGAGATATGAGGTGACCGGGGATATGAGGTGAAGGGGGATATGAGGTGAAGGGGATAGGAGGTGAAGGGGGATATGAGGTGAAGGGGATAGGAGGTGAAGAGGGATATGAGGAGGCAGGGGATATGAGGAGGCAGGGGATATGAGGTGACCGGGGATATGAGGAGGCAAAGGGATATATGAGGTGACGAGGGACATGAGATGACGAGGGGTATGAGGTGGCGGGGGATATGAGGTGACACGGGATATGAGGTGACGAGGGGTATGAGGTGGTGAGGGATATGAGGTGAGGGTTGCAGGTGGACAAGAGAGCTGACCTCCAGAGATGCTCGCATGAGAGTGAGTGCAGCGTCTCGAAAATTCCCTTTCGCCTTGAACATGCCAATCATCCAGAAGACTGTCCTGAGCGCAAAACGAGCTCCCAGTGGGCCACAGCGCTGAGAATTATGGGAGAAGGTGGGAAAAATTTAGGGACGACGGAAGAGATGGATGCAAGGCAAGAGGAGGAGGGGAAAGATGAAAAGTTGGGAATGAAACGAGCAGAAGGGGAGAAACACAGAGAAAAAATACCAGCAAAAAAAGTAGACGAGAGGAGTGGGAGGGGAGAGGCGTGCCATCCATCGACTGATGCAAGAGGATGCCCTTGAAGTGATACCTGGTATGAGGCGTATGCGCTCTCCATTGCTGCTCCATCTCCCTCCGAGACATCTCCAAGAGAAAGAGCGACACCGCCACCATTTCCTGAAGCAAGACGAATACACACAAGCCCAATCTCTCAAACGCACACAGTTGCACACCAGAGGAAAAATGCACACACATGCACGTGCAGGGGTGCAGCACGCACATGCACATGCACATGCACGTGCAGGGGTGCAGCACGCACATGAACATGCGCATGCACATGCACAGGGGAAATGAGCTAAAGATGCAGAAATAACTCCAAGCTGCTGTCTAAGACAAAGGAACAAAAGGAAAGCAAACGTGCCTCAGGTGAATAGCATGTAGGGACCTTGACGTACCAACAAGTCCTTCACGGTCACTTACCACCTCAGAAACCTCGAATCCGCAGCACACTGACCTGCGCCCCGGCGTAGTGCTTCCAGGCCTTGTCGCGGCGGTAGTCTGCCGCCACGAGGCGGTAGTTGTCCAGCGCCAGCTGGAAGTCCTGCAGCATCATCGCGGCATCCGCCAGCTGCCGGATCTGAGACTCCGGCGAGCGGTAGGTGTAGCTGACAGGGGTGGGGGTGGGGGAGGAAGAGGGGGAGGGGAAGAGGTGGCGGAAGGGACCAATGAGCTGCCCTTCAGTCGCTGAGCAAGGTGGGGCACGAGGGGGAGTGGCCAGAGAACGAACCTGGGTCGAAAACGATGGGAAGGGAGAAGGTGTGATAGGAGGGGGAAGGCCTGGGGTGCAGAGGAATGAAGACGAGGTCAGGGCAAGAGGGTTGGTGCAGTGGGGTGGGAAGCGGCAGTGGTGGGTGGATTACATCCCGTTACCCGAGCTACTGACCCCATGGATAGAAGAGGAGGTAAGGTGAGGAAAGTGGTGGAAGGAAACGGGAGGAGGGAGAGCAGGAGACGAACGGGGCTTACACGCCAGGTGTGGCGTCTGCTGTTTCTTCCTTTCCCTTGCCAAACCAGAGATTCTTGATTTGGTTGCGCAGCCCACGACGACTGGCTGAGATCTGAGGCATTCATGTGCACGGATGCGAGCATGCACTCAAATGCATACACATGCAGGCACAAGGGTGATCATATTTACACATGCATGCACAACACAGACGCATCCATGTGTGCCCACATTCACACAAGCAACCAGCACACGCACGCACCGAAGGCACCACACAGAAACAGAAAAAATCAGATGGAGATGGTGGGGAACGAGGTAACCAGCCACCTGCTGCGTCCACCTGCAAGGTCAAGGTCAATTTTCAGCCGACCTGCTGGTTGAGGTCGCGCGCCTTCCGCTCGAGGTGTGGCACGAGGTGCTTCACACTGAGCTCCGTCATCATGTCCGCCACCTCCCTCACATCCGCCTCGCTCAGATACTGCCCCACCGCCCCAGGTGGGCCTGAGGCGCTCTGTGCCACCTGCAGGTTGGGGAAGAGGAGGAGGGCGAAGGAGAGAATGAGAGTGGGCGAGCAAAAGAGAGACGGTGGGCACCACCCAGAGGGAAGCCCACAACGCCTTCCCCCACTACAGAGAGGTAGCAATCCCATTAGCTAACCCTGGATTCTTGGATGTCTCAAAATGAGCCCCAACCCATCCCTTCCCTGTCCTCCCCCACTTTCAGGCAGCCCTCAGCCCGCTCCCCCAGGTCCCCCATACCACAGTGCCAGCAGGAGGATTTGAGGCCCCTCCAACAGGAATTGGACGGTGCTTGGTCCAGATGTCAGGCCGGGACTGGCTGGGAGCAGCAGCAGAGTTGACAGGCAGCAGACGGCAGACGGTGCTGCCAAACGCTGCTCGCATCTCAGCGAGGGTGAGGTCCACTTGGGAGGAGGCGGAGGGGGGGCCCAGGGAGGAGACGTCGTGCAGCAGCAGGTAGTGCAGGTGCAGCTTGGGGTCCATGGTGCCGTCGCGGTACAGCGCAGGCAGGCGGTCGGGAGTCATGAGCTCACGCAACGCGCGCACGGGGAAGGGCTCTGATGTGGAGGCGACCAGAAGACCTGGGGATTGGTGAGTTGGCGGTTGGGTGGGTGGGATGGGAAGCGATGCATTGAGAACGGTGGACGGTGGACAGTGGACAGTGTCCACGGTTGACAGTGGACGGTTGACAGTGTCCACCGGTGGACCGTGGTGGGTGGTGGACGGTGTCCACCAATGGACGGTGGACGGTGGACGGTGGGCGGTGGATGGTGTCCACCGGTGGACGGTGGATGGTGGACGGTGTCCACCGGTGGATGGTGGACGGTGGACGGTGGACGCCACCGGTGGACGGTGGACGGTGGACGGTGGACGCCACCGGTGGACAGTGGACGCCACCGGTGGACGGTGGACGCCACCGGTGAACGGTGGACGGTGGACACTGGGGGACGGTGGACGGTTGTCGGCTGTGGTCGAGGCTGAGGAGGCGTTCAGTACACAGAGAGGATGGTGAGAAAAGGGAACGGATGTGATAATAAGGAGGTGTGAATGAAGGGGGGCTTGGACGGGCATGAGAGAGCTTACATGCAATGGGATGATCAAAGGTCTCGTGGTCAGAAAAGTCGAGGGTGCGCATGTATGCATCCGTGAAGCGCTGAAACCAGCATGTTCGGTTCTCCGCATTGGCCACTGCACCCACAGACACAGAGAGGGTGGTGAAGAGGAGGACGGGAGGGAGGGTGGACGAAGAACGGGAAAGAGTTAACCGATGGATGGTGATGGGGACGAGGGGTGAAGAAGAGCGGGGTAAGATAAAATATGCGTGAGTGAGACGGAGAAAGTAAGGGGGGAGGGGGTAGGGGCGGTGTGGGTAAGAAGAAGCCCAATCAGAAGCAGTGAGGCATAAATCATGCCAAGGTAGCTCCCACACTCTGGTTCTGAGTGCGTGATCATCCTCTCCGCTGACCCCTGTTACTCCTGCTTCCCTCCTCTCAACCCACTGTCAAATATCAATTGAAGCCCTCCCTTTCCCTTCCACGCCTCGACAACCCCCCCTCCCCCCTCCCCCCCACCCCCACACCCCCCTCCCCTTAGTGACGCCTCAAGAGACCTTTATTCAAGTGCCCCCAACGTCAACTCACTGCCGATGATGGAGTTGAGGTCGCTTGGGTCGGCCCCCATCAGCTCTGCCTCTGCCGCCTCACTCGCATTTGTCACAAAGCGCACACAGAAGTCCTCTGCTGCCTGCCCTTGCACCACCGCGTGGACATGCATGGATGCGCAAAACGTGGCAGATGAAGGGGAACCACAGAACACATAGGTTATAGCAGGAAGTTAGGGTACAAGAAGTCGTGGCTGAAAAACGCTTGGGGTAGCCCTCTCCACTCACCTCTTGGGACGGTTGTTGGATGTCGCTAGCATAGAACACTCGCACGCGGAAGTCGTGCAGTCGGTACGAATGCTCACCCGCCGTGCGCACAGGTACTGCGGGAGACCGGGGGAGCATGGAAGGGGTGGCCAAGGCTGTGAAGCGGGCCCTGGATCTCAGCAACGTGGGCGCGAACAGGATAAGGCCAGCGGCACGCAAAGGGAGGCTGCTCCTTTCGTTGATACGGGACAATGTCCGGACACAAGGAGAGTGATACACGTTATAGCGCACGGCGTTATAGTCACATCGCACCGTTGAGATTGGAGAAGTCGCAGTGCGGGCGGAGCAGGTCGACGAAGCTGAGCGCGTTCTTCTGGCAGGCGGCCTCGGCGGCGGCGGTGGAGAGCACCATGAGCGTCGGGCACATGCGCTCGCGGAGGCTCTCCCCCAGCATCGACCGCTCCATGCTGCTGCGCTGGTACCCCGACCCGCCCCTCGTCATGGGCGCTCCTGTTAACAGATCCATGGGTTGCCTCCTTGGTCTCAGCGATAGCCGGGGCGGCTAAAGGTTACGGCATACCGTGAACGAATGCACACACCACGGGCGGGTGGCTGCTCTGCTGGTGTGCGGCTACAACACTCCGAGATGAACGCGAGAATCTGGGATGGAAATTGCGTGGAGCAACAAATCTTTGTGGGAAGCTGAGTGCCTCGATGTTAGCAGGCGCGGTAAGAACAAAATGACACAGCCGATACAGAATAAGGGCGTGTCCCCAAAAATCGTTTACCCGTTTTTGACACGCGGAGCCGTTTGACGGTACGCAATGTGAATCGATTTTGAAACAGATCCCGATTTGGGAACAGGTCCGAAATGAAGGGTGCAGTTCGAAAGGACAGCACCGAGACCAGCACGGGCATAGGAGCGGGTAACGGGGTCCTGCCATGCGAATACCCCGCGATGCGCGTGTGGCAAAATGAGGGCCAATCGGCGCAGCGGGGTAGGTTCTTCGCTAGCGACGTGCGAGGCTGCAAAGTGTCACTAGAGAGTTTCGCTAGGTGCTGGTACTAGTTGGCAAACTGGATTTTTGTGCGGTCCATTTTTGTCGTGCGGAGGTACCTGGAAACACGCGCTGGTGTCCGCTAATTTCGGGGGTGAGCTGGGCGTGTCTTGTTCGGGCATGTTTTATAGTTACACACCGGGCTGGTAACCGGACTCGGTGCTGAACAAATCACGTACTTTAGTGACACGCCCTACCTGTCACCTTTTCATCAACTGTACTCGCGAGTTCCAATTCGTTTGCTGCTCACTCCAGCATCCCCTATCTCGCCCCAAAACCGGATGCCGTCCAAACCACTCCAAGCACAACTTGCCGATTCGATGCTCACCAGAAAATAAGGTCGGCCAGCCCTTGCACTTGGACTCGCGAGCCAACCGTGACGCCCATGGCTGAGCCAGCAGAGTCCACCCCAGGGCCCGTCGCAAAGCCCGCCGGAGAGGAGACCCCGGCTCCCGCCGCAGAGCCTGGTGCAGGGCCCACGGTCATGTCCGTAGCAGCGCCGCCGGCTGTGGTGTCCCTCGTCGTGAACAAGCCCGTCACCCACCGGCCGTGCCGTCTCCGCATGGGCCAGCAGCAACTTACCCACCCTGACCAGCAGGAGCAGGTGCAGCCGCGGGAGACGCAGGCGCGCAGTGTACCCCCGCGGCGGAGAGCCTTCTGGCTGACTTCCCTGGGCTCGCTGCTCGGCCGCAAGGTGGCGGGATTGCTCTGGCCGGCGCTGCACAAGCTCGCTCTACGGTTGCTCGTCGACGCTCTGGGCTTCGCCGTTGGGCTGACCGCCTCTCTCGCTGCCGGATGCGTCCTCCTGGACAGGCGGCGGTCGTTTGACGTCGGCACTCCTCAAGTACAGCAGCCGGATCGATTGAAAGAATTAGAGCCATCAAATGTAACCTGATTCTTACACTATGATGCAAAAAAAACAGCGCATTTGGCCTGTCCTGGCTGTTGTTGTTTGCAGGTCCGTCGGGTGCTCGCAGTGACAGACGAGGCCCACCTGGATCGGCTCCGAGGCTCTCTGCCAGGCTGGGTAAAGGACCCTGGACTAGAGCCGGCTCGGTGGCTGAACCACGTCATTGCGCGCTTCTGGCATGTGCTGGACCCCGCGCTTAGCAAAGTATTCGTCAACAAGCTCTGGCCGGTGAGCAGAGGGAGAAATAGCGGAGGGGGAAACAGCAGAGGGAGAAATAGCTAGCATTAGCTTACTACCCTTGGAGTTGCTGGCATAGAAGAAACCACCACTGGATAATTACATCTTCGCCCTCCTCGCCTCCAGGCCATTTGCAGGCGTAAGGGACTCCCAGAGGACCTGCTCCAGATTCAGAGCTTTTCCTTCGGATCGTTTCCACTTGTGGTGGAGTATGTCAAGGTGCGCCTTCAATGCGCTTGGGCACATCAGTCACGTCTGGGATCCCGTTTAGCTCCATCTCTTCTGAGAGCCCTCTGCAATTCGACCATCTTTCTTACCTCTCTCTCTGTTTTGTTTTTGCGACCCTTTGTACTCACTTGAGAGGGCAGGTGGTCGATTCTCATGAGTCTGCAGCAACGTTCGATATCAAGCTGCATCTCGCCACTAATTCCAATGCAAGAGCCATTCTGACCCTGCCCAGGGATGTCCTCAAATTGCCAGCGAATGAGGATGATAGTGGCTGTGCGTCCACTTTGCAGCTGTCGCACTTCGTGGGGAGCGCCATCATGCGCATGTCGTTCTCCCCGCTGGTCCCCAGGTTTCCCTGCTTTGGGGGCGTCCAACTGTCTTTCATGGAGAATGTACGTTATTGGATACGCGAAAGGCATGAAGAGACGTGATCGGAAGGGCATGCATGAAATTGAGCAATACCTTTTATTGTCGCTCATGCTGATGTATGCCATCTCCATCTGTTCCTCTTGTTTGATCCCTTGACGCAGCCAGATATTGACTTCTGTCTTTCCACATATGCTGGCTTTGATCTAATGGCGCTGCCTGGCACCTCGTACCTTTTGCGAAGGAAGATGCGTTCCTCCATTGCTGGACGGATGCTGTGGCCATACCGGTGCACAATCCGCACAAAGGCAGCAGTGGCAATGGATATGCCCAGGCGAGCAGTTGGCACCGTGACGGTGGAGATAGTGGAGGCCACAGGGCTGACTCAAGCAGGAATCTTCATGTCCCAGAATATCCTGTATCCGTCACCCTTTGTCAAGGTGCATGAAGCCCTTCCAGCTGTTTTGAGTAGCAAGTTGTTGTGAACCCAACCAACAAACCTTTGTTACTTGTTTCTTGCAGGCTTACATTGATTCAAGTCATGCGGTGTGCACTGCAACTGAGTCGTTTACCTGCGACCCTGTGTGGCGTGAGGTGGTTCGCCTGCCTGTAAATGATCACGAGACAGATGCCCTGACATTTGAGGTTCATGACGCCACAGCACTTCTGGTGGAGGGGTTGATTGGTTCCTGTGTTCTTCATGTCAGCAATTTGCAGCCAGGAACACCGCAGGTACGTACTTTTCTGTTCCTGGAAAGCTGAGACGTATCGTTACGCGCCTGCGTAGAGCAGAAGTTGTTAAGGTCAAAGAGAGTAGCGCTTTGCTGTGAAGACAGAGAATTTTCTCACTGCGGTGGTGTGGCTATTGTTGTCGCCTCCCTCTGCAGCACTTCACACTTGGGCTTTGGAGCAACCGTGGCCTACCATGTGGTGAGCTGGAGCTCATAGCCACCTTCCGAATCCTGCAAAGCGAGACAATGCCTCGAAAGCTTCTATCGGAAGACTCGGCCCTGGCGAAGCCTGGAATGCCACCTCGCTTGCAGATTCTTGCTGATGGGCCTGGCTTGCTGGAAGTGGCGGTGTGGAGAGGTTTGGATCTAGACGCAAGCAGTTGGATGGGAAGAAACCCCGAGGAAGCTCAATTTCTGTGCAAGCTGTTCCTTGCTGGAGAGGAACGAGTGACCAAGGTGAGTTCTCAGGGTCGTTGTCAACTCTTAATCACCATTTGTGTTCCTGGAGAATCGTCATGGTCCCTGTTTCCTTTGGCAAATGGTCGTGCATCTCCATGCGTTCAGGTTGCTGAAGGGAGGGGGAATCCACAATGGGAAGAATCGTTCGAATTTCTGCTTGATCACCCACCAGCAACTGAGAAGCTCCTGGTTGAGGTGTGGAACAGAATGCCAGAAGCAATGCTGGTTGCTTCTGCAGACAAGTTAGTGGGTTCAGTGGAGATTCCCTTGTGTGATGTGCTGAAGAACAAACGCATTGTTGATCTCTTCCAGCTCCGTCACACAAAGCAGGGTATCTAAAACTGGAACTTCAGTGGCGCATGCTGAAACCAGCTGATTAGGCTGAATGTGGTAGTACAGACTGCAGGGAATGTTGGTGTTGGTGCGTGTCATGCCTTGCAATAGTTGGCGAATAAAATGGCCAAGCCAAGTATCTCACCCCATGCCCGTTATAGACTGTGCCGCATCTTGAAACGTGCAAGCAAGTCAGCCAAACATCTCCAGTTAGAGTCTTGTGAGTAGTCAATCAAAACAGCTGGAGTATTGGAGAGTAGCTTGAGACATATGCTGGAAAATCCTTCAGAGGACTTGATGCAGAGCATCAGAATACAACTTCATTGAGACGTTTATGCACTCCTTGAGGTATGCATGCAGGCATATCAGCCAAATCTCTATGTGCAGATGCCAAACTTCTTGTGACGTTTCTCATAAAATTTTCAGAGATTATATGATAGTCTTGGGAGTACTTGTTTCCCTGAGACATTGTGGAGGTACATCAGCCAAAGATTGGATGCACGCACGTCATGGAGCTAGCAGTATTGATGCTAGAAGCAGTACAGCCAGTCCAACTGCTGCGATCATCCATCGTTGAAACTTTTCTGGCTTCAAATCAGTCCCCTCAGCGCAAGCCGAGCAGTCGCAACTCGTTTCAGAGATGTCTTTCATTTCGGCTGGGAGGGCTTCTTGGTGAAGCGAGAGAACAGAGTGCGGTGCAGAAAGCTCTGGCTGTGTGAATTGAATGTCTTTCACTTCGCGCTGGATTGTCATGTTTCCAATGTGTGAAAGTTCTTCATCAGATGACTGAAATTCAAGGTGCGTAGGATCTGCGATGGAAAATTTGAGTGAGAGACGCATCCATGGGTTCAACAGCGGCGCTTCAAGGCAGCGAGCAGACCTGATGAGCATCCGGCGTCGTCGCACGTGATGCTCGCTTCATAACGCAGTCCCCACTGCAAGTCGATCAATGGTACTTCTGTGTAATAGCCCGACGAAAGCGCCAAGTCTTGGATAACATTTCTATGTTTGAGGTCGACTATATGGATACGACATGCGGATGCGCAATCATAATCGGTCATGGCGACTCCCAGGAAATGCACCGTCTGGAAGTGGACGAAGCCTGCGAACAACGAGAAGATGACTGGCTGATAATCTCTAACGTCAAGGTCCGAGAATTCATGGAGCGGTGAAGCCAAACCTGAGGTACTCTCATGATTGCCGACGCTGGAAGCATGGATTGCTGGAAGAATAAACAAGAACGCCAAAACATTTTTCATGAACGATTCAAGCAGCCACTCATTCCAGGAATCCATGTCTGATGGGCAGTCAGAACGTGAGTGAGAGCAGAATGCTTTCAAAATATTCAACATGAAAGGCTATGCCTTCAATGACAGGACCCCGAGGATGCCTGGCTACCAAGGGTGTTCGCGAGACATGTATGAAGCATGATATTGTCCATCCACGAGACAGTCCAGGGCAACACTTCGTCAGATACCTGGTTACATTTCTCCACCGATTTTGAAAAGTGATTGGCCAAGGGGGAATTTGGCGACGCTTTTGCGAAAACTGTACTCGCCAGCACTTCCTGGTGCCCTTCCGTGCTGCCCAGGCAGGGTTTGCAGGGGAGGCTCTCAGGAGAGGCTGCCCGCACCATTATTGGATTCGCTCTGGGCTTCCACCGCTGGCAAGAAATAGCCGCGGTATCAGCTTTGGGATGGCTGCTAGTAGGGATGCAACCGCAGCGAAGCCCAGTACCATCTTCTAAAAGAAATGGCTGTAAGAGGATGTCGCTCGCTGCTGCCTAAATAAAAGCTCGCTCCGGAATCGTCTGGTGCCCATTGTTCTAGTCCCAGATGTAATGCGTTTCTAGCTGTATCACACATAGAAGACTGGACATAGATAGTGCGTCGGACTAGAGGTGCTCACGTTTCGTGTAAAACTCGGTACACGTAGCGTAGCTATGCGGCAGTTGGTTCACTGTTTATGGAGTCGGCCTGTCGGAGGGCTGTTGCTTCTTGCCATGGCGCTTGCACTGGTACTACAGCCAATCTGCTTCAGCCACGCGGCCGAGGCTCAACCGGTCGCTCCGCCAAGCGCTCCGGCTTCCTTGCCTCCGCCGTTCGCTCCGCCTGCAGCAGGAACTGAGAAGTTCTGCACGCAGTACAATAAAGAATGTGAGCTTACCTCACCCGCTTCTTCGAAGCACCGTCGTCGTCTCCTTACTTCCTCCCGCCGCTCCTCACCCTAACCTTCTCCCCATTTCCTCTTCTGCTCCACCGCGCAACTTTTATCGCTTCCGCACCTCCCCAGGCGCAGCCCTTATCGCCCTATACGACAAATGGTTCCCGGGCGTCCTGCCGATTGGATATGCGTGTCCCTTGCTGTGCAACAGCACCGACGTAGTCTCCTGCGATCCAGTGCCTCTAGTGGGGCCTTACTGCACCGACGCTCTGCCCTACAGTCCCACTAATTATACCGGACTGTGAGTGTTTGCCATACAATGTTTGCACCCGATTGGGCGTTTCCTCTACTGCACACGCCAGTCCGTGAGTGTCACGTAGTTGTTGCTGGCCATGAATTACTTTCCAAAAGCCTCACGGCTGCTATTGCGGATTTATCTGGCTGACAAACCTCTCTTCTTGCTGCTGCTGCTGCTGCTGCTGCTGCTGCTGCTGCTCCTCCTTGATTGGTGCAGGTCCGTGGCTCTCTCGAACCTCTCGGGGCCCATCCCAACGTCCATTGGCGTTCTATCCCATCTCACATACCTGTCAGTCAGACTACCAGCCCTGCTGCTTCCTGCTTTCATCAGGCGCGCCATGGCGTGCCGCGTCTATGAACAGTGGCTGCTGGTCGCTGCAAACTTTTATCTGCCTCACCTCTGCAAGCATCTTTCCCCTTGTCCCTTCCTTTAGTCCCCTTTATTTATCTCCCCATTTGTCTCTCCGGTCCAGTGCCACACTGGTTACCCATTTATTTGTTCCCTTCCCTCATACCTCTCCCTCATCGCTGGAGTCCTGCAGTGACCTGCACGGCAACAACTTCAGTGGGCCCATCCCCACTGAGCTGTGCCAGCTCACCGCTCTGCAGTACATGTGAGAGCCTCTCACGCCCCAGTTTGGAGGCGCCTCAAAACTCAACTTCAGTGGGCCCATCCCCACTGAGCTGTGCCAGCTCACCGCTCTGCAGTACATGTGAGAGCCTCTCACGCCCCAGTTTTGAGGCGCCTCAAAACTCAACTTCAGTGGGCCCATCCCCACTGAGCTGTGCCAGCTCACCGCTCTGCAGTACATGTGAGAGCCTCTCACGCCCCACTCGTGCCTTGTTTGCTGCATGTGTTGCAGGGAGTGTAATGAGAGGTCTCACAGTTCTATTGTATGCGTTTGGTTGGTGCCCGCGCTGCAGGGAGCTGGGCAACAACAGCCTCAGCGGCACCATCCCCAGCTGCTTCTCCCGCCTCACCAACCTCCAAGTCCTGTGCGCACCCTCCCTGCCCATCCCTCTCACTCAACCCACATCGTTCCAGCTCACTCCACACCTCTCCAGATCGCAGCTCTCCAATATCCCTCCCTGCTCATCGTTAGATCGCTATAGGTCATGTTGACTAACTTCCAATATCCCTTCTTCTTGCTGCTCTTTGGCCTGGCTGTCAATCTCACCGCCGTACCTCAGGCCACTCCTTGCTTGCAGGGAGCTGTATTGACCGCCTCTGAATACCTCCACCCACTCCAGGCCATCCCATGGCACCTTACTCTGACCCGCACACTATACCCCTGCAGGGATCTGCACCGCAACCAGCTCTCAGGGCCCATGCCTCCTGAGCTCGGCAACATGCTCTCTCTGCAGACTCTGTACTGCCGCCAGGCTCCATTCACCACCCACTCGAGCAATTCGTTCTGTTTCCCTGTGTGCTGTATGCCACCATGCTCTCTCTCGTGACCCTCTAAATTCTACCATGCTCCATCCGTCTCGCAATGCTCTATCTGTCGCGCAATGCCCTGTATACCTCTACTGCACCACACTCCCTTTCCTTGTCTTGCTGCTATCCACTACCCTCCCATGCCCTCACGCTCACATGCATGTGTCTGTATCATCCCCCCCAACCTGCCACTCCTTGCCTGCCATCCTCCTATGCGTCCCAGGTTCCTCAAGAACAACAGCCTTACAGGCGCCATCCCCTCCAACCTCTCTCTCGCGCAGAACCTCACCAACCTGTAAGCCAGCTCGGGTCAGCTCGTCTTGCCCCATTTCACCACCCCTGATCCCTTGTTTCCTCCCCCCTGTCACGCCCCCTCTTTATCACTTCATTTTCTCTTATCACCTCTCAGGCCCTCACTCACTCCATCACTTCCTCAATCTCTCCCTCTTGCTCTCTTTACCATTCCACACGTGTACGCTTCTCACATGTTTGTGCCTCTTGCGTCCCCCTCTCCCGCTCGTCTCAGATGGTTGGGCAACAACAACCTGCATGACCACCTCCCGGGCCCTCTGGGCAACCTCCCGAATCTCGTCTCTCTGTGAGCGTCTTTCTTTCCTACCTCGCGCCATCCTTCGCATCGCGTCGCCTCCCAGACTCCCTACTTCAAGTGAGTTCCCGCTCTCGTCTTGGGCATCACAGATCCATCCCTCCATCCCTCCAACCGCTTTGCTCCTCCCCCTCTCTGCAGCTCCATATCGGACAATCCGGGCATCAATGGGTCCATCCCAGATGCCTTCACTCGCCTCATCTCGCTCCAGTCCTTGTCAGTACCTCTCTGTACCCTTCAGCAACCCTCAGAACCCTTCAGTAACCCACAATATCCGCTCAATAGACCTCAGTCTCTGCGTTTATTCTTCCGCTCTCTTCTCCACGAGCCTTGTCCACGGAATAGCCTTGTCGTTGACCTTTTACCCTTCCTTCTTTCCCTGTATCACTCCCCCCTCCCTCCTTCCCTTATTTCTTTCTCCTCGTTTCCCGCATCCCCCATCCCACCAGCAATGCGACCAACACCAGTCTCTCGGGCTCCATGCCTCCATGCTTCTCCAACATGCAGAACCTCACCCACATGTGAGATGAACCTCACCCACATGTGAGATGGACCTCACCCACATGTGAGATGAACCTCACCCACATGTGAGATGAACCTCACCCACATGTGAGATGAACCTCACCCACATGTGATATGAACCTCATCTCTGCTGGTGGCGGTGCTGCCATTATCCACCTCCTGTGCACATCACCATTGCTGCTACTCACCCTTATTTGCCCCCGCTGCTAACTAACCACTCGTATGCGTACGTCACTCAGCATCCTCCCCCCAGGCAACAACTTCTGCCCAGCGGAGGGGCAGTGCTGCAGCGACAACCTCACCAGCAGCGCGCCTTCGGCCTTCCGCGCGCCGCCCAACATGACGTGCCCCTTCTGCACCTTCTGCTCCTCCTTCTGCGGCTCCTGCCAGCCACCACGTACGCATCCTTGCATGCATGTGTGCTTGGATAGCACTGTAGCAGCACTTACTACAACGCGGTACATACACTCATGCATGACTGAGAGTGTCTCTGAATTCTAGCGTCCACATCTTTCAACCCTGTATTTCCTTGAACTTTCCATTCCTTCTCCATTTTTCCGTCCGCCTCTGATAATGCTCCAAGTTCTTTCTCGCTGCACCCCTCTCGCTGCACCCCTCTCGCTGCACCCCTCTCGCTGCACCCCCCTCGCTGCACCTCCATCCCACCAGCTCTGTCAACGGGGGCCATAGTGGGCATAGTGGTGGCCTGCGTGGTGTTTGTAGCAGCTCTTCTCGCTCTTATCATCTGGTGGCAGTGGAGGAAGCGCTTCGTGGCCTCCAAGCTCGGTGCGTGCCACGCTAATCCCACGCGTGTGATGTGCTCTTGCACTCAATTCTGCTCCCGCCCGCCCCCCTTTCCCCCCATCGCAAGCACCCTGAGCCCTCGTTCTCCCTCCCTCTGGTGCCAACCCTTTTCCCTCTCGTTCTCCCTCGTGTGGCACGGTGAGCAGCGGAGTGGGAGGAGGCTTTGAAGCGGCACTCGTTCCACCGCTTCAGCCTGAGGGACATCCGCCTGGCTACCAACAACTTCAACCGCGCCAACCTCATCGGCCAGGGCGCCTTCGGGGTCGTGTACTGCGCACAGGGGCCTGGTGACCAGGTGAGATAAAAGAGGGGAGGGGGGGGGGAAGGGGGTGGGTTGGTTTGTTGTTCTGTGAGCTGACCAGTGCCAACCTCATCGGCCAGGGTGCCTTCGGTGTTGTGTACTGTGCACAGGGGCCTGGGGACCAGGTGAGGTAGAGTGTACAGAGTAGACAGCAGGTTAGAGTATGTAGAGTAGACAGGGCTGGTTAGATTAGACAGAGCTGGTTAGTGTGAGTGTGTGAGTTTACTGGTATCGTTTTGGGCTTGTGCTTTCAGCACTAGGACGTGGCATTTAGGGGAGAGAGTATGGGGGCCTTGGAGGCACGGCATACGCCCTGTGACCCAGTGCACGTCAGCATCTCATTGCGTGCGGTTTCTTCCAATGCTGCTCCATGTGGTTCGTGACACTCCATTCTCTCTGTGTTCTTGGTACCATGTGCCATGTGCCCTGTGCCATGTGCCACGTGCCATGTGCCTCCTGTCATGCCATGCCATGCTATTTGCTGTGAGCAGCTGTGGGCAATCAAGCGGTCGCGAATGATAGCCAAGGACGCATCTGAAAGCACCGAGTTCGAGTCAGAGGTATGCAGACATCTTTCTGTTCTCCTGCTCTCCTTGACCTGACATCCCCTCCCCCCCTCTCTCTTTTCCACGCCGTGTCTTGGGCTTCTGCACCAAGTGCGGCGGGCAAACACACTCTCTCTCATCCACTCCCTGCCCCTCGCCCAGGTGCGCACGGTGTCACGTCTGAGCCACCGCAACCTGGTGCGGCTGCTGGGGTACTGCAGCGAGCGCGGCGAGCAGATCCTCGTGTACGAGTTCGTCCCCAACGGGCCGCTCAGCAACTACCTCTACGCCACCCACCAGGGCGCCTGCCTCGACTTCCAGCAGCGCCTCGAGGTGGCCATCGGCGTGGCGGAAGGGCTGGCCTACCTGCACAGCTCCACCCAGCCCGCCATGGTGCACCGCGACATCAAGCCGGCCAATATCCTGCTGGATGCCACCTGGCAAGCGAAGATCGCTGATTTCGGCCTGGTGAAGGACCTGGGGGACAATGGAGCATCGGTGGCCACGAGGGTGGTTGGCACGCGGGGGTATCTAGACCCCGAGTATTTCAGCCGGGATAAGGTTACCACCAAGGCTGACGTGTACAGGTGAGGCTGATGTTTTTATGGTGTGCTTACCAACCATTGCTTATTCTGTCACCTACCATTCCTTATTCTGTCATTTATCTTCCTTATTCCATATTCCTGATTGTGCCACCTCTCTCCCCTGATTGTGTCCCCCCTCGCTCTCCCGCCCGCCTAGCTTCGGCGTGGTGCTGATGGAGCTGGTGACGGGTCGTCCCGCCTCCTCTGTGGACCCCACCAGCGACAACCATGCCACCATCCACATCTCATCATGGGTATGCTGACACCATCAAGGGAGGCACGGAAAGCGTGTCGAATGCTACCACCATGCATGCCTAGCTGTGGAGCTTTGCCACCTTGTCCGTGCTGCTCAACATTCTTGGCCATATTCATGTCTGACGTTTTTCTCTCCCCCTTGCGTGCCCCCACTGCTCTCAGACCATCCCGTACATTGAGGATGGGGACATCACTCCCATCTCCGACCCGCGCATATTCTCGCCAGAGATCTCGGAGCACCTCATGGCCATCTGCAAGATCGCCAAGGACTGCATGCAGGTGGGCACAATGCCATTAGCACTGTTCTACACATTCCTGGTCCTCCTCCACGCAGTTTCGACCGAGAGTTCTAAGCCAGTACAGATCGTTCATTCAATCCCCATTTCCTCAAATAACCTAGCCCCCTATACCCCCCCACCCCCCTCTCCCACCACCAGTTGCCTGGCAAGGACCGGCCAGAGATGGTTGATGTGGCTCGCATGTTGCGGGATGTGAGGCGCCAAGCGTTCGGCGTGGGAGCAGAGGAGATTCAGCTGAATGAGGTGCCGGCCTCGCCTCTCGCCTCGCTCTACTCCTACCATCACTCCCAGCCAGCCTCAGGCTATGGAACAGACTCGTACATAGAGTTCTCAGGGCCGGTTCCCAAGTAGCGATGGAACCTGACCACTTCCAATTAGTACCTAGAATTAGTCAGGGTGACAGGCGATTTGCAGATAGACCTGGGAATGTACCTTATCGTAACTTATGCAAAGCTGGCCTGAGTGGTACCCTCAATTTGGGCACATCAGCCATGTGTTTGGTATTCAGAAAGTTTATACACGACATGCGGCAAGTGAAGTGCTTGAACGTACTCTAATTGTGAAAATTCATTATATCCATAGCAAGTTAGGCAGCAACAGGAGACTTGGCAACAATGCGCTCATAAGCCTCACGCAGCTTCAGCCCCACAATGGTCTGCAGCAAGCCCGTGCCGTTGTTGCTACCGGGGAAGTCGGCATTCTTGAGCATCTGCTGGGTGATCTCTCCGTAGAACTTGGTGGACGTGTTGCTCAGATGGCTCTCAACGTAGATGAGCTCGTCCAGCTTGTCAAACTGGCCATCCATCTCCAGAACAGACACCTGACGATAGGGGGGGAGGGGAGGAGGAATTGGTCAGAAACAGTGATCGTTGAGGTATTACTTACTTTTGTCAGGGCTGTGCATTGAGCTTTCCCCAGCATTTGTGATGCACCAGTTCCTTCAGCTCAAACATGGAGACACTGTACGCATACAGTGAGTAACTCCACGGGAATGAGTTGAAGCCTGGATAATGAAAGTCTCCAGGAGAGCCATGTCTTACCGGATTGCCGAAGTAAGTGTCGGGGCCATAGAAGAACTTGATGCCAGGGTAGGAGCAGGTGAGCTTGCGGCCGCAGGGGATCCAGGAGATGCTGGAGCCCTCGTCGAAGAGGTACACGGGGTCGAAGGTGTTGAGGCCCTCCTTCTGCACCATGCGCACGCGCAGCACTTTCCCCTCGTTGTCGTCAGGAATCAGCTGGGTCGGCAGCACCTGAATCACCACATCCGCGTGCTCCTTCTGCGGGTCTGATGGATTTCAAAGAGGGAAAATGCTACTAAGGACGAAGCTCCAACGATGAATGCTGTTTAGTCACCCCTGCACACGCGTGAGTTAATCCAACAGCATATCGACTGAATGCAGTGTTATGTAGCGAGGTGTGGTCGAGCGGCAGCATACCAATGTAGGCGTCGAAGTCTGGCTTCCTCGCTTCAATCGAAGCCTTGATGCTCTCCAGGCTGTGACCGCGCTCAGCCATGTCACGCTGCAAGAAACACGGATATGTTAAGTTACGCGCGCAATGCGTACCATTTGCCTAAAATCTTTGCGTGCAGGAAACCCAGCGGAGCGCTGGACCACCAGTAGAACGTTGCGGGATTACTTACCTGAATCTTCCAGGCGAACTTGACCTCATCGCTGATATCAAGATAGATGCTGAAATCAATCAGCTCCCGCACGCGCTCGTCGTACCTGGACACAGGAACAGTCAGGATCCGACTTAGCGAAATCTCCTGGAGAAGCATCTACATCAGAATGGCACATCGATGACACGTACATGGGGTGCAGAGAATTCAAGAGAAGCATGTACATCAAGGGATCCCGCCATACGTACATGGGATGCAGGCCCTCGATGACGAGGATGTCGGGGGACTCGATGAGTTCCGGCGGGTCGAGCAGGCCGGACACGTGGTTGTAGATGGGCTTCATCACGGACTTGCCTTCCTTGAGCGCCTTCACCTGCTCGTACATCAGGTCGAAATCGTTCGCCTTCGGGTCCAGCGCCGTCACATTCGCCACCTTGCGACCGTTGCGGTCGAGCGAGTGGTAGTCGTCGAGGCAGATGACGGTCGTCATGTCGCTGAGGAGGGTGTTGGAGTCCGGGTTGCCTCCCTTGGGGGGAGAAGCTGAGCCTCCGAACACGCCGGTCATGCGCCTCATGAACGTGCTCTTCCCGCATCCTGAATCGGCGGCCAGGCCGACCACCACGGTCTTGTTCCCAACCTTGCAGACTACAAGCACGGGCTTCCTGGCACTGTTAGGACGAGACTTGAGCGTGGCCTTAGCAGCGACTTCCTTAGCGCCAGCGGAAAAAGAGCTTCCGAGGGTCACATTGTGAAGCTCGCTCCTTAGGGCACCAAAGCCCTTGGCCGGAGCGGCCTTCACGGAGAGCACCTTGGACTGGACGCCAGAGGAGAGAGCTGCAGCCATGGTTGAAATAGAGATCCCTTGTCAATTAGGAAAATCTCTGGGGAACCAAGGGAATGCAACACATTGATAGCTCCGTCTAGTCTTGGCGATCGTCCTGTGCGACGTGCGTCGCACAGCCTCATCCATTCAACAGCTCAGGCCAATCAGCGATGGCGTTGCCGAAAACCATCACGGCATTCGCCAATCAGAAAGGGGTGGTTGTCTGCGAAAATGACCAAGCATTCGCGAACTGCCCGACGAAGACGCACACGAACCATTTGCAGGGGCATGTGCCACCAGCACAACACTCAGCCAAAGCAGTGACTGATGATCATTTGCAGTTACAGCGAATTCAACTCATGATCAATATTCACAACATGAATAACGAAACAAGAATTCACATCCTACCCATGCGACTTAGACTAGAGGAAACAACCCACTTCTCTCTAACCAATTCAAACCATACATATAATTAATCTTAAAGAAAATTTCCATGATATATATATATATAGGTCATCAGATCAGATTCTCTTCGTATTGCATTCACCCCTTGGGTCAAACCACTCTGCTATATTCTCAGTGATTTCCTAAAAGCATGTAAATTTTGATGTATCTCGTAATACGTTAGGTAAGTTGTGGTGGAGCCTCGCCTACATGATTGCTTGCTATACCCGACCAGCCACGGAAATCATCACAATATGAGTTGCATGGGATTGTATTTAGATAATGATAAAAAATCCTTCTATACAGATTCCTTTTGGTTCTAATATTCGTGTTAGGACGTTTCATGCGTACATGCAGAGGGAGGTCTGTATAGTGGGAATTTCGAAGTGTACACAAAGTTGTGTCATCGGATAATGGGGCGGGTGCAGCCAGTGTTTTAACAAATCAAACAGTTTCGGGTTGGGTGGTGCTCATCTCAGTCAGAGCCAGACCTGTTCGTGGGTTGAGAAGTAGGTGGGTTTCGGGTTGTGTGGTCACCCAACCAGGCCGCTTCTTTTCCGGTTCCAGTTTTTAGGAATTTTAAAAACATTGAAGTGCCTTGCACACAATACTCCGTCACCAAACCCGTGTTCGGGGTGACAAAGTGAACAGAGTAAACCAGAACATAGAGCCGTGAAACTAGTTATTGGAAGGGTTAACCCTCTGCAAAGGCTATCCCTCTCTCAACCTGGAATGGAGAAATGCGTGGGTGGGAGAGGCCCAGTTGATCTGACGACGCTGCTGGGAGATTTGTTTCTCATGATTTTGAGCTAGGGCTTGGTGCACATGAGCGGCTCTCGAGTACCACGTCAGCTCGATTCGCTCACCCTTCGTTCAGGGTATCGTAGCGCGTTCTGACATCTCGTTTTCGCGGCCTGCGATTGGGCTTGGACAGTTCGGCGCTCCCTGAATTCAGCAAATCAGCGACGTTCATACTTGACTGTTTTCCCACGTGCCAGCCCAACGGTTCTGGCTAACTGTGCGACACGCCAGTAGGTTCCGGCTTTCGATTTTCAGCATTGTGTCGCGCCCAGTGGGCCGTCGCTTTCGCGACTCGAATTTTACCCCACACTCCTCCCGTTCTGCCATCAACCCAAGCCATCCCTTTTTTCCCACCCTCGAGCCTCCCATTTCCCAACCTGCTCCACGCGTTTTCGGCTTGCCAATAAATCCCCTCATCCAGCCTTCATTTCTAGTTTTCATCTCCATTTAGACTTCAGCCGTCCCTTTGTTACTACAATTACGAGCATCGCTGCTCGCTGATCGAGCTTGAGGCTTGCACCTTCTGCTGGAGTTTCTCGCTTCTGTTACGCATCCCACGCAATGACGTCTTCAGCTTCGAGTTAACGTTGCTTCCGCGATCAAACATGGTAAGCTTCTTAAGTTTTTTTATTCGTTCGCCTTCACTATTTTTCCTGGAGTAAGCTGACGTTCTCTTTGTTTTTTTGCAGGAGCTTACGGAATATTTGTGATACCAAGATCTGCGACCAGACGATCAAGACCTGCGACCAATATCTGCGACCGAGATCTGCGACGCTCATCCAAGCCTCGCGACGTGCAAGCGAGAGTTGTAAGGTAAGCTACGGAACGAGGGAGATGGGGGGGCGAGTAAGCGTCTACGATAGGCCCGCCGAGAGAGTCAGCTTTTACTGTTTCGCCCTGTCGTTTTTCAAGTTTATACGCCTACTAACGATTTTCCGTCTTTGTCGTCTGTTGCATGATCGCCTCGCCGTTTGTGCGTGAGAGTCACGACCTTGCCGCTTCGTCTGAAGAAGGCTCTTGTGCCTCAAGACCTATTTGCATGAAGACATATTTGCCGAGACACCACCTCAAGACCTCAAGACACGACCCGAAGAGTCGAGAAAGGTGAGATGGCGATGCGAGGGAGGTGGGGGGGCGAGCAGGTGTCGGCGAAAGCCCGTCTAGAGAGTCGCTGCTTTCGTTTTGTCGTGTCGTTGTTCACCTTGCGTGTAAACTTACACTCTCGTGTTTCGCCTTGCATGTTCGTCAACCGATTCGCTCCGTTGGAGTCAACGCGTTGGGTCTTCCAACGGCGACACTCTAGGCGTGATCAACTCGCCTGCTGCTCGGATCAAGTCGCCTGCTGCTCGGATCAAGTCGCCTGCTGCTCGGATCAAGTCGCCTGCTGCTCGGATCAACTCGCCTGCTGCTCGGATCAAGTCGCCTGCTGCTCGGATCAACGCGCCTGATGAGTATCCCTCGGCCCTTCATTGCCTTGTCGTTTCACGTGCATCTCGCTCTGCTCGCCAGCTCAGTAGCACACCCAGGCCCCCCCCTCTCTCAGGTTCAGACTATCAGGTGCTGGTATACCCCCACTGCAGGTGCAAAATTTTATTAGCCAAGGTACCCCCTTGGGTGTGCTACATCCGGCATGCTTTCTCGTGCATTCACTCGTGCTTGCATCTCCGTTCGTCCTTACTGCTTGCATTTCATCTCAGTGCCCGTTGCTCCTTCCTGTTGACCGATCGCCTTCCTGTGTTGTTCCTGTGTTGTTCCTGTGTTGTTCCTGTGTTGTTCCATTGTTGTTCCATTGTTCTCTCTCAGGCATGGCGCTGCCTCCCCCAAGGAAGACCGTGCTCCTTTCACTGAAGGCGGTGCTGCTGTGACTGCTGGTAAAGGCGCATGGGATGGTTTCTTTGCCAAGGTAAGACTCCCCTTCTCTCGTCGTGTATTATAGACGCCCCTTTCCCATCACTCATTGAAATCCTGTCCCAGTCGTTTTACTTGTCGCGTTGACTGACTTGGTTCCTGCCATCTTGGTGCGCAGGTCCCCTTGGAGACGGTGGCCTGGCAACTGGGAGGAGCAGAGCCATGCCTGCAGAGGACCGTCACGCTCTCCAGCGACCTCCACGCTTTTAAGGCGTTTCCTCTTAAGGCGTTTCCTCTTAAGGCGTTTCCTCTGAAGGCCTTGCTGCTTCCACCAAAGGCTGTTTCGGCTCCTGCTTTGACTGCTGGTAAATGCGCACGAGAGAGCGCCTCTGCCAAGGTAAGACGGCGTTTTTTTCAGAATCAGCCTCTCGTGGGTTTAAGTTCTGTTGTAGACGTTTAAGTTCTGTTTTACTTACTTGTCGCTTTCCCCTCTGCTGCGCAGGTCCGCCTTGGACACGGTGGTCGGTGCATGAGCTTTCCCCGTGGAGACGTTGGCCGCGGAGCACGAGCAGAGCAGAGGGCAGCCGGACTGACGCTCCAGCGACCTTTACGCTCAGGCAGATGAGTATCACCGAACTTAATCTCTTCGCTTTGACCGTTTTGCCACTTGTCGTTTTGCACGCATCCTCTCGTCGCTCTAGCTGCCTGTAGCACTCCCAAGCCGCCCCCTCCTGTATCAGGTTCAGACTACGGTACATCCCCCATCACGGGTGCAAAACTTTTGAAGCCAAGGTACCCCTTGGGTGTGCTACAGGAGCCTATTCTTTCACGTCCGCCGCTCATGCATGCATATGCCTTTCGGGTTCTCTTGCTCACTTCCTTGCATCTGACATTGCACCCACCCAACCCCCCCCCCCCCCCTTCCTCCCCCACTCTCCCCCCTCTTGTTGTTCAGAGCGACCGTTTTGGTCGTCGCCCTTGGCTGACTTGGTTTCCGCCTCTGGTGCGCAGGTCCCCCTATGAGAACCAGAGGACCAGAGCCAGGTTCCCCTCTGACTTGGAAGGGCAGCCCGGAGGACCAGACCAGAGCCATGGCAGCACGAGCACGAGAAGGGGAGTGCCGCCTGTTGCGCCCTTGCTCCTCAGAGTCCGGGGATGGCTTCTCACCAAGGTAAGGCACTTCCCACAACTCCTCCTTTGGTCTGCTCTCGTTTTGGTCTTTTGAGTCACCTCAAAAGTCACTTTGAGTCGACTCAAAAGTCACCTCAAAAGTCACTTTGAGTCGACTCAAAAGTCACCTCAAAAGTCACTTTGAGTCGACTCAAAAGACCAAAACGAGACCTTTGAGTCACCTCCGACACCTCTTCCTTTCATGCAATCTGCTCTCGTTTTGGTCTTGAATTGTTTTCAGGGCAATCGTGTTGTTCCTGGCCATGACTGGATTGGTTTCCGCCTCTGGTGCGCAGGGCCTAGCAAGGGTGGCAGCGATGGACCAGAGCCGTGGCAGCTGGAGCAGAGGACAGCACGGACGGATGACCCTCTGGTGCACGGATGGACCTTTGGTGCTCTACTCCTTGTGGCAGCACGAGCTGAGCAGCGCGAGGAAAGGCAGAGGCACGAGGAGGGGGGAACCACCTGCTGAACCGTCGTGCCCCACTCCGCCTGTCAAGCCCCTTCAAGAAACTAAGAAGCCACTCACCCCACCGGCTGCAAGAAGCTAAGTACCTCGCCCTGCCGCCACTCACCCTGCTCTTGCAATTTCCCCGTTTTCAGCATGCATGTGGTACCGTCCGTCTCGTTGCATCTCTCGCCACTCGACTCGAGCTGCCTGTAGCACACGCAAAGCCCCCCCTGGATCAGGTTCAGACTAAGGTATCCCCCCACCCACTGCTGGTGCAAAACTTTTTTAGACAAGGTACCCCGTTCGGTGTGCTACAGCAGCCTTCGCTTCGTTCCCGCCTCTCATCCGTGCATGTCTCTCTTTCGCACCTCCCTTGCTCGCTCATCTGCATCCAAACTCGCTTATTCTCTCCCCCCCCCCCCCTCTCCCTCCTTTACCTCTCCTCTTCCGCTCCCGCTCCCCGCCCGCCTCTGGTGCAGAGGACTGACTGCCTTGGCCTGCGGTGAGGAGCACCCCGTGTGCTCCTCTGCGCCAATCCGCTCCGTCTATCTCCAATGAAAAGATAAGTCACCTACCCTACTCCTTCGCCTCTGACCGTTTTGCACCTTGCCGTTTCGCCTGCATGTGCCTGGTGCATTCATCGTCGCCCTTGCTGCCTATAGCACACCCAAGCCCCCCCCCCCTGTATCGGGTTCAGACTAAAGGTACAGGTATCCCCCCATTACGGGTGCAAAACTTTCAAAGCCAAGGTATCCCCCTTGGGTGTGCTACAGCAGCTTTGCTCGTGCATGCTTGCCTGCCTTGACTGCAGTTCCGCCCTCTCTGCATCTGCATCCGCTGCTACCAACCACTCACTCCCACCCCGGTACACCCACCCCTCCCTCCTCCTTCCCACTCCCCGCAGCAGGTACCAGGACTCGCCTCACGGACTGTCCCTTCGGGTCTGCTGCTGCTGCTGGAGCTGGGGCTGCCGCTGGTGCCGCTGGTGCTGCTGTGACTGCCAAGGCGGAGGTCTGGGCGAGCTGGCTGTTTGCCAAGGTAAGGCACCTTCGAACTCGTTCTGCATGCATTCGCATCCAATTTCCATGCATGACTTGGTTTCGCTTTCAAGCGCTGCTCGTTTTCTACCCTCGTTTAGTCCACTTATTCACCCCCCGCCCCCCCACCCTCCCCCCTCCCCTCCCCCCCCCCCCACCCTGTCCACAGGTCCCCCTCCCCGGTCCTCCCAGCTGGTACCGAGACTCGCCTCACTGGCCCTCCCTCCTTCCGGATTGCTGCTGCTGGGCTGCTGCTGCTGGGGCTGGTGCTGTCAAGGCGGAGTGTGGGGCTGGCTGGCTGTTGCCAAGGTAAGGCCAATTCTCTTAACTCAATCCTCCTCCATTCATATCCAATTTCCATGCTTGACTTGGTTTCGCTTTAAGCACTGCCCGTTTTCTACCCTCGTTTGGTTTACTGATACCCCAACTTTCGCTCCCCACCCCTTTCCCCCTCCCCCCCCCACCTCTCCTTCCGCCCGCAGGTCCCCCTTCCCGCTCCTCCTAGCTGGTTCCAGTACCCGCCTCACTGGCTCTTCCTTCCAGACTGCTGCTGCTGGTCTGCCGCTGGGCCGCAACGCTGCTGGGGCTGCCGCTGCTGCTGGTGGTTTCAAGGCGGAGCCTGGGGCTGGCTGACGATTGCCGAGGTAAGGCCAGTGTCCTGCTCACATGCTTCCAATTCTCATGCGTGACTTGGTTTCACTTTCAGCTCTTCTCGTTTCGTACCCTTCGTTGGTCAACTAATAATACCCCTCCCACCCCTCCCGCCGTTCACAGGTGATGGAAGCGAGCCTCGGTTGGTGGTGGTGGTAAGTGACAATGGAGTGGTGGCGGGGAGTGGTGCGGAGTGGTGGAAAGTGGTGGTGGTGGTGAGCAGTGGGGTTGGGGGTTGATCTCAAGCTTGGGCCCAATACCCGCACGTTTAAGGCTTAATGGACGAGCACCAGACCCTGCGGCCGGGGTGTTCTGGTGTGAGTGTCCCCTCTAGCCACGTCGGTGAGGGGCTCAGGTCTTGGGGTTGGCCCTCAGCCCCACTGCTGGTGGTGGTGGAGAGTGGTGGAGAGTGGTGGTGGTGGCAGGGGGGAAGTTGTGGTGGTGATGGTGGGACGAAGTGATGGTGGTGGCGAGATGCTGGGAGGTGGTGAAGGGAAGGAGTGGTGCTGAGGGTTCAATCCCCAGGATGAGCCAAGGGGGAGGCAGTGGAGGGGGGGGGAGGGTTGGGGGAGAAACCTCCCGAGTAAGGTGGTGGCAAAGCAAGGAAGAGGGTTGAAACCCTCAGAGTAAGGCTGTTGAGGGGCAGGGGGGGGAAGGGGGTTGGAACCCCCAGGTTGATGCAAGCAAAGGGCAGGGGAACCCCCCTCCGCTGCCTTTTTCTTGCTTGAACCTGGGGGTTTCAACCCCCTCTCCTGCCTCTCAACCGCCTTATTTTGAGGGCTTCAATCCGTTTCCATGCCTTGCTCTCACCCTACTCGGGGGATTTCGACCCCTCCCCTCCCTCTGTCAAGCCAAACTGATGGTGGTGGAAAGTGATGGTAGTGTTGGATGTGCAAAGGGGGAGTGGTGGTGGTGGGAAGTTGTGCTGGTGGTGAGGGGTGCTAGTGACCTGCTATGACATAGTGTGATGTTGATGGCAGTGCTAGCTGGATAGCAATAGGTTGGCTGCAGGATGGAAGGCTAGTTTGAAGAAAGTCTTGTAATTTTACTCGTGCATAATTTTCTTCACCTCGAAATGTATATCATCAATCTTATGGAATGTTGCATGAGCTGGTGGACTTGCTTGGACAGTGTACAGCGTGCTAATTGCTGGGATGCTGGACCGTTCCAACATCATGAAGTGGATTGAGATATGGTTGTATATCTACACCTCCTGTCACGTGGTTTTTGTTGGGCTGAAAAAAGGCCTTAGGATCTTTTGCAGAGACTAAGTCCCAGCTTGTAGAGACTTGAGACTTGGAGTAGTGCAGCGGAAGTTGAGGCAGTTGAACCCTTGTACTAGTATGTGAGAACAAGTGATTGATTAAAGAAACAAGCATACAGCAATATATAGAAGATAAGAAAGCAGTTGCAGAGTACAGTTACAGGAACGGTTTATCGAGTCGCATAGCGACTCGAATGCCGCTTCGGTTACCATCCGTGATGCTGTAACGGTCAGTCGCAACCTCCAGTTGCGACCTTTCGGGTCTTTTCGCATTCTTTGTCCGCCCCCTCGTGTAACCTCCGTTGACTCGCGTGCTCCCCTGTAGTCTTCCTCGAGTGTAGTGTTACACTTCAGAAACGCTTAAGTTCTTTGAGATATTTCCAACACTCCCCTTCGTTTCTGGAGTGCTGTCATGTTCGGGTCCGGTGACGTTTGTTTGCCCGGTCAGGAGCATGCAGTAGTCGAATTTTGCTTTCGCCAATTTCTTCGTCAGGTAGTCTGCGGCCATTTCTGTCGTCGGGCAGTAACTGAGTTGAAGTCTCCCCTTCGCGATTTCATCCTTGACGAAGAAGTACCGCAGGGCGATGTGCTTGGTTCGGTTGGCGAAGCCGTCCTTGTTTGCGATTTTGATCGCAGATTGGTTGTCGCAGAGGAGTGAGAAGGCGGGCAGGGTCGCAATCTTCGCTTCCTCGAGTAACTCTCGTAGATAGAGTCCTTCCTTGGTCGCAGTACAAAGGGCGATATACTCTGCTTCGGCCGAGGATAGTGCGATTAACTCCTGTTTGCTCGACTGCCAGGAGATAGTTCCGATAGGTTCTAGTCGGTAGATGTAGCCCGTCCTAGACCGTCGATTTTCGCTGTCTCCCGCGTGGTCGGCGTCGACGTATCCGAGTAGTCGTACGGACGGTGTTGTGGCCTTGCTGTAGGTGAGCCCGATCGTCGGCGTGGAGACGAAGTAGAGTAGCGCTCGATTGAGTTCCTCGAGATCTTCCTGTTTCGGCTGCTTCAGATGTGTCGCCAACTGACTCCCACTATAGGACAGGTCGGGTCGGCATGTTACTGATGCGAATAGTAGGCAGCCGAGCTTCTGTTGATACTCCTGGATTTGTTTCGCGGGGAGTTTTGTAGAGGCGCTGCTGTTGTTCCCGTAGCGGTAGGGAGTTGGGACCGCAGTCGGTGTTAGACCGAATTTCTTCGCGACGGTGCTTGAGTACTTTCCAGCGTGTAGGTAGAACGCCGTGTCGTCTTCGACGACGTTCAGTCCTAGGTACTGCGTAACTTCGTCGGACACCGTGAGAGTTAAATCTTCTTTCAGCTCCCCTTCGAACCAGGTGGCGATGTCGGTAGTGGAGCCGATGTAGAGCAGGTCGTCGACGTAGACGATGAGCAGAACATACTCTCTTCCCTTCTGCAGTCGGTACATCCCTTGGTCATGCGGCAGCTGTAGGAAGCCGATTTTTACGAGACGGCTGTGAAGATGCTGCTGCCAGAGCCGCGGGGCTTGCTTGATCCCGTATAGGGATTTTGTCAGTCGGCATATTTTCGTGGGGTCGTCGATGAATCCGTGGGGTTGTTCGACGAAGATCTCAGCGTCCACAGGTGCGTATAGGAACGCATTCGCGACATCGATTTGGCGTAGTGGTAGTGTTTTTGTGGCCGCGACGGCGAGTAGGATGCGTAATGAGGTGTGACGGGAGACTGGAGCGAAGGTTTCTGTGTAGTCGGTTCCGTATCGTTGATCGAAGCCTCGTACGACCCATCGAGCTTTGAATCGTTCGATGGAGCCGTCTGAGTTGGTCTTGATGCGGTACACCCATTTCCCCGAGAGAACGTTCTTCCCGTTGATGCTCGTTGCAGGTACCAGTTTCCATGTTTCTCGGTCTTGCAGAGCTTTTAACTCCTTTTCCATCGCTTCTTTCGATTTTGCCTTATGTTCCCCCCCCAGAGCCTGCGACAAGGTTGAAGGCTCACGCGTAGAAGGCGGCGGCGGATGCTGGACGGAGACCCAGAGGCCTAGAATCTGGAGTCCCGTGGGTGTGTGTCGAGGGGAATTGTCATTCCCGGAATAAGCTGCTTCGTCACCGTCTTCGGGGTCAGGTAAGAAATTGGGGCCGATGCGTTCCGAAATATTCGTGTCGACGGGGTGAGGTGTAGCGTAACCTTGGTCGGCGAAGTGGTAAAAGGTGTCGAGGTTGTTGCTATCGAGGGGATTATCTTCATCGAGTGGAACAGGTACGGAACAGAATGGGAGTGGCCCGGCAGCTTCCGAGGCTCCAGGTACGTCTTCTTCTGCTGCGTCAGCTTCGGCAGCACGATCGGCGAAGGAACGAAGTCCCGAGAGGCCGTCGGTGGGGTCTTGTGTGTTGGCAAGGTTGTCCAGGTAATGCTGCAGAGTCAGTCGTTCGTAGAAGATAACGTCTCGTGATGCCACCGTGTTTTTGTCTTGTATGTCGAGAATTTTCCACGCGTGAAAATGTTTCGCGATGCCGAGGTGGAGTCCCCACCGAGCTCGTTGTGTGAAGCGTCCTGCTCGGGCTGTGTGGGGTCTGTACTGTACCATGCAGCCAAAGACTCTGAGTAATTTTGTGCTGCCCCTTTTTCTTGTCCACAAGAGGTGCGGTGATGCGTTGTTGGGAAGTGATGACGAGGACAGCAGGTTGTGCAGGTGAACAGCATGTGTCATCGCGTCTGGCCACAGTGTGGTTGGCAGTCGCATCCCCTGAAGCAGTTTTCGCATCGTCGTCTGCAAGGTCCGATTCATGCGTTCTGCTACCCCCTGCTGTTGGTGAGCATAGGGCAGGGACACCAGGCGTCTGATTCCCCTTTCCGCCAGATAGGTCCTGAAGCGTTGTGACTGGTATTCCAGTGCACCGTCTGACTGGAAGCTCTTGAGTTTGAGTCCTGATTCTCGTTCGGCGATGGGGAGCCATGTTGTGAAGGCTTCGAAGGCTTGGTCGCGCGTTTTGAGATTGAAGTGCCAGACATATCTGGTTGCGGCGTCGATGAAAGTGATGACGTAGTTAAAGTCGGCTTCGGCGTCGTCTCGAGGCATGTTTAAAATATCGCTGTAGACTTTTTCCATCGGAGCGTAAGTAGGTGCGCTTGGGTTGTGATGGGATGGAAAAGGTTGATGAGGAAGATCTGCTTCGGGGCATGTGAAGCATCGTGCGCGTGGTCGTCGAAGTTCTTGACCGCTCGTCGTCAGAAGGGCGTTGCGTTCTAACACCTCTGCTTGGATTGTTTGAAGTATTGTGCTGTTTGCAGGGTGTCCGAGGCGTTGGTGCCAGATGTCGTCGGGAGCACGGTGACCGGGCGAGCGGTGGTAGATGTCGGCTTTGGAGAAGAACGCGACGACTGAGGCGGGACTTCGACAAGCTTCTCGTGTGGCGGGCATAAGTTGGTCTGCTTCCGTTGGCGGTCCTCGTGTTGATGGTGGTGGTACTCGGCTGGGTCCTGCTGCCGATACTGCAGGTGATGGTTTTGTTGGGACACTTGCGGGTACTTGTCTTTCTTGTCTGATAACTGCTAATGCTCGTGTTCTCTCTGCTGCAGGTATGGTGTTGGAGTGCCAGAAGCCGTCACTGTCGAAGTCGGGATCAAGATCCGGCGGGTGAGTCCAGGCGGCGAACGATACGATGCCATCGCTGTCGGCAGTTCCGCGGTCGGGGACGAAGTCCAACACGAAGACACCGGACTTCAGGAGAGCACGACCGATGAAGAGGCCGCCCTTCCCGTGGTAAAGCCGGAACTCGTTGGAGTAAGAGTCGCACTCCAGGTGAATCCCTTTGGCCATTAGTTGGCTTACGCTTAGTAGATTGTATCCCAGGTTGTCGACAATGAGCACTTTGTTGAGCTGCAGTATTACGTTTGTTTCCATGGATTGTAACTGAACCATGCCTTGTCTGTTTGTCTTCAGGTTTTCGTTGTTGGCGACTGTGATGACGACGTCGCGGTTGAGTCGTTTCTCCTGTTGCACGAAGCGTCCCGAGGAGCACATGTGTTGACCGCAGCAGCTGTCCAAGAACCAGGTGTTTCGCCCGGTGGGTTCGGCGTTGGCGACTGCAGCGTATGTCGGGTTGACCTGAAGTCCTTGCGAGCGCGGCGGCGGGAATTCCTCTTCGTCTGGTGCGTAAGTGGGTGGTGAACCGGGTGCGCAGTTGTCGATGTGTACCATGCAGTTGATGATGTTGGGTGTTTGTTGTGCAGATGTTGAAGAGCGCCTTGGAGGACTTGCTTGAGTGGAAGTGACTTGTGGGTCTGCTGCACGGTAAACGCGAGGGCGGTTGCAGTTGACTTTGGAGTGCCCGGAAGTCTGGCAGTTGTGGCAGAACGGCGGTACGATGGTGAGTCCTCGGTTGTCGCGTTGATCTTGCTTGCTGCGTCGGTTGTAGTTGTTGTCATTTCTTCTTTGAGTGTAGAAGACTAACTGCTGTTGCTTCCTTGGTTGTCTTTCCTCGAACAGATCCATCTCCTGTTGTTCAGCGTGAAGCTCGGCGCAGAGGTGCATCTCCGAAATTCTTCCGTGGGCTCGAAGAAGTGATCGTGTGGTTCTCCATTCTGGCCCGAGCCCGGCGAGGACAAGTGTCACGAAGCTTTCTTCAGTGATCGTTCCTCCGCACCGAAGCAGGCGGTCGCGGAGGGTCTGGCAGCGACTCATATACTGCATCGCTTTTTCCCCGGTCTTCATCTGTATTGTTGTCAGTTGTTGCATGAGTCTGCTTTGTGTCACGCTGTCGTTTGCTTGATAGAGGCACTTGAGATGATGCCATGCGAGTTCCGCGGAGTTTCCATAACTTCGATACGTTCTGATGCTCTGCTGCTCTTGTGGTGACAGGTTTCTCAGGAGTACCGTATACGCCAGCAGCGACTGATACGTGAAGATTTCTTGTTCCTTCCCAGTGCCGTTGCTTGGGAATGGCAGGGACCCGTTGAAGTATCCCAGAAGATGCGCGGCCTCCATCAGCAGCTCGAACTCGAAGCTCCAGGTAAAGAAGTCGTGTCCGTTGAACGGTGAGGATGTCTGAAGTTTAATTACGTGTGAGAACTGTGCCTGAAGACTTAAGATTTCGTTCGGTGTTTGTTGTGATGCAGCTGCTGTTGGCTGGGCACGGGGCGGCATGAACTCGAACGTCCCCGGTGAAGAGTGATAAGGCGCAAAAGTAGGTGCTTGATTGTGTCGCCCGAAGGATGAGTTGTCGAGGCTCATCGGCGCTAATCCCATATTCCCTCCATTGCTCTGTGTTGAGTGCGCAGGTGTCCTTGTCTGCTGCTGCTGGTCGAAGTGTGACATGAAGCTGAAGAATCTCTCCATGAGATTCGGGTCCACACTTGAAGAGGGAGACGGAGTCACCATCTCCGGTGCTCTTCCCGTTGTTTCTTGAGCAGTCCCGGTCTCTGTCTGCAGTCCTGAGGTGTGCAGACCAGAGTTGCCGTGTTGAGTTTCTTGGGCGCTGGGTGAGCCCGTAGAGACTTTCTTGCCCTTGCTGTCCATGTCTTGTAATCAATGAAGTCGTTGAATTGAGTTGAGTTGCAGGTCGTTGATGGAGCGTAGTTGCTGGGAGTTTGGTCTCTGACCAGCTCTCATACCATGTTGGGCTGAAAAAAGGCCTTAGGATCTTTTGCAGAGACTAAGTCCCAGCTTGTAGAGACTTGAGACTTGGAGTAGTGCAGCGGAAGTTGAGGCAGTTGAACCCTTGTACTAGTATGTGAGAACAAGTGATTGATTAAAGAAACAAGCATACAGCAATATATAGAAGATAAGAAAGCAGTTGCAGAGTACAGTTACAGGAACGGTTTATCGAGTCGCATAGCGACTCGATTGCCGCTTCGGTTACCATCCGTGATGCTGTAACGGTCAGTCGCAACCTCCAGTTGCGACCTTTCGGGTCTTTTCGCATTCTTTGTCCGCCCCCTCGTGTAACCTCCGTTGACTCGCGTGCTCCCCTGTAGTCTTCCTCGAGTGTAGTGTTACACTTCAGTAACGCTTAAGTTCTTTGAGATATTTCCAACAGTTTTCAATGTATCAATTAAATTATTTCATCTTCCTCTTCTGGTGTACTTACTCCACACATGGCATGATGGCATCTTCGCTGTGAGCACAATGGTGGTTGCCTGCTTAGGAGAATGATGACAAGATATGGTCGCAGTAATGAGAATTTGCTAGTAGAGTTTCATTTCTCTCAAGCGGTTGCTTCAGTGTGTCTTTCAGCACCAGCAGCTGCCTTGGGTGAACAAAATTGCATGTCACAACTGTAGTATATGACTGCACCAAATGCTACAGCCCTGCTGAACATTAATGCAGCTGTATACTAAACAGAATTTCAACACATCCAAACATATGCGACAACCAAGCTCTTGTGGAACACTCTTGAGATGATCTATGACGGACCAAGCATCTTCTCTGGGACCACCACTTCATCGAACTTCTCTGGTGTAATCACTCCGAGGGCAATGGCCGCTTCCTGAATAAGAGAATGCAACCAAGACATGTATTGGCAACGAGTTTGCAGTTCCACAAAATTGGTAGCAGCCTTCCACATTACCTTGAGGGTAGTTCCTTCTTTGTGAGCTTTCTTGGCAACAGCAGCTGCCTTGTCGTATCCAATGTGCTGCAGAAGTGAAAAAAAAAAAATCCATCAGACTGCAGCAAAAGATACAAACGAACTCTGCTGAAATGGAGTCATGACCTAGGGACTTACTGGGTTCAATGCAGTAACAAGCATCAGCGACTGGATGGCAGAGGCAGGTCGTCAGATGCACAACACAGCAAGTGAACCAGTCAGTACGAAAGACTTTCCATACTGGAAGAAGTGGTAACAGAGGAGAATGATGCGAGATTGTTGCATTATATACGCACCTGCTTCATGATGTCAGAGATACGAGCTCGGTTTGCAACAATTCCAACAACACAGTTCTTCTTGAAGGAAAGAGCGGCATCACCCAGAAGACGCATGGACTGATGTGAAAACAAAAAGAGAGCATGACAGTGTGGAGTCAGTGGATGGATACCACTTCAGCAAAAAAAGGAACGGCATACATTCCCAAGAAATCACACCTTCAGCTGAAAGCACTGACCTGGAGCAGATTTGCAGCCATAAGTGGTTTGAAGACATTGAGCTCAAAATGACCATTGGAACCTCCAATAGAGACAGCAACATGGTTGCCCATCACCTGCCATGGCGCGTGCACAACTATCAGTAAGCGGTGCAAGATAGTAGACACTGATCGAGAACCACAACTAGCCAAGGATAAGTCACCCACCTGAGCGCACACCATCGTGAGTGCCTCACACTGTGTTGGGTTGACCTTGCCAGGCATGATGCTGCTGCCTGGCTCATTCTCTGGCAGGAAAAGCTCACCAAGCCCACACCGAGGCCCACTGCACACAGGGGGAAAAGATGTTGACAAGATTAATATTATTTCCCGTTCCGAGTGTGATCAATCTCCATTCCGAATATGATGGTTCTCCGTGTCATTCCATATGGTGTGAAAGCCCAGCCTTAACTGCAAGTTCGAACAACTTACCTGCCAAGGAAGCGAATGTCATTCGCAATCTTCATAAGGGACACGGCCACTGTGTTGAGCGCCCCGCTTGACTCCACAAGCGCATCATGAGCGGCCTGGAGGAAGAAAACGCAACTTTCTATCAGGTTGGCCGTTGCAATTAGATTACTTAGAATAAACAGCAGCGAACTTGGACCCATTCTTGAAAGATGGAACGGTACCTACCAGTGCCTCAAACTTGTTTTCTGCAGTGATGAACGGCAGCTTGGTGTCCTCAGCAACAGCCGCAGCCACCTTCACGTCAAACCTGCGAGCTTGGCAACAATGAATGAGTTGGGAAGCCTGGAAGGATAACTATAGCAACAACCAAAGGGATCGTCGGAAACGTTGCAACCACTCCATATGGCTCACTCACCCCAACTTGGTGTTGAGACCAGTGCCGACAGCAGTTCCTCCTTGTGCGAGCTGCAGGCGAGAACACAACGTACTTGAGTGAACACCACCGCATGGTAAGAAAACTCAAGCGCATGCATGCTACAGGCAGAACCGCACCTGGTACAGGCGAGGGAGAGTATCCTCGATACGTCGAATGCCATACTTGATCTGCGAACGGAGGAAATCAATGTGTGAATAACAACAGGCGAATCTAAAACTTCTGCTAGCTAAAGCATCGGGAAAATCTACAGACATTCCTTACCTGCGTGGCGTAGCCACTGAATTCCTGTCCAAGAGTTAGCGGCGTTGCGTCCTGAGTGTGAGTGCGGCCAATCTTGACAATGTCCTTAAATTCCTCAGCCTGCTCAACAGTATGGTGGTTGTTTCAGTTCGTACATGATAATCTACTGAGAGAGGGCACCAGGAATGGTGGACTCATACCTTCTCAGCAACGGCATCATAAAGGGACCGAAGGTGCGGAATCAGATTTGAGTGCGCCTCCACAACAGCAGCGATGTGCATCACCTGCATTTGGATTGCCAAGTCAGTGTCAATGTCTACAAAAAGTTCGCATGTACGTCAAGTTGCCTTACTGGAAGGGACACGAGGCTCGTGTTCTTACAGTGGGGAACGTATCGTTGGAAGACTGACTCATGTTCACGTGGTCATTCGGGTGAACAATGCCCTTGTCGCCAAGCTTGGATCCCAAAATCTCGGCGGCACGGTTCGCAATGACCTGAAACAACGAACAAGAAGATTATATCTCTGGAGCACGGACCGTAGCAAGTTAAGGGCATTGAATCAGATAATGCACCTCGTTGGCGTTCATGTTCGACTGAGTTCCGCTACCAGTCTGCCAGATGACTAGGGGGAACTGGTCCATAAGCTTTCCCTCTGCAACCTCCTGCGAGGCCTGAATGATTGCATTTCCGATCTTCGGGTCCAAACCGTATCCCAGATTGACCTGCATTTACGGAAGCAGACCTTATGAGGGTCGACATACAATGATCCTTCACGACCACAAGGTCAAGATAGATCTCGCCGAAATAAAAGCAAGGCTCGTACCTGAGCGCAAGCCTTTTTCAGGATTCCGAATGCCTTCACGATCTGATCAGGCATCCTCTCCCTCTCTCCTCCGATCTCAAAGTTCTGAAGGGATCTCTGGGTTTGCGCTCCCCAGTATCTGCAAACCAGAGAATGTCGAATGTCATAATTGTTGCGACTTTCAGAGGGAATTTGTCCCGGTGACACAAGGGGAATTTGCTTACTTGTCGGCAGGGACCTGGATGGGCCCAAACGTATCCTTCTCTTCACGGAACGCCATGCCGGAATATGCTCGGGAAAACAAGATTCGCACGTGCTGATGTTGAGGTCGTGGGGACGCAGCAAGCCTCCCAATGACAGTCCTCACTAGGTAGCTCATTGGGAAACCAAAAGAGCTGCTGGAGGTATTTATGAGTCCAGGCCCAACCAACTTTCTTGCTCTTGGTTGTGTAACTAGAGCCTGTCCAGTCGGTTTTGCACCAGAAGGTGGGTCTCCAACAGGCAAAATGTCAGCGAAGGTGGATGGAGACCAAAAACGGTTCTGTCTGCTGCTTCTGCCACAGGCTTTTGATGGAGAACTCAGGATCTTCCCGTAATTGAGGAATTAGTGGTGCCTTCAGTAGGGGTCCACCAATGGTTGAGCTGGAAGGATGTGTAATAGAGCCATCGTGGTGCTGACTCACCGCCTTGCTGACCGACCAGCCACATCAGAGGATCAAAGATTCTTGGAAGAGCGTAGAGGGAAGGTGGTCCCGTCTATGCAATTGAGTTGCTCCTTTGGAGCATAAGGAAACAGCTGCATGGAAATTGCACTCTGTATAACAGCATGGAAGTCTCATGCTTCTAGCATATGTTGCCCTCCCCAAGGAGGTCTAGGAATATTTTCATAACTTAATCAAAATTAAATGGCTTGTAAATCCAGTATTTTGGCGCCTGAGGCTCAAATACCACCATTTTTAAGAGCTCTATGACACCATACATGCAAGGGTGCATGTAGTAATCCTCACTAAAGTTCTTGCTCATTGGCCATCAGTGAGTTCAGAAGAGAAGGCTATTGCATATATGCCCAACGAATATAGAAAACACATTAATCATCAGCCACCGTCACTCTCCATGCATGAAAGATTTGGTGTTGCGGAATCTCCATGGTTACCACATGTAGTCTATCTGAATAATTTTTTAATCATGATATATCGAACCTATTCTGTTGGACATGGTTCCAACTGTAGCTTATCGGATCCAGAAACCTTTGGGAGTTTGGGACCTATCGGGGCCAGCAAGAGCCTCATAGACCATTTGCGTAGTCCTAGGTTTTAGTTGTGTGTCTCTTAGACCATCACCGTGTCCGTGTCAGCTAAGCTTGCACTTGGTGCCTGTCATTTCCTCCAGCACCTTTTAATATCTTAGCTTTTAACTTCTAACCGTCCGACTATTTGAGCGACATGGCGTCTGAGGAAGACCAGCCAGTGCAGATGGACGTCCATGGCGAAGGAGCAGGCGATGCTGCCGCCACCGACACCGGAGCAGCCGCGACTGACGATCCCATGGCACAAGACGGGGTTGAAGAGAACGGATCTGCTGAAGCGGCCGCAGCTGCCGCCGCTGCGGCTGCTGCTGCAGCTGCCGTGGCGGAGGCAGCAGCGGAGGAGGAAGCGGCGGCGGAAGAGGCGGCTGCGGCTGCGGCTGCTCAGGCCGGCGCTGGTGATGATGCTGCTGCGGCGGACGGTGCAGCCGCCCCTGCTGCGGATGGTGCAGCTGTTCCTGCAACTGATGCTGCAGCTGCTGTTCCTGCTGCCGATGCTGGAGTGACCCCTGCAGCCGATGCTGGAGTGACCCCTGCAGCCGATGCTGCAGCTCCTGCCGGCGACGGGGTACCGGCTGAAGCTGCTGAGGCTGCTGCCGCTCCTGCACCTGAAGGTACATCGACTGCTGTCCCGGGGTAGCTCAAGCCAATGCGTTTCCGCATTTCATCCGTCCGTTTCGTAGCGATTTTCTCTTCCGGAACTTAAAACACGTGGCTGGTCCTTTCGTGCTTCATGACGGCTCCAGAAAAAAATCCCATATTTGTTCTTTCCGTCCTTTCTTATTTGTCCGTCCCGCGTGGCAGCGCCCGCGGCGCCGGCGGCACCGACGGAGGAGGAGCGACTGTGGGGTCTGGTGCGCGCCAACTCGGGCGACTTCGAGTCGTGGGTCGCGCTCATCCACGAGAGCGAGAAGTCGGTACGTCGGCCCCCCCAAACCCCCCCCCCCCCCCCTCTCCCTTCCCTCTCACCTGCTCTCGCGGATCTAACCGCTATTCGCTTGGACACCAATTTCCACTCTTATCTGTCTGGCGAAAAACTTCGTTTGAACGAGGATCGATTAGCTTATATCGAGCTCTTTCCCCCCTCGCTCCCAGGACAAGCTGGAGGGGCTGCGCGCCGTGTACGACACGTTCCTGGCGGAGTTCCCGTTGTGCTTCGGGTACTGGAAGAAGTACGCCGACCACGAGCAGCGCCACGGCAACAAGGACAAGGTGGCGGAGGTGTACGAGCGCGCGGTTGCGGCTGTGCCGTACAGCGTCGACATCTGGCTGCACTACGTCACGCACCTCATCGCCACCGTCGAAGACGCCGAGGAGATCCGCAGGTGCACATCCGAATCCCCGTCGACTGCTCTTGCTTCCCAGCCTCAGAGAGCCTCTTTCTGCCGTGGCAGCTTTCCTGAGCTTGCTATTCGATGTTCCGTCGGTGCAAGTCCGAGCACCGCACCGCTTCGTCAAGTTCCGAGCTTAACGGAAGTTTTTTTGGGCTGCTTTCCAGCATTCCCCGACTCCATGGTCGTTGCAGCCCTTAATTCTGATCCACCCCTCACCCCCATGGTCCCTGTGGCCCATCTCCAAGGCTCGCAGCAAAGTCTGCTTGGGAGTGAGTATGGCGATTCATTTTTTTGAGTCCACTCCCTTTTTCGCCGTTAGTTTTTTCCGTTTCTTCCGTAGTTCGCTCGCTGGTCGCTGCAGCTGCTTCTGCTGCCGCTAACTCCCTTCGGTGTTCCCTGCAGATTCTCACCAGCGTGGGAGAACCCCTCGTCCCCGTCCCGTTTACCCACTTCCCCCCCTCCCCTCGTCTCCACCATCCCATTTTTCCTCGCGAATTCACCCTGTCTTCATTTCCTGCTGCTTTATAAGCCACCTCGCGATTTCGGTTCGCCTTTATTCCTGCGCCGTTTATGTTTCTTAGCTGTTTTTGTCCGCGTAGAGTCCTGTACCCGTTTCCCGCTCACTTCTCAAGCCTTGTAACGAACACGCTCCCGCTCCTCCGATGCTCGTATGAAGCGTCACGGGCTGGCCAACGCCTAACTACCTAGCGGTTTTTACAGGCAGCCGGGCAGGGAAAGGAAAAGAAATTGGATTGGCCGCGCTGGCGCAAAAAGAGGTAAAAGAAACCCCATCTGCTGGCAGCCGCCATGAGATGGGTGAACTCGATTCAATTCGGCTAATTCGCTCTGCGTCCTCCTTACAAGCAGCCTCTTTTTTCGTGTATGGTGGCATCTACCCACCCTTCGTGTACCCTGAGCATCGGGTTGTGTGAGTGCCGAACATCCCCTCGAGTCCAGCTTTCTTCTACTCTCAACTTTTCTCCCTTCTTTCCCTTCATACCTCAGCTTTTCTCGCCCGCCCTTTCCCTCTGATTAGCGGTGTTCTTCCCTTGACAGCTGATGTCTTTCCTCCTCTGCCTGTGCCTCCTCCTTCGCCTTGGTTCCATGCGCGTGTGCGGTGTGTGGGGCTCATGCGAACCATGTAAATGGGGGGGTGTGACCGTGTGATGCTGGTGTTTGGTGGGGGGCGCCATGTTTCACCGTGCAGGCTGTTTGAGCGCGCGCTGGTGTACGTGGGGACGGACTACCTGTCGCACACGCTGTGGCAGAAGTACCTGGACTACGAGGGCGGCCGCGCCGAGTGGAGCAAGGTGGCCGCCGTCTACACGCGCATGCTGCAGGTGCCGCTGCAGCAGCTCGACCACTACTACCACGCGTGAGTGCGGTGGCTAGGGGTTTGGGGGCGAATGAGAGAATGGGTGGGTGTAGGCAAGGGCTTGGCTTGCACTGGGCGGCATGGCTGGTGGGTTCTTGGGTGGCCGCCATCTACACGCGCATGCTGCAGGTGTCGCTGCAGCAGCTCGACCACTACTACCACGCGTAAGGTGGGGGGGGGGGGGGGTAGAGACGACGGGGGCGCTGGAGGGGGAATGAGAGAGTGGGAGGGTAGCACATAGGGGCCGGGTGGACATTGGGGTGGCATATTTGCTGGGTTCGAATGGTTTACAAGCGCATGCTGCAGGTTCCATGCAAATGCCACACCACTCCTTCCTCCCCTGAACGCATCACGGTTTCTCCCCTCCCTCCTCCCTTCCTGTCACATCATCCCTCAGCTTCCGCCACTTCGCCACGTCCCACACGCTCGACGAGATCCGCACGCCAGAGGAGTCCGCAGCAGCCGCAGCCGAGGTGGCGGCGGCCGCTGCAGCGGCGCTCAAGGTGCAGACAGCAGCGCCCTCGCAGCCTGCTGGGGAGGACGCCACTCCTGCTCCCGGTGCGGAAGAGCCCAAGGAGGGAGACGCAGAGGCGAAGGCAGCTGAAGGCGATGCTGCTGCTGCTGCTGCTGCAGCAGCAGCGGACGCTGATGCTGCCCCAGGAGCAGAGGCTCCTATGGCTGATGCTGCCCCTGGCGATGCCGCTACCGCAGCCGTCCCTGCTGCTGCCCCTGCTGCTGCTGCCCCAACGCCTGCCCCGCCGCCTGCAGCAGCGGCCGCGCCAGTGCCGGTGGCGAAGACGGACGAGCAGCAGCTGGCGGAGTACCTGGCGCTGAGGGACGTGATGTACCAGAGCAGCAAGCGGCGCGACGCCGAGATCCGCGAGTACGAGGTGGTCATCAAGCGCCCCTACTTCCACGTGAAGCCGCTGGACGAGGCGCAGCTGGGCAACTGGCACCGATACCTGGACTTCACAGAGAAGGAGGGCAGCATCGCACGGGTGAGTGATGGTGCTTTCCACGGGGGAGTGATGGTGCATTTTTAAGGGAGCCATTTTTGCATGCTCACCTGTTGTTTCTTTGCCCTCGCATGCCTCCCATCCGCCCATCCCCGTCAGACCATCAACATCTACGAGCGGTGCGTTGTGCCGTGTGCCAACTACCCCGAGTACTGGGTGCGCTATGTGGAGTGCATGGATGCCAATAACGAGGATGAGAGGGCTAAGGACGCGCTGCTAAGAGCCACGGCGGTGTTTGTTAAGGTGAGGTCCTGTCCTGTGAAGGAGAGATATAGAGTGTGTGGGAGGCTGACTCTTTTTTATCTTGCACATACGACTATCTCAGGCTGTGACACTTGCCTTGTGTTGTCGTTTTAGTCAACCTGCAGGCTTAGCTGCATTCCAAACGCACAGCTCCTTTCTTGTTTTAAAGCTTGCCCTGGAGGGTTGGTGGCCCTCTCTGACTAACCTGTGTTGCCTTTGCCTGTACCGCTGCACCGCCTTGCCCTCTCTTCCGTTTCTTTGCAGCGCCGCCCGGAGATCCACCTGTTTGCCGGCCGGTACAAGGAGCAGCATGGTGACGTGGAGGGTGCCATGTCAGCGCTGGACACGGCTGCATCGCTTGCAGCTGGTTTGCTGGAGCTGACTGTGCAGAAGGCGAACCTGGAGAGACGACAGGTGAGGTGGAGGAAAGCGAAGGAAGGGAATCACTGGGGGAGGTGACTGCTGGTGATTGGGTTAGGGAGAGACACCAGGTGATTTCTTATGCCAAGGTCTTGGGCGGAGTGAGGGCTGCGTATGTTGGGTATGATTTGGGAGTTTAATGTGAGGAGGAGCCTGTCTTGCTGTGGAGATTGTTGATGAAAGCATCCATCTGTGAGATCAGTGTGTCGGCTCACGTCCCCATGCACACTGGTTGATTCCTTTCCTTTCCGTTTTGAGGCGCCTCAAAAATAGCGTCCCCATGCACGCTTGCTGGTTCCTTTCCTTGCCGATTTGCCCTTGCAGTCGGGTGCAGCGGCGGGGGCAGCAGTGCTGGACGCAGCAGTGGAGGGGGAGAAGGCGAAAGAGGGCTCCAAGATCCTGCCCTACCTCTACCTGCAGCAAGCACGCTACCTGCTCACTGTAAGCACATATAAGCACATTCACTGTACCCTTTCAGTGTTGGGTGTTGGGCACACATTCATATAAGCACACACGGGGTTTTTGGATAGCAACATTCATCTTGGAGTTTTGCGGCTTTGATTTGCGTATTGGGGTGGTTGCAGGTTGGAGGAGAGGAGGAGAAGGCCCGGGAAGCATTCAAAGCAGCGATCGACGCCGCACCTGAGAACAGGACCATCTGGCAGGTGTGTGTAGAGCACACTCATTTTGATGCCGGTGTCTGGATATAACACACCCTGGGGCTGGTATGATGCTAGTCCTCATGCACGGCTTACAGCATAGGGGCAATCGCCTCATGCGTTTCACGGTGTAGCTTCTTCCGCTTCAAACGTCCTCCCCACTCCCGTCTCCACTCCTCACACTACCACCAGGCGGCTATCTCCTTGCAGGCGTCAGTGCCTGGCGCGTCACCGTCGGTGCGCATGGGGCGAGTGGAAGCACTGGTGGCCGACGCATTCGCCAGAGCCAAGGCTGACAGGGCTCCCCTTGCGTCTCCCTCACACTTCCCCTCTCTTGTGCCCCTCCTTACTCCCAGGCGGCCATCTCCTTTGAGGCGTCAGTGCCTGGCGCGTCACCGTCGGTGCGCATGGGGCGAGTGGAAGCACTGGTGGCCGACGCACTCGCCAGAGCCAAGGCTGATGGCACTCCGCTGCTCTCTGCGGCTGACAGGGAGGACATCTCGACCGTTGCCTTGGAGGTGAGGGGGGATGCTTCTAATGACGATTGGAAGTGGGAGCGCACAACGGGTAATATTAGAAGCTTGAGGGCTGAGCTCTGAGGCAAGAACTGAGAGGGGCGGCAGGTAGGAGGGGCATCAGCATGGTTTCGGCGTTGGGCTCTGCCTGATCCACCCATGCGTCCAATCTCTTCATTTCTCATTCTCTGGATCCCTCCTCTCTTCCCAACCCACTCTTCTCTTCCAGCTAGCGGACCTCTTGGGAGACGCAGCAGCAGTGAAGCAAGTGGCAGCGCCCCACTGCTCCCTCTTCCCCTGCAAGAGTCATCCTCTTCCTACTTCTTTCTTATGCTCCACATCCCTCCTCCGTCCCTCCCCCCCCCTCCCCCCCCTCTCCTCTTCCAGCTGGCGGATCTCTTGGGAGACGCAGCAGCAGTGAAGCAGGTGGCAGCGCGCCACCGCTCGCTCTTCCCCTTCAAGCGCCCCTCCACTGCCGCCGCCACCGCAGCTTCTGCCGATTCCCGCAAGCGCTCCCACCCCGATGCCTCCTACCATGACCGAGCTGGCGGGTACAAGCACCACCGGGCCTCCGCTCCCTCGTCCAACTACTACGGTGCTGGCGGTGCTGGTGGCTATGGAGCTGCTGCTGCAGGAGGGTATGGGGCACAGAGGCAGCAGGGAGGGTGGCAGCAGCCGGCAGTGGCGCCAGTGGCACCGGCTTCACCTGCTGCTGCTGCTGCTGCTGCGCCGGTGGCTGCTGTTTCGCCGGCTCAGCAGGGGCAATGGGGGGCGTATGGGCAACAGGTAAGAGTGCTGGCGATGGGGAGGAGACTGGGTGGAGGGGAGGGGAGGGGAGGGCAGGCAGGGCAGGGCAGGGAGGGGTCAGGTTTTTCAAGAGAGGTGTGACTGGGACTATTGTCTGGCAGGGAAATTAGGGTTTTCTCGTGTCCAGCATGTTTGGTATGTGTCCAACTTTTCTCTCGTTTCCCTCTCCTCTGTGTGTTTTCTTCTTTGTCACTGCAGGCGTATTCAGGCTATGCTGGCTACAGTGGTTACTCAGCCGCCCCTGCCGCGGCTGCTGCTGCTCCTGCTGCTCCGCAGGCTGCTGCAGCAGGATATGCGGCGTATGGGCAGACTTATGCTCAGGTACGGTCTTCAACAGCCCAGCTTTTGCATATGCAAAAGGGGGAAGGGGTGGGGAGCAGGGAGAGTCTGCAGTAAATTTTTCGCTTGGTCCCTTGGATGGATGCACTTGCTGATTCACTGCTCGCATCTGCTTCTTCATGTGTTCTTTTGTCTCCCCACTTGCTGCTTTTGCAGCCATATGCTCAGTCTGGCTATGCTGCTGCACCGGCTGCTGCTGCTGCCCCTGCTGCTGGTGCTGCATCAGGGTATTATCAGCAGGGTTATTATGCCCAGTAATACTCAGGGTTCCTCTAGAACTTCCCGCTACAGAGCGCGTTTGATGGTCGAAGTGTTTCGACCTTCTCAGCATTGTATTCGAGCAGTAACCCTTTTCCCTTGCATATGAAATGTGTCTTGTTCTTGAGCTACTACTACAAACCGGAGGGGAATGAAAGATTGGCTAATTGATTTACGGAAGGAACAGCGAAGTAGTGTAGCTTGCGAGGGCTCACACTTTTGGCGAAACAGCGAGTTGATTCACTCATGCTGACAATGACCACCACATTTGCCAGTCTGCGACCATCATTCTGCCATCAGGCATCCAGTCCAGACTCCGGAGTCCTGACTTCTCAGATGCAACCGCAGGCACTGGACCAGCAAAGCTTGTCAGCCGCATTCCTTTCCTTCGCTCCGTCAACTCCGCAGTCCTCTCAGTCTCTTCCTCTCACCCCTCACCATTTACACATAACCATTGCGCAGCCATACCCGCACGGCCCGCGTATCTCCAGTAGACTTGTTGCTTGTGCATCTGTGCGCCCTTGTCAAACGGTAGAGCTCTCGACAGAAGGTGCGGCAATCTAGCCTCGCTGAGAGATAATCCTGGTGCTCGATGCTGTGACTTTAGCAGTAGTCGAGTTCGTCTTTTTCGCGATTAGGTGCAGTTATGCTTCTAGAGTATTCCCCCATAAAGCGACACGTGGTGCATAGCTAGTCCCACTGCCAGTCTACGGTCTGTCGGGTAACCCTAGCTGCGACCGACGTATGCCCCCAGCATGGTTACCGCCTCTACGACTGTTACCCGAGCGGCCCTCCAGAACGCGGAGCGCGTTCTCCGCCAATGGCACTCCGACACGTCATCACACGGCGGCGGAAGCGGCGGCAGCAGCCGGCCGTCCTCGCGAAGCAGCACGCGCTCCGCGACCTCGCAGGCTCAAAGCGACACGTCAGCAGCGAGCCTCCGCCTATGGGAAGGTCCGAACGTCAACGTGGACGCGTATCTCCAAGCCCTAGATTCCATCCAATCCGTGATCGACACGTGTGAGTCGGGCAGATACGGCGGGAGCAGCAGCGAAGCTGCCGAGATGCTTCATAGAGCCAAGTGGTTCGCAGCCGCGGCGCGGCCGTGGCTAGAGCAGGGATTCTGGTACGTCCTTAAAGCGCACTCTAAGCCGCTAGAACCAGAGGCGGTCTACCAAGCCGCAACTAAGAGCAGGACGGGCGGCAGCAGCGGCGGTGGTAGCGTCGGAGGGAGGGGGTCGAAGGGAGGCTCGGATGGCGGGCCGTACCTGATGCAGCCCCAAGCTGCGCTGCAGGTTCGGGAGGTGGCTCGGCGGATGGTGCAGGCTGGCTTGGGCCAGACGTGTCTGGAGACCTACCGAGCGGTCCGGAGGCAGGTACGGTTCGGGGAGAGTAGGAAGGGCGTGAGGGTTGGATGGAGATAGTGGGGAGGTGGGAATGGCACTGCCGGTTCTGGCCTCATCATCCCGTCGTCCCGACCCTTCTTGACTAGCTTTTGCGCTCGCTGCTCAGCTTGTCACGAGCCCCCCAGCCAGCCGTTCCTGTCTCTTCTTCTCCACTTCCTCTTCCCCCACCAGGCCCTACACCGCACGCTAGAGCAGCTGGTGGCGGGGCACTTTCGCCTTGAGGATATGGGAGGCGTGCGGTGGGAGGCGCTGGAGGTGACCTGTCAATGAGAGCACTCACATATTCTCCCCCCAATCTGCCCCCAAGCCCTGGGCAGGTCCCTCGAGCAGCTAGCAGCGGGCCAATCCCGGCCCGAGGACATGGGCGCTATGTGGTGGGCGTGGGCGGCGCTGGAGGAGCGCACGAAGGCAACGAATCGCTGTATGGTCTCTGTGTTGCCCTCCCCCTTCCGCACTGCAGGCCCTGGACAGGACCCTAGAGCAGCTGGCGGCGGGGCAGTTCCGGCCAGAGGACATGGGTGGCGTGCGGTGGGAGGCGCTGGAGGAGCGCGTGAAGGCGTGGATGCAGTTCGCCCGGCTGGCCGTGCGCGTCGTGCTGCTGGCTGAGAGGCGGCTCTGCGACTCCGTGTTCCAGGGCCAGGGGAATGTGAGTGAAGCCGCTCTGTGCGTGTGCATGTCTGTGTGTGGGGGGGAGGCGGTGGCGCTGCAACTCCGTGTGTCAAGAGCAGGGGAATGTGAGTGGGGGAAGGGGAGGGGGATATGTGGGGAGGACGACAGCTGTATACACACATGTGCACGCCGTGCTGCTGGCAAAAAGGCGGCTCTGCGACTCCGTGTTCCAGGGCCAGGGGAATGTGAGTGACGTCGGGGGGGGAGATTGAGCTTGAGAGAGGTGAGAAAGGGGGTTATGTTGGGCGGGGAGGGGGGGAACACACATATGCGCGTGGTGCTACAGTCGGAGAGAAAACTGCGCAACTCCGATCCTCGGTCTCACTTCCCTTGGGTCACACTTCCCCTGCGCCTCACAGGGTATGCTTGGTCTGCTTGGTATGCTGCTTGGTATGCTTAGTAGGCTTGGTAGGCTTGGTATGCTTGGTAGGCTTGGTATGCTTGGTATGCTTGGTATGCTTAGTATGCTGCTTGGTGTGCTTGGTATTCTTGGTATGCTTGGTATGCTTGGTATGGTTGGTATGCTTGGTATTCTGGGTATGCTCGGTATGCTTTTTCTTGTTTGTTTATCTGTCTCGCAGGTTTGTGACAGCAGTGTGGTCATGCAGAAAATTCTAATCCGGATTTTTGTGGGCTTTTAGCCACCACGGTACACCTGTACCTGCCTAGCTTGTTTTGGATCGCGCTACAAAGCATCAACAAATACCTACTATGTGTTTCACGCACGCAATCCATTCTACGGCTGGTCTCAATCATTTAACAAGCATGGAATGGAACCATGTCTGCATGGCCCGATAGCTCAATGCCGGGTCCGAACATGGCACAAGCACTGGAATGTGTACGATCTGAAAAACTTTGCAATGGGGCTGTATCCTGCACCCACTCCTCACAACCCCTCGTCGTCACCCTCAAGGCACAGCCCCCCCATGGCCTGATCCAGCGTCGCCACCGGGAGGCTGCCGTCGGCGCGATGTGCCATCCATGACTTGAGTGTCATGGTTGCACGCACCTTGGCAGTGCTCAGGTGGTGACGCTGCCAGGTGACCACGTTCTGCCCCTGGCTGAACGCCCGCTCGCTCAGTGCCGAGGTTGCAGGGATGGCTAGGTAGTCTCGTGCCATCGCCTGCAACCCCGGGTACGACAAGCGCGTGTGCCACCAAGCGAGCGGACACTCGTCCATGTCCAAACGCGCCTCCTGGAGGTACCTGTCAACCTCATCCGGCGCGGCCACTCCTGCTCTCGCCTCCACCTCTGCCATTGCCGAGCCCAGCATGTCAAACAAGCGCCCCTCACCTCGGGGCCTGGCCACTCCCCTCGCCCCGTCCCACGCCCCCCCTGTGCTCGTCCCCTCCTGGCCCCCGTCCACCGCACGCATGCTCTGCTCGTCTAGGTAGGACTTCAAGCGCTTCCTGACCCATGTCAGCACTTGCTCCTCAGTGACGCCGCGCACCGCCCTACGCCCCCCACTGGCTTCACCCGCTAACCGCTCGTGGGGCCCCTCCCACCGCTCGAGCTCGAAGTAGAGCTGCTTGAACCTAGGGTCCGAGAACCTGCTTGAACCATTTTCAGAGGCCATCGCCCTCATTGCTTGCCCCTCTCCGCTCATGTTTTCACCCGTGTGCCCCCTGCCACCCCGCCTCCCTCCTCCCCCCCCTCACAGCTCTCGGACATGTCTTTCCACGAGGTGGCAGCATCGGCGGTGCATTTCATCTTTGTCTTCGCCCTCCCCTCGCCCTTCATCGCTTGCCCCCCTTCCCCCCCGCCCCAGCTTTCTGAGATGTGTTTCCACGAGGTGGCAGCGTCGGCGGTGCGGTTCATCTTTGCCTTTGCGGAGGCGTTTGCCCTCGACAAGCGCCTGCCGGAGCGGCTCTTCTCCATGCTGGACCTCTTCGAGATCATGAGCAGCATCCAGGGGGACTTCAACGCCGCATGCAAAGGTGCGTTCAGGGCGGCATGCTGCAAGTGCCTGTCAGTGCTGCATGTAAAGGTCCGCTCACGGCACGCTGGATCTCTTCTCCATGCTCGACCTGTACATACGAGATCATCAGCTGGTTCCAGGGCGAATTCAATGCCGCATGCTAAGGTACGTGAAAGGCTGCATGCATGCTGCAAGGGCGTGTCTGTCGGTGATGCACCCGACCTCTCTTCTCCATGCAAGTATGGACTATGCCTTGGGTTGGCGAGCCCAAATTCTGTGTGGTTCAAAGCCCCCTGACCACCCTTCCCTTCCAAAGCCTGTTCTCCACTTACCAGTGTTCACAACCCTCCGTCAATCCCTTGCCCCTTCACCCGTGGTGCAGGTGACGGCCCATGCACCAGCCTGCGGGACGACTTTGGCCTGGTTGTAACGCGCCTCGGTGTTGCCATCAGCGCGATCCTCTCAGAATTTGAGAACGGCATCGAGAGGGACAGCTCCGACATCCCTGCCACGGCCACCATCCACGGGCTCACCCGCTACGTGGTCAACTACCTCATTCTGCTCTATGAGTATCGAGACTCGCTCACCCGGCTGTTGAAGAAAGGGGATGACGCTGCTGCAGGGAAGATCCATAAGCTGGTTGCTTCAAAGAAGAAGGGAGGGGGAAGTGGGAGGGATGGGAGTGGGAGGGACGTGGGGAGGAGGGAGAGCAGCTTAGGTACGCCGAGCACGTCGAGCGGGAGTGAGCTGAGTGGGAGTGGGGAGGGGAGTGAGACGGAGGACAGTGAGAGTGAGGAGGAGGAGGCGAGGAGGAGGGAGCAGGCGAGGAGGGAGGCAAGGGAGGGGTTCCGAGGGAAGGGGGTACCGGAGTATGAGGTGCTGGCGGTGAAGGTGGTGTGGAAGCTGCAGGTGCTGGAGGGCAACCTGCAGGGCAAGGCGCGGCAGTACCGGGACCCCGCACAGGGCGAGGTGTTTCTGCTTAATAACATCCACTACATGGCGAGAAAGGTGCGCTTTGGATGCGTTCGTTGTTAGTAGCCCGTCGTTTCCTTTGTGAGGCTCCAAGAAAAGGACGTGTTTCTGCTCAACAACATCCACTACATGGCAAGAAACGTGTGTTTTGGGCTCACTACGTGCTGGAGTATGAGGTGTTGGTGGTGAACGTGGTGTGGGGGAAACCCGGGGGGGGGGGGGGAACCGTGCAGGGGAGGCGGGGAAACGCCTGGGGGGGGGGCATGTGGGGAAAAGCCCACAGGGGGGCGCTGCGAAAAGGCCGCGGGGAAAAGCCCGCGGGGAATTGCCCGCAGGAAAAGCCCGGGGGGGCGGGGGGGGGCGCAGGGAACAGCCCACAGGGGGGGCGTGGGGAAAAGCCCGCGGTGGGGCGCAGGGAAAAGCCCGGGGGGGGGTGCGAGAAAGTCGGGCGGGATGGGGCGAGGAAAAGCCCAGGAGGGGGAAGCCTGCCGTGGGGGGCGCGGGGAAAAGCCCCTGGGGGGCGCGGAAAAAAGCCTGGGGGGGGGGGACGGGAAAACCCCTCACCCCCCCTGCGGGCTAAACCCCTCACCCCCCCCTGCGGGCTTTTCCCCCCCCTCCACGTCTGCTGTTGGGGCTAGAGCTCCACCTGTGCTGTTGGGGCTAGAGCTCCACGTGTGCTGTGAGGGCTAGAGCTCCACGTGTCCTGTTGGGGCTAGAGCTCCACGTGTGCTGTTGGGGCTCGAGCTCCACGTGTGCTGTTGGGGCTAGAGCTCCACGTGTGCTGTTGGGGCTAGAGCTCCACGTGTGCTGTGGGGGCTTCCGGCTGCTACACGTGCCATCCCCAGGTGAAGGGGGAAGAAGGGGAAGAGGGATTGACGTGGAGGAGATAGGAATTAGTTGGGCTTTAACAAGGAGTGCGTCGGGTAGAGAGTGGGGGAGAAGAGTGGGGGATGTTGGAGTAGCGGGCTAGTGGATCAGCGGGTCAGCAGGCTAACGGGCCAGGTGTAGGAGTCGGATGTGCGGGTGGTTGTGGGGGGCGACTGGGTACGGCGGCGTCAGGCAGCAATGGTGCGGCAGCATGCCAGCATGTCCCTTCCCTCGTCTCAACCTGTCGGTCAGCCCCTTCACTCCTTTGCCCCCTCGTTCCTGCTGATGAAGGAGTACCAGGAAGGCCTGCATGTGGTGGTGGGGGACGACTGGGTGCCGTGCCAGGAAGCATGAGAAGGAGTACCCTGTTCTTCCGTGCCTGGCTTTCAACCCCCGTGCGTTCTCTCTCCCCCCCCCAACCTTCAACCCCCAGGTGAAATAGTCGGACCCAGTCGTCCCTGGGGGACGACTGGGTGTGGCGTGCCGGCGCCAGGCAGCATGCGACCTCCCCGCTCATGCCTGGCTTTCAGCCCCTGTCACCTTTCTTTCCCCCCGCCTTCTCCCCTTTGTACCCTCGCCCCCCAGGTGAAGGAGTCGGACCTGCGGGTTGTGGTTGGGGACGACTGGGTGCGGCGCCAGGCGGCGCTGGTGCGGCAGCACGCCAGCGAGTACCTTCGCTTCTGCTTCTCCCGCCTCACTTACACGCTCAGAGTCGACCCCTCCACACAGCTGCACAAGAGCACTCTCAAGGTAAGCACAAGAGCACTCTCAAGGTAAGCACAAGAGCACTCTCAAGGTAAGCACAAGAGCACTCTCAAGGTAAGCACAAGAGCACTCTCAAGGTAAGCACAAGAGCACTCTCAAGGTAAGCACAAGAGCACTCTCAAGGTAAGCACAAGAGCACTCTCAAGGTAAGCACAAGAGCACTCTCAAGGTAAGCACAAGAGCACTCTCAAGGTAAGCACAAGAGCACTCTCAAGGTAAGCACAAGAGCACTCTCAAGGTAAGCATAAGAGCACGCTCAAGGTAAGCACAAGAGCACTCTCAAGGTAAGCACAAGAGCACTCTCAAGGTAAGCATAAGAGCACGCTCAAGGTAAGCACAAGAGCACTCTCAAGGTAAGCACAAGAGCACGCTCAAGGTAAGCATAAGAGCACTCTCAAGGTAAGCATAAGAGCACGCTCAAGGTAAGCACAAGAGCACTCTCAAGGTAAGCACAAGAGCACTCTCAAGGTAAGCATAAGAGCACGCTCAAGGTAAGCACAAGAGCACTCTCAAGGTAAGCACAAGAGCACTCTCAAGGTAAGCATAAGAGCACTCTCAAGGTAAGCATAAGAGCACTCTCAAGGTAAGCACAAGAGCACGCTCAAGGTAAGCATAAGAGCACTCTCAAGGTAAGCATAAGAGCACGCTCAAGGTAAGCACAAGAGCACTCTCAAGGTAAGCACAAGAGCACTCTCAAGGTAAGCACAAGAGCACTCTCAAGGTAAGCACAAGAGCACTCTCAAGGTAAGCACAAGAGCACTCTCAAGGTAAGCATAAGAGCACGCTCAAGGTAAGCACAAGAGCACTCTCAAGGTAAGCACAAGAGCACTCTCAAGGTAAGCATAAGAGCACGCTCAAGGTAAGCAGAAGAGCACGCTCAAGGTAAGCACAAGAGCACGCTCAAGGTAAGCACAAGAGCACGCTCAAGGTAAGCACAAGAGCACGCTCAAGGTAAGCACAAGAGCACGCTCAAGGTAAGCACAAGAGCACACTCTAGGTAAGGAAGGCCCACCCTTGCTGGCTCCATCCCTCGCTTGCCCCCTCCAATGATTAAGTTTTGTATGCAACCTTTCCTCACAGCAACCTTTCCTCACAGCAACCTTTCCTTGTCATCCTCACATCAGATTTCCCTGTGTATCTCAATATCATTATCACCCCTCAGGAGAAATTCAAAGCCTTTAATCTTGTACTAGAAGAGATCCATCGCGACCAAACGAGGTGGCTTGTCAATCCAGGGCCCCTGAGAGACGAGCTACGCCTTGCAGTGAAGCAACGCGTGCTTGCTCCTTACACCGACTTCTATCTCGCTTATAAGCACGTTATGGAGTCCTCGAGACACCCGGGGAAATACCTTAGGCATGACCCAGTGGAGGTCAATGAGATGATTTTGGATCTTTTTGTGGGATATCAAGGACACTAGTAGAAGTGTTGTATAGTGTATTTATCCAGGAAATGCAAGTGATCCTACAGGGCGTACAATATGAGGCTGGGAATCTTGATCGTGGCAATCCCAAGCCTCCAGCAAACCCGACTAGACCCTTCTTTGCGAAAGGGGCTAGCGAGCATCACAACAGTTCTGTACTCGATCGTTTTCCCTCGCAGTACTCCGCGCTCTCACTTGCTTTGCGCCATCTGCCCTCTCCGCCGTGGCAGTTCAATCCGCGCAGTGAAGCGCATGGGGCGCGGGGAAGCGGCGGACGGCGGCTTGCGCCGGCAGCAGCAGGAGCGCGCGATCGCCGACGCCATGGGGACGGGGGAGCTGCGCGCCGCTGTGGTCGACGTGGCGCGCGCGCTTCTCGCGGCGGACGCCAACGACCCGGGTACGAGGGGGCGATATGCGGACACGTGTTGGGTAGATAGTGCCTCTCAGGCGCGGTGGGTCTTATCAGGTCCCGCGCGGGTCATCGCTGCCTCTTAGGCGTGGTGCGGCTCGGTACCCCTTGACTGTGTATTCCGCCCCACCCTCCGTCTCGTGCCCGTCTCTCCGCACTTCCGCCGTTTCCCCTCCTCGCCCTTCCGCCGTTTCCCCTCCTCGCCCTTCCGCCCTCACCCCTTTCCGCGCGCTTCCTTCCCGCCATCGCCCTCCGCTGCGCTCCCCATTCAGCCGCGGCGGAGCGCGCGCAGCAGCGGCGGGTGGCGGCGGACATGGCGCGCGCAATCATGGCGGCGGAGAGGGCGGCCGCGCGCGTGAGCGAGGGGGAGCGCGCGGAGCGGGCGTACCGCAGCCTGTGGTTCGACTTCCCTGCAGTGGATGGGCGCGATCTAGCCGCGCTCGCCGCGGCTCTCAGGTGGGGAAAAAATTATGAACCCCGCGGGAGGCAGGGGGGGGTTGGGGTCGTCGGATCAGCGGTAGGGGACAGGGGGATGAGGTGACCAAGCGGAGCACGGACCCAAGGCGGTAGCCGTGGCTGCCAGGTAGGTAGGGAGGATGGGAGGTGGAAGTGAGCCACGTGGGGTGGGATGGATATGGTGGAGGGAGGAAGGCGTGCAGTGATAAGGCAAGGATGTGGTCACCCCAGAGATTTATCAAGATTCCCTCTATCGGGCTCTGCATGTGCATCTGTGGCTCTGCATGTGCATCTGTGGCTCTGCATGTGCATCTGTGGCTCTGCATGTGCATCTGTGGCTCTGCATGTGCATCTGTGGCTCTGCATGTGCATCTGTGGCTCTGCACGTGCATCTGTGGCTCTGCATGTGCATCTGTGGCTCTGCACGTGCAGAAAGCAAGTGGAGCAAATTCCATCTGCCAACAGCACCGCCACCAACACCGCCACCAACAGCACCACCAACAGCACCACCAACAGCAGCAGCAGCGCCGATCCTTCGTTCCCCATCACGCACCGCTTCCTCTCTGGCCTCGCATACATTGCTGCGTCCGCTCAGAAAGCGCAGGCGTGCAGATGGGGCAGTGAAGCAGCTCCTGCAGATTCAGCCGAGGTAGCAGGAGGGAGCGGGAGGGGGGGAGCAGAGGGAGCGGCAGGGATGGCGGCCGGGGGGGGTTCAGTAGGTGCAGGGGAGGGAGGAGGTGGTGGGGGCGCGGTGGATGAGGAGCAGGGAAGAGCAGGCAGCAGTCAGCTTGGGGACGCAGCTGCTCACATTGCTGGTGGGTGGGTGGGTTGTGTCTGCTGCACTTTTATTGCGGCAGTTGCGTTGCGCCATCTTGCTCTTGCCCACATTGATCTGATCTGTCATTGGGTGATTTGATTTGACACTGCGATTTTTCTCCGGCTGTTTGTTCCTGCAGCATCTCTCCTGGTAAAGCTGCCTGCAAACTGTTTCAAACTGCCCGGGGACGCGGGAGTTAAGGCGTTCTCAGCTGCCCTCTCCTCCTTGCACCTCGAACCTTCGGAGCTTCTCGCCCCTCCTGCCAAACCTCCTGCCGAACCTCAGTCAAAGGAGACTAGAGCTTCAGATGGCGAGGCTGTCAAGGAAGGTTCGGGCGTGCCGGAGGCGAGTGGCAGCAGCAGTGACAACGCTGTGGCCGCTGCTGCTGGTGGTGCTGGGGGAGGTGAAGATGATGGTGGTGGTGGCGATGGTGATGTTGTGGGTGACGCACGTGAGCATGCAGACTCGGATGGTACGTTGACAGGTTGGATTCCACCTGCACTTCTTCGTTTTTTTACTTCCTCCCATTTTCTTGCCTCCCCCCAGCTCACCACACCATCCTGTCTCATCCCCCCCCTCCCTCTCGCCCCCTTGTGCTCGCGCTCAGAGGCGTCGGACGCATCGGACTGGCTGCCCCTTGAGGACGAGACTCTCCCATCTCTCCCCGCTCTAGACCACCACCACCATCACACCCATCATCACCAGCATCATCCGCATCATCATCAGCAGCAGCAGCAGCAGCAGCAGCGTTTAGAGGGCCCCTCTGATTGGTCAGCTGTGCTCGCCAAGTGGGCAGCGTTGCTAGGCAGCTTGCAGGGCGCTCTCCCCGGGAGCGCTGACTCAGCGTGGGGGCAGGCGGGGATGGTTGATGACGTGGCGATGCTGGCTGTGCTGATCGGTGGACAGCCAACCAGAGAGGGACACGCGGAGGGTGCAGTAACCCGTACAAAAAGCGATGGGGATGGGGATGTGGGTGGGGATGTGGAAGGGGATGTGGAAGGGGATGTGGAAGGGGATGTGGAAGGGGATGTGGAAGGGGATGTGGAAGGGGGGAGGGCATGTGGAGCAGGGGTAGGACACAACGCAGTGGATGGCGAGGGTGTTTATCCAGTCCTGCTGGCCCACTATCTGGACCTTCTTTCCCCTCGGCTGCTGTGGCTCTGCTCCTCCCCCCCCTCCTCCAACCCTGCTGGCAGTGGTGCTACTGGCACCACTGCCCCAGGCATCAGTAGCATTCACAGCAGCACTGCCAGCAGTGGCAGCAACGTGATATCGCAGACATTGGAAGCCATTCAGGCAGCTGCCTCCTCCCCTCACCTATCCCTCCCTCACTCGCTCTCCTCCCGCCCTCCGCCCTCCCCCACTTCCCCTCCTCTCAAGACCCCTCCCCCCGCCCTCACTGCTACTGCCACCTCCGTCGCCCTCCTCTCTTCCCTCATCGCCCACCTCCCTACCTCCCCCTCTCCCCTCCCACATGCACCTAGGGGGAAGGAATCGCGTAGCGAAGGGGGAGGAGGAGGGCCAGGCTCGGCAGGGGGCTTGGACGAGAAGCTGGTTCGGCGAAAGGTTTGGATGGCTGTAAACGCGTTTGGCCCTGGTTTGGGAGATCTGGTGCAGTGGGCATCGACCATCCATCCAGCACCAACAAGTGTCACTGTAGCAACTGCCCCTGGCCACGTGTCAGGCCACCTGCAGCGCGTGCTGCTGTTCTGGATCCAAGCTGCCGCCTCATCCGCCCCTTCCCCTGCTGTTGCGCGCAGTATCGGTGACTTGGCAATCAAGGTATCGGTGACTCAGCAATCAAGGTATCGGTGACTCGGCAATCAAGGTATCGGTGACTCGGCAATCAAGGTATCGGTGACTCGGCAATCAAGGTATCCGTTTGATCGGTATCGGTATCTGTTTGATCGGTGGCAAGAACAATGAAGCCCCTGCTGGTCCTGAGTTTGTGCTGCGTGGCGTGTGCTCTCCTGCTCTTCAGTTTGACTCTGTAACCAGTGCTAATCCATCCCTGTGCAAGCAAGAGGTTCCTTGAGGCTTCAAATTTGTTTTGTTTTGTTGTTTGTTTGTTCTCTTTACCCTTCATTCTCCCCCTCCCATCCCCTCCCACTCCCTCCCATTCCCTCCCACTCCCTCCCATTCCCTCCCACTCCCTCCCATCCCTCTCACTCCCTCCCACCAGTCTGGCCTGTGTCGAGCCCTGGTGGCAGCTCACTCCTCGCTCTCACCGCCCAAGCCAAGCACTCCTGTCACTCCACCAGCCACGGACAGACATGCAGAATCACCACTCGCGCCCGATTTTCCACCTGCATGGCCGTGGATTGACACAGTTCTGCTCTTCCTCACTGTAAGCACACTCGTTCAACAGCACCTCCCTTATCCACTGCTGCAGTGGTACACTGGTGCAATGGTGCTGTGGTACACTGTGGTGCCGTGGTCCATTGTGGTCCAGTGGTGGTCCAGTGGTGGTCCAGTTTGGTCCAGTGTGGTCCAGTGTGGTCCAGTGGTCCAGTGGACCAACAGCATCCCACTGCACCGCCCTCACTGCTAATTATCCTAATTGGCCTGACATGACCCATTCACTTAGCAAGTGCACGAACCATGTGTTAACACGCCTCTAGTTGTATTCGGCCGTGTCTTGAGCCACCCTCAATGCACATCCCATACCCTGCTGCTGCCCCCCCTCCAGGCTTCATCTCCAGACGTTCGAACCTTTGTCTCCAAAGCACTGCCCTCCCGAGCCTCCTTTCCATTCCTGCTTCCGAACCAACCAGGCTCTGCCGAGCCTGGAGGCCCGGGTCCGGCGTGGCTTGGCTCGGTTGCCGAAGCTGACTGGGTGTGGCCCCTGCTGCTGGATCCGGACCGGACCCGAGCCGAGCAGCCCTTGGCGTGGCTGCTAGATTCCTTGGCAGTGACCATGGGGAGTGTGCTTATAGCAAAGGGAGATGGTGACGCAGACACAAGGGAGTGCAAGCATGGCATTGGCTTTACCCTGGTGAGTACTGGGCGGCTGCATGCCCTGTCTGTGACCATGGGTTGTGCTTATAGTGAAGAGACACACCGAGTCAGAAATGGGGGGCTGTGAGAAGGGTTTTGGCTTTATCTGTAAAACGCCAAACAGCTGCATTGCATGCATGCCCCATAGTGACTGTGGAAGGTGTGCTTATGTGGAGGGAGATGGTGATTCCAACCAAGGCGTAGGAGTGCAAGAGAAGTGGTGGCTTCACTTTGGTGGTTTGGTTAAGGACTGATTATGCCCCTGCCAAGTGCCTTGTATGGTTTCTCCAATGTCCATCTCCTTCTCACCACCCCATACCCGACAGGACGTCGCCACCTCAGCATCTCGCACACTCACACTCCTCCTCCGCGTCCTCCACGTCAGCAGCCACCTGTCACCACCAAGAAGCGCCACGGCATCCCCCCCTATACTCCCAAAAGGCGGCCAGCTGGCATCTTCTGTATCCCAGTGCGTGAGTGTAATGAGGGAAGCTGCAAGGAAGCTGGCGGGGGAGGTGGAGCAGAGGAGGGTGGAGGAGGAGAGGGCGCGGGCGGCAGCAGCAGCAGCAGCAGCGAATGACGAGCCTCAGCTGAATGACATACTGCTATCGGACGCCATGGCTGCCGCTGCTGGGAATGGTGCTGCTGCTGCTGCTGCAGCTGCGGCTGCGGCTGCTGCTGCGAATGCTGGTGGGGATGGTGAGGGGGAGGGGGGCGGAGGAAGGCAGAATGGGGACAGTGGTATGGGGGAGGTGGTAGGGGGCAAGCTAGGGGAGTTGGTGCCGCGGTTGCTGGACCTGGTGAAGGCGCTGCAGGCGGAGGTGGGTGCTGGGGGTGCGGCGAGTTCAGCCAGGGGGAAATGTGACTGAGTGCGTCTGGTTGATTGACTGAAAGGAAGTGGCCGGGGGGAAGCTGGGGGAGTTGGTGCCGCACTTGCTGGACCTGGTGAAGGCGGCGCAGGCAGAGGTTGGGGGTGGAGCAGTGGCAGGCAGTGTGAGGGGCAAGTGCGACTGACGGCCACTCTGCTCGAGCGGCGTGTGTGTGCGCCTTGGAGTGTCAGTTGCAAGCATGGTGGGATCGGTACGGATGGAGCAAGTGTGATTGAAGCTGATGGAGTAGGGAAGAATGGGGAGCGTGATGAAGAGTGGGGGGGTTAGCTCGTCTTGCTAGAGATACAAGAGTGGGGTGGGGGGTCGGGGAGAGCGCCTCCTTGGGACAAGTGCTCTCTATATGTGATGATGGGTCACCCATTCTAGCCAGCAAATTGCTTTGAGACATCGGTACAATACAAGCCAGGACTGGCAGCGCTGCTGCGAATCTGCTGCATACCATAACGACTTTTGAGGCGCCTCAAAAGACACCCTGTCACAGGGTAACGGAGACAATTTTTTAGGCGCCTCAAAAATAAACTTTTGAGGCGCCTCAAAAGCAGTCACCCTGTCACAGGGTAACGGGGGGAGGAGACGTGTTTGGATGGATGCCAAGGGAAGGAGAATTGAACCGAGCATGCATCAACCCAAGAGCTGAGAACGTAGGTCCTGAGAACTCGTAGCACACATCATCAAGATTTCCAGGCACCCTAAGAAATCAATCCAGGCGCGCACAGACCTGCATAGTAGAGTAGAGTGTTCGTGCTCCTATTCGTACTTAGTACCCTGACCATGCCGCCTAACTATGGGCACTTGCATCCTATCCCCTTGGACGTGCTTCCAAGCCATCAACCACGCGCTCACGCCATAGTGTTGACACGTCATCAGCTACCGCCCGGTGAAGGCGTCCTCGGCGCTCACTCCGGGCGGCAGCTCCCACTTCTCCCGCAGGCGCTGGTTCTCGCGCTTCTTGTCCCGCCGCGCGTTGCCGTACGACCCCTTGAAGATCTTCCCCCGCCTCGTGCGCTTGTCCCCGCGCCCGCACTCCAACCCCGCCCCCGCGTGCTCCCCCCACGGCAGCGCTTGGGCGGAAGCGGAACCCTCAAGCGGAGACAGCCCAGGTGAAGTGTACGCCAAGCCAAACTGCGGATTATGCGGAAAACCGAGAATGGTGTTCAAACCCGACGCGTCCAAACTCCACGCGTCCAAACCCGACGCGTCCAAGCTCAACGCGTCTAAACCCGACGGGATTCTCAGCTCGGCAGGGCGATCTAGTTGCTGACAGGGAGGGTCCACATGGATGGTGTGGGAAGGCGGAAGGAAGCTTCGTCTGGCGAGTAGAGAGCGGAGCTGGAGCGACGCGGGCGACGAGGAGAGGCGGCGAAGGGACGCCATGCTCTCTAATCGCCGGCTAGCGCGGCGTGATCGGCGGCACGCGACAGATGGGACAGTAGTATTGTGTGAGAGCGCTCGGGGTGAGGTGGGAGAGGGGAGTAACGCGTCCTCGTTATGGGCGAATTCTGGTTGCCCTACGTGTGTTCACCGCAAACAAATGGCTCAGCTTTCCTAAAATTCAACTTGGTAACCACTTTATGGTTGTTGATTTGATGTACACATTTAGCCTAGAAAATGCGTCTAATAAACTTTCCAGAAGTACAATACACCACCCACACGTCACCCTCCCATGCACCGCAGTGTATCATAGTGTCATCTTCTTGGATAACCCCTACTGGACTACATGCCTCTAGTCGGTGCTTCGACCACGGGGTTTTCCGCGAGGGTTGTCGAGATGCAGAGAGACGAAGATGACACTCATCACTATAACGAGGCAGCCCAGCAGCGAGGACAGCAGCACGGCTCCTGGTTGCCGCACCTGTGCAAGGGAGGAAGAGAGCCAACAAGAACGGGAGAAACACATCGAGCGATTCCCAAGGGCACGACACACAGCCGAAAGTTTTTGAGTCGACTCAAAAGCACGGCAGTTGCAGAGGACAGAATCTACAGGCAACACAGCAGCTAGATTCCACGCAGAGAGGCGCGCAGCAGAGATCAGGAGAGCAGCAGCTCGACATAACCAGGTTCACAAGCAAGCGGCCCTCACCTGGACGAACCCATACGGGCCAATGGCCGTGACGACAATAATATCGTTCAGGCGGTCCCCGTTGAAGTCCGCCACTATAATCGGCTCCGTGGGCGTCGTGGGCAGCGCCAGGGTCCCCAGGATCTTCCCCCCCGGCGACACGAACACGGCCTCGCTGTCCCCCACTGCCAGCACCACCTCCGGCCGGCCGCCTGCTTTGAGCGCCATGGCGCGGAGAGACGGCACGTTGGTGTGGGGGGAGGCGGAGTCGAAGGAGGAGGCCGGGTCGGAGGGCGTCCACTTGGCTTCCGTGCTGATCTGCCACCTGAGGTGGCCGTGCGGGCCCTTGCTGCTGAGGGACTCCGTGGCGTAGGAGGTGATCTGGGGAGGGGAGTGTGAGGGGAAAAGGCCTGTTAGATAAGGTCCAACAATCCCGCCGGGTTGGGGAGCGTCCACTTGGCGTCGGTGCTGATCTGCCACTTGAGGTGGCTGTGCGGGCCCTTGCTGCTCAGAGACTCCGTGGTGTATGAGGTGATCTAGGTGTGTGTGGGGGGGAGGGGAGGGAACATGGGTGTGAGCCAAGAACGCTGCTGTGGGCAGCAGTGAGCGGGGATGGGAAGGCCACAGGGCGCAGATGGTACAAAGATTACCATAGCACATAACTGCAGCACAAAGGCTACCCCATATATGAACACCCTCTCACCTCGCCCCTGTAGTTGAAGTAGATGACGTCGCAGTGCCGCCGCTGGTGGCGGTGGTACCTGTCAGTAAGCCTATACCCCAAATCCCTTTCACCAGCCCTTGCCTCTCACCTCCTTGTTCTCATGCCTCCCTCCCTTCCCCATGCCCCTCCCTTCCCCACGCCTCTCACCTCGCCTCTGCTGTTGAAGTAGATGACATCACCGTGCCGCCGCTGGTGGCGGTGATGCCTGTCCCTGCGCGGCAGCAGGATGGGCGCCACCACTGCCACCCGCTGCTGCCCTGTGGCGTGCTCGTTCCACTGGTCCTGGAACTCCGAGCTGTCGGGGAAGAGGGGTGGGGGAAAAAGGATAGAGAATAGCTGAGATGACTCAAGACTCACGCAAGGTTGAAGAGGAATGCCTGGGGGCGGCAGATGCCTTTCAGATCAGCTAAGACTCACTTGAAAGGGCGGCAAGCAAGGGCGCCCTGAGACGACTCAAGGGGGTGGCGGGACTCACGCGAGGTTGAAGAGGGACGCCTGGGGCTGGCAGACGCCTGTGGATCAGCTGGAGACACACATGAAAGGGCAGCAAACGCGCCCTGACACGACTCAAAGGGGGACTCACGCGAGGTTGAAGAGGGACGCCTGGGGGCGGCAGACAGAGCCGTTGAAGAGCGGCTGAGTGGGGGGAATGCCGGACATGGCGACGGTCCAGCATGACTTCACCACCTCCGACGCCTCCTCCTCGCCACCAAACGTGAACAGCTCGTCGCCCAGCGCCCCCGACGCCTGCAACCCATGCAGAGAGGCAGGGATGAAAACGGGAGGAGCAGGGGCGCAAGGGTGTGTGGGTGGGGGGAATGCCCGACATGGCCACGGTCCAGCACGACATCACCCCCTCCGACGCCTCCTCCTCGCCACCAAAGATGAACAGCTCGACTCCAAACGCGCCTGATGCCTGCTGTTAATAAGAAGCGCAAGAGGCAAGGAGGCATGCAAAGAGGAAGGCAGGGATGCAAGGGGGGAGGTAGGCATGCAAGGGTGTGGGTGGGGGGGATGCCCGACATGGCGACGGTCCAGCACGACCTCACCACCTCCGATACCTTCTCCTCGCCGCCAAATGCACGTGGTGTCTGCTAAGAAGGAGGAGGGATGCAAGGGCGTGGGTGGACAGAATGCCGGACAAGGTGAGTGATGAAGTTCAGCTGCAGCAGCTTGCACATGGCTCACTCCCGGGATGGGAATGGGGACGGGGTTCACACTTGTGACTGCTTCTACTTGAGCATCGGAATCCGAATCAGTGGCAGACGTTACAAATGACTAACACATTCGATAGTAGTCCTGCAGCGTCCAGACATGAATTTCGAGGTCAGATTCATGGGAGCAACGACAAGAAGGACAGTCACGTGTGATCGCAGAAGCTCCATGGTAACAACGACAAAGGGGGACAGCCAGGTGTGTTCGCAGGAGCTCCATGCTAACAACGGCAAATGGGACAGTGGAGTGGCTATCCCACGTGGATGTCCCCTTGTCGTTGCTACCATGAAGCCTCTGCGATCACACCTGGCTACCCCCTTTGACGTTGCTACCCTGGAGCCTCTGTGATCACAAGTGGTTGTCCCCCTTGTCATTGCTCCCATGAATCTGACCTCGAAACCCATGTCTGGACGCTGCAGGACTGTTATTGGATGTGCTAGTCCTTTGTAATGCCAGGCATTGATTCGGATTCAGATGCTCAAGTAGACGCAATCACAAGAAGAACCCCGTCCCCATTCATGTCAGGGTGCAGCCCGCGATCGGGCAGCAGCAGCTCGCAGATGGCTCACTTGCCATGCAGTTAGTCCTAAATACACCAGGAATCACCTTCCCCATATCTCACCTGCACGTGATCGAGAACCCCATCCCCGTTGACGTCAGCATGCAGCCCGTGGTCGGGCAGCAGCAGCTTGCAGATGGTGCGGCCGGTGTACAGGTGGATCACTTCGATGCCCCCCTGGCACCACCAGCACTAGGCCTCACTTGAACCTGACATCACCTTCCCCAGGTCTCACCTGCACATGATCGAGAACCCCGTCCCCATTGACGTCGGCGTGCAGCCCGTGGTCGGGCAGCAGCAGCTTGCAGATGGTGCGGCCGGAGTACAGGTGGATCACCTCGATACCCTCCTCCAGGTGCGCGATGATGGCGTTGTGCGCCCACCAGTGATGTGCCGACGCGTTGCCATGAGTATGGTGCACCGCATGCTGGCAATGGCAAGCATTCAAACGGGGGAGAGAGGGGGGTCAATTCACCTCAAAGCCCCCTCAATGCCCTCCTCCAGATGAGCTATCAGCCTGTCGTGCGCCCACCAGTGGTGCGCTGAGGCATTTCCGTGGGTGTGATGGACTGCATGCTGCGAGTAGCAACGATGGGTGATGAATGGGGGGTTGGAGTATCAGAATAGGCAGGGTGGGGGGGGAGAGAAGGGAGGGGGGGGCTTGAAGAGAAGAGTGACCTCGATGCCCTCCTCCACGTGCGCTATCAGTGTGTTGTGCGCCCACCAGTGGTGTGCCGACACGTTGCCGTGGCTGTGGTGCACTGCATGTTGCGAGTAGCAAGGACGGGGGGTACGGGGGGTTGGGCCATTGGGCGGGGCGGAGGGGAGTTCAACAGAAGGACAGTGTAGAGGTCCCAACCCCAAAGACAGCAGGTGTGCTGGCGGGGTGTGCCGGCGGCAAGCTGGAGTGCTGGCGAGCGCAGCTAGCAGCTGGGGCCGTGCTGTGGGGTTAAGGCGTGTGACACAAGCATGCAATGCAATGCCTCACCTTTGATTTCTTAGTCGAGCCAGCGGCGTCAACAGCCTTCCCCACCACCCGCGCAAACACATTCCTCTCGTGATCTCTTCCAGCCAGCAGCCGGGGGGGTGTGCCGTGGGGGTGCGAGGCGTGGTGCGGCGCCCCGTGCTTGCCATTTCCGGGGAGGCGCTTGTGCATGCGGCGGCGGTGGCGGTGGATGCTGGCGAGCTCGAAGTATGTGTCGTGGCGATGGTCCTGGGGGAGATGAAAGGGGGGGCGGGGGGGGGGGGAGGGGGGAGAAGAGGGGGAGGGGGCGGAGGGGTGAATCACCAGGGGTGGAGGCCGCCAGTGCACGCGGGGGCGGTGGATGCTGGCGAGCTCAAAGTAAGTGTCGTGGCGATGGTTCAGGGGGACTTGCAGCGGGGTACCAAAGGTGGAGGAGGCGAAGCAGGGGTGTGGACCATGTGGCACCCCCATTGAACTCTCCTCCACCTGCAGAATTGGCTATCTATCCAGCACAGGGTTCGAGTCGAGTCAGCACGGCATGTGACAGTAGATGCAAGTGCACGGCAGCACGTACATGCCAGCCCAGGAGGGAAAGCGAGCACTCACCCATCGGTGCGGCAGGTGCCTCAAGATGGACTCTCGGAATTCACGACACTCCATCTGATGACACGTGGGATAAGGTGCGCCACGGAAGAGATGCCAGGAGAGACACATGGAAGGGGGCAATGGGGGCAATGGGGGCAATGGGGGCAATGGAGGAATGGGGGGAATGGGGGGAGCGGAGGGAATGGGGGGAATGGGGGGAATGGGGGGAATGGGGGGAATGGGGGGAATGGGGGGAATGGGGGGAATGGGCGGAATTGGAAGGTTGGGGGTTGCAGGGTGCGGGATGTGGGGTGCCGGCGAGACAAAGAGCAGTGAGGTGAATGCGGTGAGAGTCGTTGACAGTCGCGCATGGTCAGCCAATGCACACAAAAGCGAAGAAAGACGCTGCAGGGACCACAGAGTGAAGAAACGGGAATGGCAGGAACGGGGAACGAGAATGGCAGGGCGCACCTCTCCGAAGTGGCGAGAGGAGAGGGAGGAGGCGTCGAGCTTGTAGTTGTGCTGGGGGAGCAGCTGCTGACTCAGCGCTGACATGTCGCGATGGAAGTCCTGCAGGGCGGCGGTGAGGTGGGTGGGTGTGTGGAAAGGGAGGGAGGATGGCGTGGGTATCGTTTCTTACAGCTCTAAAGAAAGTTCCTTGGGATATAGACGATTATTAAGAGCTGACCGGGGATGGAACCATGAGGGGGGAGAGATACTAGAACAATCCCTCCCATGCTGTCATGCCATTCCCCCAGCAATGAGTCGATTTTTGAGTCGTCTCAAAAGTGTGCAATGAGTCGATTTTTGAGTCGAATAAAAAATCATGCTGTCATGCCATTCCCTATTATACTGCCGGATTTTGGCCGCTCGGAGGCAGAGCCCCATCGAAGACACAAATCTCCATATGATGCACCATGCTGCCATACGGTCCATGACACACACACCATGCCATGCTTTCAAGCCATGCCTCACCTTGCTGTCGTGCTTCCACCGCATGGCACCAGTGGCCCCATCAAACGCGTAGTATGAGAAATGGCGCTCGTTCACCCCTGCTGCCCCCTCCGACACGTCCTCCAGGTCCTGGGTACATGGCAGGGGGGTAAAGTCAGAAGCTACCGATTTAAGGGGTAACATCCACCAGGTGACTTTTGAGTCGACTTATAAGTCCCCTCCTACACGTCCTCCAGGTCCTGGGCACACAACAGGGGGGCGGATGTCAGAAACATGGACGGCATTTGCCAGCCAAGAGTAATGTCATAGGTGCGAGTTCGGGAAAAGGTGACGAATGTGCATTGCAAAGGCACAGTCAAGCTGGCAAAATCGGGGCAGCGCGGTAGGGGAGGGGAGGCGAGTGCACTAGGAGGGACTAGTGGGGTGGATGGGATGGGTAGCAGGTGCTTACATCCTTGTCACCAGCCTCCTTACGGTGCTTCTCCTCCCCTTCCTCCTCCTCTTCCTCCTCCTCCACTGGGTCTTCGAATTGCTGCCACACAGGGGGCGGCGAACAGACACAGAGACATGGAAAGGAAAGCAACCATGAGTTCCTTTCCCACACGCAGCGACAGAGCCAGCGTAACGAATTGTGCCACATGGACACGGAACCAGAACAACATGCATGCAGAACCGGACAGAACAGAACCAGCCAGACCGGCGAGGCAGCACAAGATTAACTGGAGACCAAGAGCACAAGCACGGCACATCCATGCTGCCAGAAACAGAACCCCGCTGCACTGCGCATGGCACCCAAAACCTCCTACCTTACCAGCGGGTCACTCTCCATCCCTCCGCCCACGATCACCACGCCTCTATCCCCCCGGTGCATGGTGTGACTGGACACTTACTTTGTACCCTCCGCCAAAGACCCACTGACTTACCAGCGGGTCACTCTCCATGGATCCGCCCACGATCACCACGCCTCTATCCCCCCGGTGCATGGTGTGACTGGACACTTACTTTGTACCCTCCGCCAAAGACCCACTGACTTACCAGCGGGTCACTCTCCATGGATCCGCCCACGATCACCACTCCTCTATCCCCCCGGTGCATGGTGTGGTTCGATATCAGCACGGCCACCTCCTTGTGCTTCGCCCCGTGGGGGAAGTGGTGCTGCACCGTGCCCTCCCACATGAGCTTCAGGTTGTGGTCGAAACACAGCACCGCCCACCCCGCCGTCACCACCGCAACCACCGCCTTGCGCCGCGGCACGCTCACGGCCTTGCTGCTGCCGGGCTTCTTGGGGGGCTTGGCGGAGGGCGGGTCCAGATAGCCCACTGCGAATGCCACCGCCTGGTGGCCCGCTGGGTTCAGCTCCACCTGGGGGAAAGGGACGGGTAACGGAGGGAGGGAGGATGAGTGGGGGTGGGTGGGAATGAGACACGCTCACGGCCTTGCTGCTGCCGGGCTTCTTGGGGGGCTTGGCGGAGGGCGGGTCCAGATAGCCCACTGCGAACGCCACTGCCTGATGGCCCGCTGGGTTCAGCTCCACCTGCAGGGAGAGGTGAAGAGGGGAGAGTGGGGGTGGCAATGTGGAGGATAGTTGCCAAAGAGAGACAGGATACATGAAAACCCTGCAAAGGTGGGTAGACTGTCTACTTGGCTGACTGAGAGCGAGCCGAACATCCACCAAGCCTCGCTACAGAGGGTAGACTGCTCGTTGAAACTGACCAAGATGGTTCGATGCTCTCTGGCATAGCCGAGAAGGGCAGGCTGCTCAGCTGGACCGGATGGCAGGACGACTGGGGTCTCCAGAAGTGGAGGACGAGAGCAGCAGTGGGGATGGGAAGGGCGATTGGCTCACCTGGCCGGGCTGCAGCGAGACCTCCTTGAGCACGCGAACCGGATGGTAGGACTCGCCTGACGGCGGGGTGAACGGCTCGATCACCTGCATGGACAAACACACACGGCAGCGAGCACACAATGCCAACAACTGGTTCGACTTCCCAATGGAGAAGCAAAATCTGCGGGTTATCTAGTTTTTGTTCAAAACTCCTTTCTTCCGACACTGGGCGTGATCCGACTCGCGATCCTTTCTTACTGCAATCGACACCCCACCTGCAGGCGCGCGTCCCTGGTGGCGAGGATGACCTCCTTGCGGCCGTCGCCGTTGAGATCGAACACCACCGGCGGCGGCGACACATGCGCCTCTAGCTCCTGGTTGTAGTCGTCGCGGTGCACGTGGAACCACGCCTCGCGAAACGTGAAGTTGCTCTCATGCTGATAAGTTCCATAAACAAAAACGGAGAGGGTTATAAGGGGGACTAAATGAAGATTCAAAAATGTTGCAAAGGCGACGCCTGTGCTGAGAGCTCCTGATTAGAGTCGACCCTGTGCACGTGGAACCACGCCGCCCGGAACGTGAAATCGCTCTCATGCTGCTCGGTTGGAACATGAAGAAGTGACGATAATAAGGCTAGAGGACAGCCGCGACGTGATCGTTAATTCGGAAAACGTGGAATTTCCGGAAAATCTGAGAACGACGACTTCAACCTGTGATCCAGAAATAGTATTCGAGATGCCATAACGGATAGGCGAAAGAAGAACTGCCAGTAAGGACTATTGTGAACGCGAGACGGTCACGGGTAGTGGCACCTGAAGAGAGATGAAAACCGCGAACGCGGATATCAGGAGGATTCCCAGATCGCGCTTCCTCATCGTCGGGGAGTCAGGATCCCGATAAGCAGCACACAGTAGATCCTAAAAGCGGATTAATAAGGACGGATATCAAGTCGACGTCTTTACTCCCGACTGTTATCCCTACGCCGCGCCGAAGCCACAGTCAGAGCCAGTGAGGAATCTGAGAGCCTAGGTATCGCCGCGGCTGAATTCCAGAGGCACGTGATTCAATAATGGCCAGCCAGAACCAGGTTCATAGACACCTGGCTTGGCTGCGGATCTTCGCGAAAAGCAGTCAGGGGTCAAAATCGCCAGATCCTAGCCAAACGAATGTCGCCAAACAAAGATACCACATGTTGGCGACAGGCTTCGCGAAAGGTCTACACTAGTTACAAGTGACGAAAGTTTTGGTGTAATTCCCAACATAACATATCTTTTTTGCTATCGAAAAACAAGAGGTTCACACTCCTTCACATCTTCAATCAAGGTGGGTACAAAGTGCCCCTTCTCTTACCATACGTAACCTCCAACTATTGAGCACATTGTTTACTGGAGTATACTTCAACATTGTTGACCTCAATCGCATTGATCAACCATGTTCGTGTGCAGAGCTAACGCTCTCACATGCACCCATTCTCACATGGACGATGCCCGAGTCAGCCAGTGCTCATCATACCCCCACACGCCTTCTTGCCGCCTCTTCTCCTTGCTCCCATGCAAGAGAATCGGCACCGCCCGCGCCCTGTACCCCGCATGCCCCAGCTCCTCCACCGCTCTCTCCGCGTCCTCCACATTGAAAACATCAGCAAGACACACAAGAGGCCTTGGGAGGATGTGCTCCTTGCTCATCCTCTTCCCGTCCAGCCCCCCGCCACCCCCACACCCCCACCACTACCACCACTTCCACCACTCCCATGTCTCTCTCCTTTGCCCCCCCCTGTACCCCAGCCAGTACTCCCCCATCCTTCATCCGGCCACTGCCCATACGGAGTCGACCCTTTCTTTGCAACGAGCTCCCTAGGCATATCTGCCTTTGACTCCCACATGCGCACCGCCACAGGCACAGGCCCAGGTGCATTCTCCCTCCGCTTCCGCCCCCAGTACTGCACCCCCGGGTCCACATCCTGCTGAAGGTCCCGCTGGAGCAATCGAGCAGTATATCTGTTGTTCTCGTCGCGCCGCACACCCAGAACTGCCGACTTGAGGTCGTTGATCCACTCGGGGTCTCGGGTATCCTCTGTTGCGAAATCGACGCGCACAAATTGTGCCATGCTGGCAGGGGCCGCAGCTTGCAGTATCAGCTGCACCCGGCTGAGAGCGGGGGCGGTGAGGGGGGAGGTGTGTCCTGGGGAGGTGTCATCCTGGGCTTCTGCTGCTGCTGCTGCTGATTGTCTTGAAGCAACAGCATCTGCTGGCCCCTCGCCTCTGCTGCTGTCACCGCTGCTGGTGTCACTGCTGCTCTCCCCGCTGCCAGCAGCAGCAGTCGCATCCTCTAGCTCTACATCTACATTGCACCACGCAAACACCAAAGCGCCTTTGCTCAGGCTCGGGCCGTACCTCGAAAGCACGTCCGGGAACACCACCGCATCGACCTGCCCCGTGCCGTCATCCAGCTGTAGGGTGGCCATCTGCTGGTTCGACTTCTTAGTAGTCCGTAACGTTACTGCCTCCACCATCGCCAGCACCAGCACCAACGGGCCGCTGCTGCTGCTCCTGCCACCGCGTCCGCCCTTACCCTTCCTGCCGCCGCCACCAGCAGCAGCAGCAGCACTGTCCGCCAGGGCCCTGGTTAAGCCGACGTGGGCGCAGGAGGCGAGGGGGGTGACGGAGAGCCATTGGGGCAGCAGGGGGAGGAGGGAGTGCACGGGGTGCTGCGTGACGTAGAAGCCCAGCAGCGCCTTCTCCTCCGCCAGGCGCTCCGCCAGCTCCTCCTCCTGCAGGGGCCGCCTCAGGATGAGCGCCTCTGCCACGGACGGGGGGAGGGGAGGGGGTGGTTCTGTTATGGGTGCGGGGATGGTGGTGGTGGTGGTGGTGGTGGTGGGTGGAGAGGTGATGGATGGGGGGATGGCAGGAGGCGGAGGAAGGCTGGTGTCTGCAACGTCAGCAGCAGCGTTGGATGCCACTGCACCGTTGCCAGCATCGCTTGGTGGCACAGAGACGTCAGCAGCAGCGTTGGTTGGTGCAGCAATGGAGATTTTAGCAGCAGCGGCGTCCGCGGTGGGCAGTGCTGCATCTGAGGAGGAACAAGTGGCGCTAGTGGGAGTGGGGGGGCTGCTGTTGCTCGCTTCACTGCTGCTGCTGCCGCTGATGCTGTTGCTGTCAATGCCATCGGTGCTACTGCTGCTCTCGCTGCTGCTACCACTGTCAGCCACAAGGGGGGTATCCGCCACAAGGGCAGCCTGCTGCTGGCCTGTTCGCCCTCTCCCCTGCAGCAATTTCTTCTGCTCCCTCTCAACCCTCAGCTGCTCTCTCTTCCGCTCCCGCTCCACTCTCTCCCGCTCCTTCTTCTCCTCCCGAGCCCGCCTCTCCTGCTGCCTCTGCAATTCCTTAAGCGCCTTCTCCCGCTCCCTCTCAAGTCTCTTCTGCTCCATAACCAGTTCCCTCTCCCGCCTCGCCACTGCCTTCTGCTCCTCTTTGATCCGCTCCTTCCTCCCCTTCACTATCCCTTCCAGCAGGTCCGCCAGCCCCTTCCTATCCACATACACCTCCTCCCCCGTGGCTCTCCCTCCCCCTCTCACCCCCTCTACCTCTCCTCCTTCTCCTATCACCCCCTCCCCCTCTCCCTCCTCCCCCCTCACCCCCTCGCCCTCACCCCTTCCTCCACCTCCTCCCTCTTCTCCCCCCTGGCCTTCCCCCAGCACCAGGCAGTCCAGTGCCCCAGAGTGTGCGAGGGCGTGCATGATGGGTCGCTTCCACATGCCCAGGTCAACGCGGTCAACCAGGTCCTGGATAGAGACAAAACTGCCGCCCGCCGCCTGCTTCTCAAGAATCTCCTCCGCCGCCACCCGACTGACGTCACGAATGCCAGCCAGCCCGAACCGGATCCCACCATCAGCAGCTGACGTGGCAGGCTGTGACGGCGACACCTGCCCACCCCCCTCCTCCACCCCTTCCACCTCTGCACCCTCTATCCCCGTTTTAAGCAGCTCCACAGAGAAGTCATAACTCGAGGCGTTGACGGACGGGGGAAGGATGTGGATTTTGGCAGCGCGGCAGGAGTTGACGTAGCGTCTGAGCGTGGGGGGTTCGGCCATGGAGGTGGAGAGCAGCGCCGCCATGTAGGGCAGCGGGTAATTGGCCTTGAGGAACGCTGTGACATAAGTGAGGTAGCCGTATGCCGCGCTGTGCGACTTGTTGAAACAGTACTGCGAAAAACTCACCTGAGGGCGGGGGGGTGATTGGGGAGGGGGGAGGGGACAGGTGGTTGAGAGAGTGGGGGGGTCACCATCTCCTCCTCTGCCTTCTCTATCAGCCAGCACACACACACCACACACCCTAATCGCCCACGCACACTCACCATCTGCTTAAACAGGTCTTCAACTGCAGCTCTATCCACCCCTCTCTCCACGGCTCCCCCCACAAACCGCTCATGGTGCGTCACGATCTCATCGTGCTTCTTCTTGCCCATGGCCCTTCTCAGCATGTCCACCTGCCCTCATCTTAGCAAACGCCCTGAACCCTAACTCATCAACACACTCACCATCTGTTCGAACAAATCTTCCGCCACTGCTCGTTCCACGCCCCGCTCCACAGCCCCCTCCACAAATCTCTCGTGGTGGGCCACCATCTCGTCGTGCTTCTTCTTCCCCATGGCGCGCCTCAGCATGTCCGCCTGCCCCAGCGAGTACCCTGCCAGGTCCCGCGCCATGCGCATGATCTGCTCCTGGTACAGCAGCACGCCGTATGTCTCCTTCAAAATGGGTTCTAATGCAGGGGTTTGGAAGGAGACAGGCTCACGCCCGTGCTTCCTGTTGATGTAACGGTCCACCAGGCCTGCATCCAAGGGGCTGAAAAGACGGGCAGGGAGGGGGAGAGGGGGGAGAAGAGGCGGTGAGGTGGAGTCCGGAGAGCACCTGCCCCAGGGAGTACCCCGCCAGGTCCCCCGCTATGCGCATGATCTGCTCCTGGTACAACAGCACGCCGTAGGTTTCCTTGAGGATGGCCTCTAGGGAAGAGGTCTGGAAGGTCACTGGCTCGCGCCTGTGGTTGCTGTTGATGTAGCGATCAGCTAGGCCTGCGTCCAAGGGGCTGGACGGTTAAGAGGGGGGGAGGAAGGAGAGGACGAGCGGGATGGGAGGGCGAGAAGAGAAGAGACAGAGTGGAAGAGGAAAGAGAGGATGTTGGGTTACAGAGGGCATGTCGATGTCGCCCTTCCCTTCCCACATGCATGATATGCTCCTGGTGCTCCACTGCACTCCAGTGCTACAGTGGGGGGAGTGGCTGTCAATGGGCGGATTGACTGTCAATGGGCGGATTGACTGTCAAGGGGCGGATTGACTGTCAAGGGGCGGATTGACTGTCAACGGGCGGATTGACTGTCAACGGGCGGATTGACTGTCAACGGGCGGATTGACTGTCAACGGGCGGATTGACTGTCAAGGGGCGGAATGACTGTCAACGGGCGGATTGACTCTCAATGGGGGGATTGACTGTCAACGGGCGGATTGACTGTCAACGGGCGGATTGACTGTCAATGGGGGGATTGACTGTCAACGGGCGGATTGACTGTCAATGGGCGGATTGACTGTCAATGGGGGGATTGCAGATTCGTTGTACACCAGTGCAGGACCAGTGCACCACCAGCGCACCACCAGTGCAGCACCAGTGCAGCACCAGTGCTCCAGTGCACTCCACTGCACTCCATTGAAGCACTAAACGACGGTTTAAGCGCGTGAGGGCAGCACCTGGTTCATCCCTCGACTCACACGCGGCGGCAGATCGCCGCGATCACGAAGGAGGCACGACAGCTTGAGCGCGCGAGGGCTCATGCTCATCCTCCCCTTAATCATCCCCCACCCTTGCTCATCCCCCCCTTAATCATCCCCCACCCTTGCTCATCCCTCAGCTCACCCGGGGCGGTAGAGCGCCACGATGGCAAAGATATCTGCAAGCCATGACGGCTTGAGCGTGCGAGAAAAGCACCTTTTCTTCATCCCTCATCTCACCCGGGGCAGTAGAAAGCCTCAACTCACCCGGGGCGGTAGAGCGCCACGATGGCAAATATATCTGCGAGGCACGACGGCTTGAGTGCGCGCACCACCTTCTTCATCCCCGGGGACGCCTCCAGCTGAAACACGCCGTCCACGTCGCCGCCCGAAAGCAGGTCAAACGCCGCCCGGTTGGCCACTGGGAGCTTCTCAATCACTGGGAGCGAGACCCCGTAGGTGCGCTGCGCTAGGTGGCGGGCGAGGTGAGCGGTGGTGAGATTGCGGAGCCCCAGGATGTCAAACTTGAGCAGGCCCAGCCGCTCGACGTCGTCCATGGCGTATTGGCTGACCAAGGCGGACGGGTTGCCAGGGGCGTGCTGCACTGGAACGACCTGTAACGACGGGGTTTACGGCACATGTTCAGGTGAAATGGTGAGATTGCGCTGCCCGGTGCGTGGTGCACCGGCTCCACCGGTGAACACGGTGCTGCTTCAGGTTTAGGCCGTGCCAAACTCTCTCGAGGCAAATTCATTCTTCTTAAGCCGCTGGTTAGCAAACTGAGTGAGAGACCGGTGCCTGAACTACTTGTCTAGCTTGTACCCAGGATTCCCCAGCAACAAAGGACCATTCGAGAGACCGGTGGAAACGAGAGTGCATGACGGATTGGACACCATAACATAAAGACGAAAGTGAGACGGGATAAAGGAAAAGTGAGACAGGGTGCAGAATGTAGGGAGTAGAAGGGAGAGCGCTGACCTGGGAGAGAGGGAAGCACTCTGGTGAGATGATGATCCCTGCTGCATGCACCCCGAAGGAGCGGTTTGTACCCTCTAAGAGCTGACCCAGTTCCACGCACTGCACGAGCTGTGGAAAAGCAGAGGACGAGCGAGTGGATGGGAAAGACGTGAGATTTGGACCGAGCTAAAGGTGAAGGGAACGACCGGAAGGCGAGACGAAGGTGGGAGGAAGGTGGGAGGAAGGTGGAAAAAAGGTGGGAGGAAGGTGGGAGGAAGGTGGAAGGAAGGTTGGAGGAGCCATATGCAATCAATGGAGTGCCCGCGTCCCACTAGGGCACACCCATCTCACTAGCCTAGTCTAAAGCAAAATGCCTGCCCGGGTCGGGTACCCGGACCCGGATCCGCTTTTTGGGCAGGTCGGGTATCGGAATTCGCCTAGGGTGCGCTCGTCTCACTAGGGCATGCTTGTCTCACTAGAATGCTCCTGTCTCACTAGAGTGCCCGTCTCACTAGAGTGCCCTTGTCTCACTAGCCTGCTCAGCAGTAGCAGCACAAGAACTAGAGATTTCTATTGAGGAGGTTAGCAGTGACTGCTTGTCCTCATGCTGCAAAGCTCACTTCCCACCCTTCTCTCTGCAAGCTTTGCACTCAACCTCGCATCCCTCACGCACATACTTCAACTCACCCTCTCATCCTCCTCCACCCGTCTCCGGAAAGGGGTGTCTTCAGCCATAAGGGTCGACAGGGATACCGCCTTACCCCTCTCCACAGGCACCTGCAGTCGCACATGATGAGAAACAAGTGGGATGAAACGAGGTGCGTAAAAAAAGTCTCCTGAAGGGGGTGTTTTCAGCCATAGGATCGCCAGGGATACGCCTTACCCCTCTCCACAGGCACCTGCAACCACACATGGCGAGCAGGGTGTGGCAGGTGATTCAGGGTTCGCAACTCCTCTCTCTCTCAACTGCCTCTGTATGCACGCATCTCTCCCTTTCATCAGGGATAGTGGCACAAGGGGTAGTGGTACGGGGGGTAGAGGCACAGGGGGTAGTGGTACGGGGGGTAGTGGATAGTGGCACAGGGGGTAGTGGCACAGGGATTAGTGGCACGGGGGGAGTGGCACGGGACGTAGTGGCACGGGGGGAGTGGCACGGGACGTAGTGGCACGGGGGGTAGTGGCACGGGGTGGGTAGCGGCACGGGGGGGGTAGTGGCACGGGGGGTAGTGGCATGGGTGGTAGTGGCACGGGGGTGGTAGTGGCACGGGTGGTAGTGGCACAGGGGTGGTAGTGGCTTGGGGGGTAGTGGCACGTGGGGTAGTGGCACGGGGGGTTGTGGCACGGGGGGTTGTGGCACGGGGGTTGTGGCATGGGGGGTAGTGGCACGGAGGGTAGTGGGACGGGTGGTAGTGGCATGGGGGTAGTGGCACAGGGGTGCAGTGCACGGGTGGTAGTGGCACAGGGGGAAGTGGCATCGGGGGTAGTGGCACGTGGAGTAGTGGCACGGGGGGTAGTGGCATGGGGGGTTGTGGCACGGGGGGTAGTGGCACGGGAAGTAGTGGCATGGGTGGTAGTGGCACAAGGGTGGTAGTGGCACGGGGGTGGTAGTGGCACGGGGGTGGTAGTGGCACGGGGGGTAGTGGCACGGGGGGTAGTGGCTCGGGTGGTAGTGGCACGGGGGTGGTAGTGGCACATGGGGTAGTGGCAGAGGGGTAGTGGCACGGGGGGTAGTGGCACGGCGGAAGTGGCACGGGGGTAGTGGCACGGGTGGTAGTGGAATGGGGGATAGTGGCACGGGTGGTAGTGGCACAGGGGGTAGTGGCACTGGGGTAGTGGCATGGTGGGTTTGTGGCAGGGGGGGTAGTGGCACAGGGGTGGTAGTGGCACTCGGGATAGTGGCACGAAGGGTAGTGGAATGGGGTTGGTAGTGGCACGGGTGGTGGTGGCACGCGTGGTAGTGGCACAGGGGATTGTGGCACAAGGGTTAGGGGCACGGGTGGTAGTGGCAGGTCGGGCAGTGTCACAGGGGATAGTGGCACTGGGGGTAGTGGCACTGGGGGTAGTGGCACGGGGGGTGTAGTGGCACGGGTGGTAGTGGCATGGCGGGTAGTGGCACGGGGGTACTGGCACCCGGGATAGTGGCGCTCGGGATAGTGGCACTGGGGGTTATGGCATGGATGGTAGTGGCACGGGGGGTAGTGGCACAGGGAGTAGTGGCATGGAGGGCTGGGGCACAGGGGGTAGTGGCACGGGGGGAGTGGCACGGAGGGTTGTGGCACCAGGGGTTGGGGGGGGGTAGTGGCACGGGGGGATAGTAGTGGCAGGGGGGGTTAGTGGCAGGAGAAGGGGTAGTGGTCCCATCCTTGAGCTCCCTCTTGGGAGCTCAATGATGAGACTGCCCGTGAATCCATGCGGGTGAGCCACACACAATCATTCTTCATGTGAGCGAAACACCCAAAATCCTCCCTCATGCACTCCCCTTCCCTCCAAGCGAGATAAGACAATCGCCACCTCCCAAGCGGTCCCTCTCTCAAGCAGTCGCTCTCGCCCTCTCCCCTTCCCTCACCAGCTTGGTGAGTTCCCCCATGGTGTTGAGCGGAATGGCCATGTCTTGCCCCACGTCCTTGAGCACAGCCCACGACCCCATGCGGTTGATAGAAAAACACACAGACACACTCAAAAACCTGCACACACTCTCTCAGTTCCCCCCTCACCAGCTTGGTGAGTTCCCCCATGGTGCTGAGAGGAATGGCCATGTCGCGCCCCACGTCCTTGAGCACAGCCCGCGACCCCATGCGGTTGAACGTGGCTATCTGCGCCACCCGGTGCGCGCCATACTTCTCTGCTATGTATGCCAGGATCTGACCGGGGGGGAGGTTGGGCGAACGGAGGGGAGAGGTACATACACATGGGCATAGCGGGGGTGTGGCTAGGTTAGATCAAAGAGCGACCCTATGCGGTTGAACGAGGGTACCTGCGCCACCCTGTGCGCACCGTACATCTCTGCAATGTACGCCAGGATCAGGCGGGGAGGTGGAGGGGACAGATGGGAGGGAAAGGGGGATGTAAGGGAAAGGAGGTGCGTGTTATGTCTCGTCACGTGACCCTATGCGGTAGAACATGGTTATCTGCGCCACCCTGTTCGTGCCATACTTCTCAGCTATGAATGCCATGATTTATTAGGGAGGTGAAGGGGGCAGTAAGGAATAAGTTGGCGAATGCATTTGGCAAATGCTTTTGGGGAATGGTTGTGGCGAATGGATAGGCAAATGGTTTGGCGAATCGTTTGGGCGAATGCTTTTGGCGAATGCTTATGGCGAATGATTTTGGCAAATGGCTTTGGCGATTTGGCGAATGCTTTTGGCAAATGCTTTTGGCGAATGCTTTTGATGAATGGTTTTGGCGAATGGCTTTGGCGAATGCTTTGGCGAATGGTTTTGACAAATGCATTTGGCGAATGGTTTTGGCGAATGGTTTGGCAAATCGTTTTGGCGAATGGTTTTGGCAAATACTTTTGGCACATGCTTTTGGCGAATGCTTTTGGCGAATGGTTTTGGTGAATGGTTTTGGCGAATGGTTTTGGCAAATGGTTTTGACGAATAGTTTTGGCGAATCGTTTTGGCGAATGGTTATGCGAATCGTTTTGGCGAATGCTTTTGGCGAATCGTTTTGGCGAATCCTTTGGGCGAATCCTTTGGACGAATGGTTTTGGCGTATGGTTGTGGCGAATCGTTTTGGCGAATGGTTTTGGCGAATGGCTTCGGCGAACTGTTTTGGCGAAAGCTTTCGGCGAATGCTTTTGGCAAATGCTTTTGGCGAATGTTTTTGGCGAATGGTTTAGGCGAATGGTGTAGGAGAATGATTTTGGCGAATGGTTTTGGCGAATCGTTTTTGCGAATGGTTTTGACGAATCGTTTTGGCGAATGGCTTTGGCAAATCCTTTTGGCAAATTGTTCTGGCGAATGCTTTTGGCGAATAGTTTTGGCGAATCGTTTTTGGCGAATCGTTTTTGAAATCATTTTGGCAAATGGTTTTGTCGAATGGTTTTGGCGAATGGCCTTGGCGAATCCTTTGGGCGAATGGTTTTGGCGAATGCCTTCGGCGAATACTTTTGGCAAATGCTTTTGCCGAATGGTTTTGGCGAATGGTTTGGCGAATAGTTTTGGCGAATAGTTTTGGCGAATGGTTTTGGCGAATTCTTTTGGCAAATGGTTTTGGCGAATGGTTTTGGCGAATGGTTGTGGTGAATGGTTTTGGTGAATGGTTTCGGCGATTTTTTTTTTGCGAAAGCTTTCGGCGAATCGTTTTGGCAAATGGATTTGGCGAGTGTTTTTGGCGAATGCTATTGGAGAATCGTTTTGGTGAATGGCTTTAACGGATCGTTTTGCCGAATGCTTTTGGCGAATGCTTTTGGCGAATACTTTTGGCGAATGCTTTTGGCAAATCGTTTTGGCAAATCGTTTTGGCGAATCGTTTTGGCGAATGGCTTTGGCAAATCCTTTGAGCGAATGGTTTTAGCAAATGATTTTGGCGAATGGTTTAGGAGAATGGTTTTGACGAATGGTTTTGGCGAATGCATTTGGCGAATGCATTTGACGAATGCTTTTGGCGAATGCTTTTGCCGAATGATTTTGGCGAATGGTTTGGCGAATGGTTTTTGGTGAATGGTTTTGGCGAATGGTTTTGGCAAATGATTGTGGCGGATTGTTTTGGCGAATGGTTTTGGCGAATGGCTTCGGCAAATTGTTTTGGCAAATGGTTTTGGCGAATGCATTTGGCGAATGCTTTTGGCGAATAGTTTTGGCAAATGGCTTGGGCGAATGCTTTCGCGAATGGTTTTCGCAAATGCTTTTGGCGATTGTTTTTTGCGAATGGCTTTGGCAAATGGTATTGGCGAATCCTTTTGGCGAATTGTTCTGGTGAAATGTCTTGGCAATTGGTTTTGGCGAATGGTTTTGGCAAATGCTTCTGTCGAATGCCTTTTGGGCAATCGTTTTGGCGAATCGAATTGGTGAATCGTTTTGGTGTTTTATGCCCCTTGAGACGGGTTTGATGTAGGGAGATGGGGGCAGGGTAACGAGACAGGGATAGGTGCTTCAAACATGGTTACTCTATATTCACCTTGTTACTACCACCTGCCGTATGGTATATGTCTGCACAAGATCACCGCATCTTCCACCACACAACCTCACGGATTCCACATTATCCCACATCCTCACCTTTTCTCGCTTGAGGGGACAGAAGTTGAAAGGCGCCTAAAGAACTAAAACAACATTTTAGGGGCCTAAAAAACCACGCCCGCCTCACAGCTTCCACCTTATCCTGGATTCTCACCTTATCTCGCCCGAGGGGGCAGAAGTCAGAGTCAATATCAGGAGGGGCAAGTCGCTCCTCATTCAAAAAGCGTTCAAAATACAGCCCTGGGGGAGAGAGAGCAGTGGGGGGGAGGTAAGGGAGGAGGGAAGGAGCAAGGGGGACGAGAGAGGGGGGGGTAAGGTGTTGGGTTACCTCGTATCAGGAACCGGCTGCTTCTTGTCCAGAGAGCGCTCAAAGTACAGGCCTGGCGGGGAGAGGAGAGGGGGGGAAGGAATAGGAGAGGGGGAGACGAAGGTGGGAGTGTTGGGTTGCCTCAGAGCAGGTGCCAGCCGCTCCTCTTTCAGAAAGCGCTCAAAGTACAGCCCTGGCGAGGAGAGAGGCAAGGGGGGACGGAACAGGGGGGGGGGAAGAGAGAGGAGCCAAAGGTCAGTGTAGGATTACCTCACCACAGGAGCTAGACGCTCGTCGTTCAGAAAGCGCTAAAAGTACAGCCCTGGGGGAGGGAGGTGAGGGGTGGAGTGGTATTTTTGCGGGGTGCGGTATGAGGGTTTAAGTGGGGAGAGGGATGGACGACAGGGCAAGGATGACAGGGCAAGGATGACAGGGCATGGATGTGTCAAGCTCCTCCTTTAGAACGCCCTCCGAGTATGGGTGTATGGTTGGGTGTATGGCGTTTGGTGTTGGGTGTAAGGTTTTTGGTGTTGGGTGAATGGTGTTTGGGATGTGTGCATGATGTTTAGTGTTGGGTGTAGAATCAACAGACTAGTGACATCTGCTTGACATTGGACAAATACCAGCTGTCCGCAAACCCAAAAGGACACATCCTGGGTGCACACACCGACACTCATCATCACCCACCACCATTCACCACCGTTCACCACCACTCACCGTGTTCGATGGGGTCGATGGAGATGATCTCGAGGGCGTATGCAACCAAAGACCCCGCTGCTGAGCCTCTGGTGGTTGGTGGGTGGAGGGAAGGGGGGAGGGGGGGAGGAGGGGCGGTTGGGAGGGGGAGAGAGGAGACAATGCGTATGATACTGTTGAAAAGAACTTCGGAAACGATCTGCAGCGAGCACATTTCGGCCAGCAATAGCCATTCAGAGAGGAGGCAATGCGTATGATACCAAGGATCCCCCATTGAGCCTCTGCTCGTGGGCGGGCGTTTAAAGGGGGGAGGGCGGGCCCTTGGATCGGGTCCTTGCACCGGGTCCTTGGATCGGGCGCTTGGTCGGGCCCTTGAATCGGGCCCTTGAGTGGCTCTTGCGTCGGGCCCTTGGATCGAACCCTTGGATCGGCCGCTTGCATCGGGCCCTTGGATCGGGCGCATGCATCGGGCCCTTGGATCGGGTGAAGGAACTGGCTTTGAGGAGAAGAAAATTATAAATTGAATAGGGAGCCAAGAGGCCAAGAGTTGGAAGGGAAGCTCTCCTATTGGCGACAATGTGGACCAATGGGAGAGGTTGCTTGGAGGGCAAGCAACCACAAAGTGTGGTGCTCTCCGATTGGCCACAATGTAGACCAATGGGAGAGGTTGCTTGGAAGGTAAGCAACCACAAAGTGTGGTGCTTGGTGATTGGTTGGTTCTTAGAACCATTTGGTTCAAATAGTGCCAACCAAATGTCTAGGACCAAATCCAATCGGGCCCTTAAACGGGTCCTTGGATGGGGCGCTTGCATTGGGCCCTTGGATCGGGCTCTTGAGTCGGGCCCTTGGATCGGGAGCTTGAATCGGGCCCTTGGATCGGGCGCTTGCACCAGGCCCTTGGATGGGAAGTTTGCATCGGGCCCTTGGATCGGGCGCTTGCATTGGGCCCTTGGTTCGGGCTCTTGCATCAGGCACTTGGATAGAGTCCGTCAGAATCCCATTCTGGCAGTCAAAGTCCGTCAGAATCTCATTCTGTGGTCAAAATTCGTCAGAATTCCATTCTGACGGTCAGAGTCCAACAGAATGCCATTCTGGCGGTCAGAGTCCAACAGAATGCCATTCTGGCGGTCAGAGTCCAACAGAATCCCATTCTGGCGGTCAGAGTCCGACAGAATCCCATTCTGGCGGTCAGAGTCCGACAGAATTCCATTCTGGTGGTCAGAGTCCATAAGAATCCCATTCTGGCGGTCAGAGTCTGTCCGAATCCCATTCTGGCGGTCAGATTCCGTCATAATCCCATTCTGACAATCAGAGTCCGTCCGAATCCCATTCTCGCGGTCAGTGCCCGTCAGGATCCCATTCTGGCAGTCAGTGCCCGTCAGGATCCCATTCTGGCGGTCAGAGTCCGTCAGGATCCCATTCTGGCGGTCAGAGTCCGTCAGGATCCCATTCTGGCGGTCAGAGTCCGTCAGGATCCCATTCTGGCGGTCAGAGTCCCTCAGGATCCCATTCTGGCGGTCAGACTCCGTCAGAATCCCATTCTGGCGGTCAGAGTTCGTCAGAATCCCATTCTGGCGGTCGGAGCCCATCAGAATCCCATTCTGGCGGTCAGAGCCCGTCAGAACCCCATTCTGGCGGTTAGAGTCCATCTGAATTTGTCAGAATTCCATTCTGACGGTCAGAATCCCATTCTGGCGGTCAGAGTGCGTTATAATCCCATTCTGGCAGTCAGAATCCGTCAGAATCCCACTCCCATCCTTCTCACCCCGCCCTTCCTTCTCACCCTGCCCTTCCTTCTCGCCCCGCCCTTCCTCCTCACCACACCGTACCTGCCTGGACCCACGGGAATGTCATTCTTGCGAGCAAACTGGATAATGTCCGATACGATCTGCATGACGAGGTGGTGTGGGGAACAAGGGGACGATGGGGAAGATGTAGGGGGAGGCCGGGGGAAGAACCGTTTATGGAAGGGAATGGTGCATGTTTGAATACCATTTTTGCAAGGAAGGATGTCCGATACTCTCTGCACTGGTTGGTGGGGAGCAAGGAAGGGGGCGGGGATGGGGGAGAGAAGGAAAGAGGAGAGAGGCAAGCTAGGATGTGCAGGAGAAAGCAGGAGACGCCAGGGATGTGTGCCTGGAAGGAAATATGAGGAGGGGCGAGACGAGGAGGGAGAGAGTGGCGAGAAAGCTAGGATGCACGAGGAGCTTCCCCCAACGTAGAGAGCACAACGAAATCATATGTACGAGCCTTGAAACCTACCAGAAAGTATGCGGGGAGCCCATAGTTGCAGATGACTCTGACCTCCAGGTCCAGCCGCTCCCTGTACTGCTGGGGCACCACCTCCCATGACCGCACCCCCATACTCAGTGCAAATCAACTCTCCAAACGTACTAGAAAGTAGGCCGAGAGGCCGTAGTTGCAGATGACTCGAAGCTCCAGGTCCAGCCGCTCCCTGTACTGCTGGGGCACCGCCTCCAATGACTGCACCCCCAGCACTGCCTGCAAGCCCCTCCGCGCCTCACTCTGGTGCCACATGAGGAATGCGTGGACCATCCATCATTCACATGTGGAATGGATGCATGAGAGAAAAGAGTGGCAAAGACACGAGATATGGTGCACAAGGAAGGAGTCGAGGGACAGAGTCGACAGACAGTACCCAAATCCATTAGGCCAACAATTTCCCTCGCTCCTCTCCTCTCCGCATCTCACCCTTCTCGACTCCCTGTCTCGCCTCTCTTCTATATGCCCCCTCACTGCCCCCTCACTGCCCCCTCACTGCCCCCTCACTGCCCCCTCACTGCCCCCTCACTAACCCCTCACTGACCCCTCACTGCCCCCTCACTGCCCCCTCACTGCCCCCTCACTGCCCCCTCACTGCCCCCTCACTGCCCCCTCACTGCCCCCTCACTACCCCCTCACTGCCCCCTCACTTGCCACATCATTCCCCACACACCTCGAGCCAGGATGCGTCAGTGTGGCCGGGCGGCACATCAAAGGTGGGCAGCTTGGGCTTAGAGGAGAAGAGCTGCGAGGAGTAGGAGGCGACCTGAGGGGGCAGACGAGGGCAGGGGAGGGGAGGGGAGGGGAGGGGAGAGGAATGACGAAAGGGTGTAGACTGCAGGTTGGGCTTGGAGGAGAAGAGCTGCGCGGAGTAGGAGGCGAACTGACAGGGTGGGGGAAGGAGGAAGGAACGGATGAACTAAGTAAGGGTGGGAGAGGGTGGGAGAGGGTGGGAGAGGGTGGGAGAGGGTGGGAGAGGAGAATGACGACCTAACTAAGTGTTTTGTCGTCAGGCATGTGTCGAAACGATTGCGTTTCATGGCTATATGACAGGTGAGCTGACCTTATCAGCGATGCGCAATGAGTTCTGAAGGGCTTCCAGGGCGTGCTCCTCCGGAAGGGTCCGTTCCAGGCTATGTAGCATTTCCTCCGGCGACTTCACATATTCCTGACCCCTGGTGTGAGGATTGGGGTAGGGGAGAGGCTTTGACGGATTTTTTAAGAAAAAATTGCTGGTAAGACAAGCGGCAGGTATACGTGAAAGGAATGTGAAACTAAGGGCGTGGTACATACAGTTCCGACTTTCCAATCACGGAACTGAGTTCCGAAAACGGTGGCGGGACTACTCGGACGAACACGGTACATCCAGTTCCGAAACTGGATGGCGTCCGAAAATCCCACTTGGTACCTACGTCCGGACGGTGGGGGTGCTGTTTGAAATTTCAAAGCCACGCGAAATGGCAAAGAAGACGAACATTGCGGAAACCTCCGCGACCAAAGTTACGCGAAACACATGTCGCCCCACATCGCAACTTCCGTTCCCAACAGCAAACTTCTTTGAATGCAGAAATTCGCCAGACTGGTTTTGATTGGCCAATGGCCAACTTCTTTCGCGCCCCAATTTTCGTCCCAGGTGACAACGTCTACTTTTCGCCATTTTCGCCAGGGGGGATTGGCCAGGCTGTTCGGAACTGGCCGGCTGGACGTTCTGACGACTGTCCAGACACCCCTGTCCGGACGCTGTTGGTAACCTGTTTTACCCATCTTGAGCGTTGTCGCGAATCGACTAGCGAGGCTCTTCGCGAACAAAGGCGAACAGCTGCCAGTTCCGGAACTGTATGTACCACACCCTAAGAAGGTGTGCTGTAAAGGAAGAAACAAACGAATGAAACATGCGAACAACGCATGCAACTTTGAACTCTAAAGAAAACAGACGAGAGATGAGTTTGGGAGAAATTTGGCCTGCCAAGGAGCTGTGAACTGGGAAAGGAGGGAGGTGACTCACGTGTATGCCTTGACGAGATTCTTTCCGGCCTGAAATGCAATGCACACGCAAGGGTGAACAGGACGAACCAGCAAGCAATCGTTCCAAAGGGAGGAGAACGTGGGGGGGAAGTGACGTTAACACACAGGCATAAACATTCACACGCAAGAAGGATATACATGCTTCTCTTAAGTTGCAAGCGCAATGACCTTGACCGATACTGACCTTGACTGAGACTAGCGTTTGGTGCGCCCTGTGGTCTGCAGCCCGGGTGAAGTGAGAGTCATTGGTGGCCACTAGGGGAATGCCCTGGGAGAAAGGGGATACACGCAATGGGAGTGGGGACGTGATGTGAGACGCGTCCAGAGGCACAACGTGCCATGATATTCGATGCATTCCCGTGCGTCCTCACCCAGCCTTGGCAGGCTATCACTACAGCCTCACACTCAGCCTCACACTCAGCCTCACACTCAGCCTCACACTCAGCCTCACACTCAGCCTCACACTCAGCCTCACACTCAGCCTCACACTCAGCCTCACACTCAGCCTCACACTCAGCCTCACACTCAGCCTCACACTCAGCCTCACACTCAGCCCCACACTCAGCCTCTCACTCAGCCTCACACTCAGCCTCACACTCAGCCTCACGCTCAGCCTCACACTTAGCCTCACACTCAGCCTCACACTCAGCCTCACACTCAGCCTCACACTCAGCCTCACACTCAGCCTCACACTCAGCCTCACACTCAGCCTCACACTCAGCCCCACACTCAGCCTCTCACTCAGCCTCACACTCAGCCTCACACTCAGCCTCACGCTCAGCCTCACACTTAGCCTCACACTCAGCCTCACACTCAGCCTCACACTCAGCCTCACACTTAGCCTCACACTCAGCCTCGCACTCAGGCTCACACTCAGCCTCACTGTGTGCTGTGACAGGTTGATCTTGGCGTTGGTAGCAGGCCCCTGTCATGGCTGCTTTTGAGTCGACTCAAAAGCAGGCCCCGTCATGACTCGGCAGCCTGACCTCCACCAATATGCTCCCATCCTGCCGCCACACTTGCATCTTCTGCTTTTACCGTGTCTTGTGACAGCTACAGCATCGCGTGGTTAATCTTGGCCTTGGCGTCGAGCCCATCATGCCTCCCAGTCCCCACCTATCACACTCAGCAACAGTAACATCGCACCATGCCTACAACCCTCACCGTGTCCCGCGACAGCTGCAGCAGCGCGTGGTTGATCTTGGCATTGACGTCGAACCCACTGGCAGCGTCAATGCGCCCATGGTCCATCACCTCCAGGTAGTAGTCGTCCCCGAACACGGACCGGTACCTGGAGAAAGGGTAGACACGCAGGAGGGATGGGGTAGGAGGGAAATGAGGGGGCTGAAATACAGGCGTGGTCCATCACCTCCAGGTAGTAATCGTCCCCGAACACCGATCGGTGCCTGGCTGGCAGTGCATCGGATTGTGGCGACATAGAGCCTACCTTGGTCAATGCACCTGTACTCACCTCCAAGTAATAGCTGTCCCCCCCAAACACCGACCAGTCCGGTACCTGGCAGTGCATCAGATGAAGTGACCTAGAGGGAGCGGATTGTACTCTAGGGGGCCTGCCTGGTCAATGCACCCATGGTCCATCACCTCCAGGTAATAGTCCTCGCCAAACACCATGGCCCCTCTTGTGCCGTTGGGCCCTCTTGCCAGTGCCATTGCCATTGCCAGGAGGAAAGAGCACAAAGCACTAACAGTCAACTGCTATGATAGGAACTTCAATGTCCAATAGTGGAAGCCGCTGGGCTCTCTCATCACTATGCATGTGTGCCCAGGCTCTCTCATCTAGACGAACGGCGGCTTCCACTACGCATGCATGCTAGCCGGGCTCTCTCATCACTCCATTCGTCTAGATGCTGGCCTTTTCAGTGCATGCAGAAGCGCTTACCAGTCAACGGTGCTTCGAGCGACATCCATGCGATCAGCCATGATGGCACGAGGCACCTGGCATTCGCAGTCGAGTAGGGGGGAGGGAGAGAGAGATGCTGGAAAATATACAGAGAGAGGAGGAGAGACGCCATGTAAGCTTGTGAGAATGTGCTCTGCACCTGGGAAGCGCGTTACACAGCAGACGTACCTCCCCCGACGACATGCATCCACTGACTCGAAGGCAGAGCATGTGAGCACGTGCTCGGCAAATGGGCTATGCGTCAACGCATCACACAGAGACGTACCTCCCCTGACATGCATCCACTGAGCACGATGAGCCCCTCTTTGTGATGCGCCAGCAGTTCCCTGAAAGAAGAAGGGAGGGGGAGAGAGAGTGGGTGGGTAGAGGAGAGTGGATTCTGATTAGGCAGGCGTGTGTTGCAGAGTATCGGCCTTGCAGAAAATGTGGCTCAACCGGTCAGGAGGCTGATCCTCGGCAAGCAAGAGCGTCCGATGGCACGTGAACATACATGTGAGCTTCACAAACGGCCACACGGTACTTCTGATGAACGTGTGCGCACTCTCACCTCGTGATGCATGGACGTCCTCTTGCACCATTGCCCTGTTGCCAGCAGTAACGAGAGAGAGAAAAAAAGGGATTAGTAAGGGTAAGAAAGTGAGATAGAAGACGGGTACACATAGGAAAGAAAGAAGTGTAATTAATGCGTCAGGCCGGGCCCGAAAGTTAAAGGGAAACAAATCGAAATAGCTCTTAGCACGCCTTGATTGGACAAGGCAGCTGCAAACGTCCCCTGTGCCCATTCCCTCATCCCTGAACCCTTCATGCTCCCCACTTCCTAAACCCGAAACCCTAAGCCCCCAACCCCTTGCTCCTATGTCCATGCTCTATTGACTCACCACCATGCCATGGACATGCGAGAGGGACGTCAGCTGTACCTGGTTACGGTACCCCCGTGCATGTCCTTAACGCCCCCCAGTTTAAAGCAGCACTCATGTGCATGGTAGCACTTTAAGACCTTGTAGTCAAAGCAGCACTCACCACCATGCCATGGACATGTGACAAGGACGTGAGCTGCACCAGGTTGTGATACCCCTGCATGTCCTTGGCCAGAACAGTCAGGTGGTACCTGGGGTGGGTTGAGAGCAGGAGGACAGCAGGGAAGGTAGGGTTCAGAAGTCACCAGATTGTCATACCCCTGCCCGCATGTCCTTGGCTAGAACAGTCAGGTGGTACCTGGGGTGGGTGGGGTGAGAGCACGGGGACAGCAGGGAAGGGCGATGCTGAAGGTTCAGCAGCCATCAAGAGTTACCAGGTTGTGGTAACCCTGTCTTTGGTCAGCACGGTCCGGTGGAAACTGGGGCAGGGTGGAGGAATGAGGAGATACAGTCATCATCATGAATCAGATTATGAGAGCAAATCCTCTTTTCTACAGACCTGTCCTTCCATTGTAATGCGGGGAACAGACAAACCCTTCTCCAACTAATCATCCCTCCCATCCAATCAGATTTCTCATCCCTTCTCACTTCCCCTGCAGTCACCTTGTGGGTTGGGGCGCTTTGGCCGTCTTGCCTGTCCCCCCCGCCTCCGCTGCCTGCTCCTCTCCAACCTGCCCCTCGTTCACCTCCCCCCCTGCCACTTGCTCCACTCCCCCCCTCCCATCATTACTCCCCTTCGCAGCACCAACCTCCCCCTCTCCCTCCAGCATCACCTCTCCTCCTCCACTCCCACCCGCCTCCACCTCGCCCTGCACACCCTCCTCCCCTACCGCCGTACATCCCTCCCCCGTCGCCTCCCTCGCCTCCCTCAACTCCCGCACCACCTCCTGCAACTTCTCAGGCGCCCCCTCGGCATCCACGAGGTACATCTCGTTGCCGATGATGGGCTTTAATCCCTCCGCCTCGCACAGCCGCACCAGCTGCAGCGCGCCGTACATCACTGGGGGAGACAGAAGGGAGAGAAGGGAGAGAGGGTTGAGGAGAGGGAATGGGACGAAGAAGGCAGAAGGTGGGCTTTGACCACAGCCGCACCAGCTGCAGGGCTCTGTACATCACTGGGAGGGAGCGTAGGGAGACGGGAGAAGAGGAAAGGGACTCACGAGGGTTCAAGACGGGAGGGATTGGGATTGGAATGGAGAGGGAAGAGAGCAGGTAAACCCCTCCGCCTCACACAGCCGCACCAGCTGCAAGCCACCGTACACTACTGTGGGGGTTGGATGGGGGAGGGGAGGGAGGGGAGGCATTGTTGCAACAGCTGCAATGTACTGCACCATACATTCAGAAACAAGGGAGGAAATGCATTCAATTCCAACAGTGAAGGAAGAGAATGAGGGCAATGATGGGCGTGTTGAGCTCCTCCTTGTAGTGAGGCACCTCAACTCTCGACGCCAGTGTGGGTGGGGTGCATTATGTCACACACTATCCGGTTTGAGGCGCATCAAGCTTACTGCCGTGGTCTGTGAGCGCATTGCCGGGATACTCTGTGAGGGCATTGCCGGGATACTCTGTGAGGGCATTGCCGGGATACTCTGTGAGCGCATTGCCGGGATACTCTGTGAGGGCATTGCCGGGATACTCTGTGAGGGCATTGCCGGGATACTTTGTGAGGGCATTGCCAGGATACTTTGCAAGGCCGGATTGACGCGCAAAACACTGTGATGCGAATGCAACTCACCGCCATGGTCCGTGAGCGCAATGCCGGGCATGTTGAGCTCCTTGGCTCGCAGTAAGGCACCTCAGATTGCTTTGTAAGGCCGGATTGACATGCAAAACACTGTGAGGCGAATCCAACTCACCGCCATGGGCCGTGAGTGCAATGCCGGGCATGTTGAGCTCCCTGGCTCGCAGTAAGGCACCTCAGATTGCTTTGTAAGGCCGGCTTGACACGCAAAGCACTGTGAGGCGAATCCAACTCACCGCCATGGTCCGTGAGCGAAATGCCAGGCATGTTCAGCTCCCTGGCTCGCAGTAAGGCACCTCAGATTGCTTTGTAAGGCCGGCTTGACACGCAAAGCACTGTGAGGCGAATCCAACTCACCGCCATGGTCCGTGAGCGCAATGCCGGGCATGTTGAGCTCCCTGGTTCGGAGTAAGGCACCTCAGATTGCTTTGTAAGGCTGGCTTGACACGCAAAGCACTGTGAGGCGAATCCAACTCACCGCCATGGTCCGTGAGCGCAATGCCGGGCATGTTGAGCTCCCTGGCTCGCGCCACCAGCCCCTTCAACTGCCATAAGGCGAAGCATGGGGTAGGAGAAACAGAACCAGGATGGGGTAAGTGAGGACGCAGGAAGAACCAGCGTGAAGGTCGACAGAGTGTAATTGTTTTTAGCGTGCACGGACTGACCTGACTCGCTCCATCTAACAGGCTGAAGTCGCTGTGCGTGTGCAGCGGCACGTACTGTAGCTGCTCCGCTTTCTCCCCTTCCGCTCCCCCATCCCCCTCTCCCCCCTCCGCCTCCGCCTCCGCCTCCACCTCAATCATCCCTGCTTGACTACTCCCCGCTTCCCCCGCAATGCCCTGTGCGCGGACCCCCCATGCTCCCCGTCCTGGCGCGTACCCCAGCCTCCGCTCATCGCGGCGAGCCTTCGAGAGGGGAGGGAATCCCGAGGTTAAGAGACCTCGGACGGAAATGGAAAGGCCAGCAAGTGAGGACGAAGTACCAGGACCTAAGGCTGAGAACCCTGGGATCACGACGGGAACGGCTGGGACGAGATTCCGGGAAGCCCGACGGCCGAAAGGTAGGACTAGGGTTGTAGTCGCTGACGTGGATACTAAGCGAGGGCGGAACGGGTGCAGGTCTGCCACGTGGCGTCCTTGACCCTGGTGAGGTTTCGCGACAGCGAGTGGTGTGTGATCCAGCCCGCGTAACGGACGGCAGGAGATTGCATCGGAAGGTACGCTGGCGTGAAGCATTGCGAGCCTTCCGAGATCGACCCTCCCGGATTCGACACCTCCTAGATTCACGCGCTCGCAGCGGGTTACATAGGTCGCAGCGAGATTAGAGGGAAAGGCCTGCGGAAGCGAGCGGTGATTCGTGAGGTAACGTGAAAAGAGCTTCGCAGGACGAACGGCCGATGTCGCTGTGCGATGGAGCATCTCGGAACATAGTGGCTGGCGGGCCCAGAAATGGAGGGAAAATGGCGAGTCTGGAAGAGGGATTGCTGGCGGCTGGGAATTTGTCAGCTTTGGGGGAGCTTCACCCACACGCTTCACGAGGAAGGGTTTGGAAATCCCAAGGCGGTGGAAGCGAATCCGCGTTTCCAAACAAATTATTTCAGAAGGGTACACTGCAGCGCAATACATGAAACGCAAATCTGTTTATGTCATGCCTAAATCTCAACCTTTTGATTTGGAGTCCACTGTTGCAAGCGCACTTCTGACAGACTTTGACATTTTCTGTTTGGCGGTCCTTTGGACAGAAGAGCGTGAATATTGACCTTGGATTCTGTCTGTCATTTGACTGACTCCCATTTTTTGAAGTTATTTCTCATGGCTCTACGACATTCTGGAAAGTTACAGCAAAGGCATGGTGGCTTCCGTTATGCCAAGTCCGTCAACCTATCTTGTTGTGGTTGTGTGTGTATGTTTGTTTTCCTTGCCTTGTTATGTTTCTGTTATTGTGCACGTATAGGCACTCTTCTACATGTTCTTCTTCCTGTTCATTTGCTTGTGCTTCTGCTCTGACTATATTTGTAAATTAGTGGGCTGGACTTTTATCATTGGTGAAGTGTCTTCTATAAGGTCCGAATTGGATGCGAACTAAAAAGAGAATGGTTTTGTGGACAGGTGGATAGTCCCTGAACCCTATATTCACAAGACGCTTGAAAACATTTCAATTATTGAAGACACCTACCTACCCAACACATACTACTATTTCAACAAGTCCCAATAAAGCTGACTCAGTCTATACTTTAGTACCGTACGCTATGTTATAGAAGTAGATTGCATGTTGCAAAGAAGGTTTCCCACATCGAAATTCTTCCCATGTGAGTGCTTCTAGTCCTTCGCGGACAGTGGACGCGCGTCGCGTCACTTAGAGGCTTGTCGGGCGGCCGCTGCCCAGCGTCAGGCACATGCGCTTGGCTTGATCCCTGACCTAACCGGGGATAAGGAGGGCGCGGGGCCGGTGGCTCTGGATATCGACGATACGGTATGGGATCTGGTGCTATCGTGGGACTGGGAGGCGTTCTTTGGCATCGATTGGGTTCCACACAAGTTGATGCGTTGGATTTCTCTCCGAGTGCAACTTGGGGTTCTTGATGATCTGTAATGCATCCTCCAGTGCCTCAAGTCACATACGAAGGACGGGGCGGCCACACGTATGTTCTTCGCTTTCCCTCGCCTCATCTTGGGGGCTTCGGACAGGAAGGGTGTGGGCCACCGAGCTGCGATTCAGGAGCGACTGGAGAGGTTTTGGGCTGGCTAGTAGTGGCGATTATTTGATCTGCCAGGGCTGCCATGCTGCCGGCGTCACGACCTCTGGCTTATAGCTCGCCGGTGCATGACCCGGAAACCGTGCACATGGCCCGCAGTCGCATGTGGTGTGCGGTGGGCAAGTGGAGCTGCGGTCTGGCTTGCCTTACTTTCGGTACCTTGGCTCAGCCATCCCAGGCCATGATGGAATCTCTGCTGGCCAAACATCATGCCGACGTGACTGCTATTCCGGACTGGATGCAATCGTTCTCAGTTGAGGATGCTCCCTCAATTCTCTGTGGAGATGCTAGCAAAGGCGATCCACTCTGGTGCTCGTGCATCAGCTCTTGGGCCTTCCGGCTGGATGACAAGGCATCTTCATGATACCGTTCTTTCTGAACCCTCCTACATTCCTCATATGCTTGGGGTGTTCCACCGTTATCTCGATGCATGCCCTTTCATAGATGTGATGTCTTCGGAAAGGGGCTCGGCAGGGTGATCCCTTCGACCCTTTCATCTTTGCGTTCACCCAGCAGTTGGCGATGGAGCCCACCATCAAGGACTTCCCGGATGTCCTTTTTCGCAGCTACGTGGACAGCATGTTCGTTTTGGGGCCCCGGGATAGGGTCTTTACTGCTTATGAGGTTCTGGGCGGACGATTAGGGGGGCTTGGTTTGAAGGTGCAATCGCACAAGTGCCGTCTCTGAGAGCGTGGGACCATGGGTGGGGACAGAGGCGGGGGCGCAGCCGAGGGCGAGGACGGGGGCGAGGGTGTGATTGGGGACGGGGGCGCGGGCAGGGGCGAGGACGGAGGCGATGGGGGAGGCAAGGATGGGGGCGCGGAGCTGCTGTCAAGCTTGCAGCGGGCGTGTAATGGACTGACAGTCATGGGTGTTTCTGTTGGGGAGGAGGACAGAGAGGTGGCAGCGCCTCAAGCAGTTGCAGACACCCTTACCATGGCTCCTATTCTCGGACCACCTGCAGATTGCATCACATCTCTTGGCGATTACGGTATCCGCACGCCCTACCTACCTTATGCGGACGATGCCCCCTCAGCTGGAGGTAGTGGAGGCATTTCGGGACTGGAATACTGCCCTGGAGGATTGCTTTGAGCAGTTGTTTCCGCCTAGTACGTGGGAGGTTGACGCTCAGAAATCGCGCATGGCCCGCCTTCGGGTGCACCTTCCGGCGAGGTTAGAGGGCTTCGGCATCCGCTCGATGGCCGACCTTAATCCCATATCTTACGTATACGGCTGGTGTCAGGCAGTCTTTGCCATCGCCCCATTAGCGGTGGAGGGTGAGGAACTGATTTTGCGGAGTTTTGCCATGCTCTGGAGGCGGGCCAACTCTTGGACCCCTGGTTTGCCAGGGCTGTAGACCTGCTTCCTTTGTCCGTTCGGCAGGAGATTGTCAACCCTCTCCCTGTTCGTCGTTGATCCCCCGTTGTTGCTGTTTCCTACTCAGCAGCATCGTCTCGTTGTTGAGCGTCTGCAAACCCTCCGCCGCATGGCTCGCGACGCCGCCACTCTAGCCCGTTTGATATCTCTCCAGAGCCCAAGGGCGGGGGCGTGAGTCTTTGTGGTTTGTAAGCATAACGATGCTACTTTTACCGTGACTGAGTGGAGCATCTGTGCAGCCATGCGTCTCAGCTTGCCAATTCAGCATCTGATTGTTTAGGGTAGGTGCGCTTGTGGGATGGCATTTGTCGACCTGTCGGACCCGCACCATGCCCTCCGCTGCAAGCATCAGTATGCGCCCTCTCTTGTCCACGACGCAATGAAATTTGTCGCGGCCAGGATCGCGAAGAGCTCGGGCGGATGGTAACGATGGATGATGGCACACTTCTGCTGGGTAAGAAGGTGGATGTGGTGGTTCCTCGCCCGATGGAGGGTGAGGCGTTTGCACTTGAGGTGAGCGCCATGGACCCCATTTCCCTCTCTTCACTGCAGCATGGGTGGATTGGGCGCGTGGTGGAGTTTGCTGCTCGGGAGAGGGAGAAGTTGAAGGCGGCCGATTACAAGGCTGTTCACTCCTCTATAGTCAGACTTGGGGCTGACTTGGGGGGGGTTCCGCGGATAGTTGTGGCAGCATGGGGATGTCTAGCTCGAGGTGGCGAGGAGCAAGGGGGCAGGCGGGAAAAATGACAAGACTTTCTCAGCTTCTTTGATTGGGTCTTTGAAGGCTGCTATCGGGGTGGCTTGCAGCGGGCCCAGACGCGAGTAATTTTGTTGCGTGCGACTTCTATGATGGGGGGGCTTGATGTCGCGTGGGCTGAGCGGTGGGGGGGGGGGTTGAGCAGGAGGATGGATGGGGGGCTTCGTGGGTGGATGTGATGCGCCTTACTTGGTGGGCCAGTGGCTGTTGACACGTGTCTGCCTATTCCTGGGTCCCTCGGTTCTTTCCCATGCCCATTGGGTTGTTTAGTTTTTCTCTTCATTGTCTTTTTCTCCCTGCTTGCCTTTTTTTTCATTTTCCCTATCCCCATCATTTTTAGTTGCCCCATTTTTGGTTTCTTGTACTCCACATTGTATTATTGTGGCTCTTATTCCAGACTCTTGTTTAAAGAAAATCTCCACAATCCATCAAAACTCTTCCCAATGGTTTTAATACAGCGCCGACCTTCCAATAGCTTTCAGTCGTTTCAGTTGGCTCCACAACAGCAGAGAGTCTGTAACTGTAGTGAAGCACATTACAATATTATTTAATGAGACTTGCAACATTCTTGGCAGGGCCTACTTTTGGATTTTTGTTACTCTGTAATCAGGGAGTGGCTTTTTTCATTACTCTAAAAATCAGAGTGCTCCCCAGTGGTTTCTCTTTTTTTTCCAAGTTAAAAAAAAAAAAAAAAAAAAAAAAAACACACACACACACATAGACAATGCAGAAGGGTTTTTCAACCAACTCTCTGCAGCAGGGTCATTTGTACGCGCGGGGCAAGATCGGGAGATGGGGGGGAAACGTATGGGGAATGATTGAAAGATTGCAGGGGCGGAGCGAATCGAGCTGGCAGGGGAGGTCGACACAATAGGGGCGGGGAAGGGGAATCTTGCACTCCCCTCCTCCTGCGAGCACGCGTTGGCCCTAAATCTGGTGAAGGTCCAAGACGCCCTGATGCAGCCAACAATGCATCTCGCTCGAGCCCTAGATTAGGTGAAGGGCCACTCAACACCCTCACAAGCCTTCGAGCACAAATGGCGCGGTGATTTTGGTGAAGGGACAATTAGCCCCCTCACACAGCCTCGAGCACAGGCCAGGCGATGATTTTGCTGGTGCGCGTGACATGACCTGTTCTGCGGGACACGGGGGCACGGCTGGGTACAAGGGGCGGGGACAATTTTACAGGTATCCTCCCTATACACTGACCACCAGAGTGGTACAAAAGTTTACTCGGATAAAATCAGAGAAAAAGTAAATCCATTTTTTTTTCAACTCAGGGCCCCTAGAGCAGTTTTAAAAAAACGAGTCTGATTTTTCAGAGAAAATGAGTAAATTACTCTGATAAAATAGGCCTTGGGCCGATATGTGAGCCTCACGGAGTGTGTGAAGTAGAACGCTGCCATACTTCAGACACGGCAGCCAGCCAATCCCCAGTTCCTTATGCGTGACAGCTTGTTGTGAGTTTGTGAGTCGGCTGTAATGTGTCGTTCAAGCACCTGCGGTTGAACCTTATTGTAGCTTCAGTCGCCCTCGCGATCTGCCGTGTTCCCTAACTGCTTCTCCATTTGAAACAACAGCGTTGGGGAGCTGCTTATCACTCCTGCATACCTGGTCGTTTCTGCTTATCTGGTCGATAGCGTCACTCCCTTTTCACATTCGAGCTGATTTTCCTTCGTCGCTCTCTCCCATGTAGACTTTCGCGTAGTAAAGGCTAATTTGACAGCTATCGCTGCCTGTCATTCCCCTTGATTCGCCGCTGAAACCATGCCGAGCCGACCAGGAACATCCACAATGGGTGTCGGTAGAACCGGTGCAGGTCGAACGGCTGTCGGAAGGACCGGTTTCAGCAGGACGCACGCTCACCGGCGAGCGTGCCAGCTCAGCACGGAGATCCACACGCTATTGGCTGTCATGCGCCAGAGCTCCAAATGGGCCGTGTCGCCCATTTTCCTCGACGAAACTTCCGGCGCGGACGCCGAAGATCCGCTGCTACGCAATCTTAAAGACCTAAGGCAGAAGATCGTCACCGATTGGTCGGACGACGACTGGGAGGCGGCTCGCGTGCCGCCTTCTGCGTACCTGGTGCCGTTCCTCGACGTTGTGCGATCTGAACGAACTAACACGATAGTTACCAGCGTCGCATTGTCGTCAATCCTGAAGATTCTCAATCTGCAGTTCTTCGATCAGTCGACGCCGGGAGCGGCGGTGGGGATTCACATGGTGATGGATGCAGTGACGTCATGTCGGTTCGAGGTCACTGACCTAGCGTCAGAGGAAGCCGTTCTTGTGAAGATCCTTCAGGTAACGTCTTGCAGACACACGTCGGGGGAGCTTTTGAGAATTCTCAAAAACACCCTGCAAAATCGAGAATTCTCAAAAACACCCTGCAAAATGAAGATCCTTCAGGTAACGTCTTGCAGACAGACGTCGGGGGAGCGGCGGTGGGGATTTACATGGTGATGGATGCTGTGACGTTGGGCCGCTTCGAGGTCACCGACCTAGCGTCAGAGGAAGCGGTCCTTGTGAAAATCCTCCTGGTAAATTCCGCCTCGTGCGTTCAGACGTCTCAAAAGTAGAGCTGCGTCAGAGAAAGCGGGTTTTTGTGAAGATTGTTGCGTCAGGTATTTTCCCGCAGACTGGTCATTTCAACTCCTCCTGCAAGTACTCTCAGCTAGTAATTGTCCCCTGGCTTGTGAGTTTTTCAATCAGTCGACGTTGTGGGGATTCAAACTGTGATGGACGCCCTGACGTCGTGTCGCCTCGAGGTCACTGACCTAGTGTCCGAAGACGCAGTTCTCGTCAAGAACCTCCTGGTATTTCTCCCCTCTGCTTCAGGGGTACTTGTTTTCCAGACTGGTAACAGGCGCTTGCTCGGTACTTGTGTTCTCGCTTTTGTGCTTTCTCAGGAGCGATCATTGGCGAGTCTGCTCTACATCTGTTCCTGGTCCCTTGACTGTGCAAACAGCTCTAGAATATAGAAAGTGTGCACCACGGGCCTCCATTCTGATGACGTTTGATCTCACTCAAACACACCTAACAACGCAACGTATCGCTATTGCTCCCTCTCGCGCCCCTCCCAACCCCCTTTTCCCTCCCAACCCAAGCTCTCTTGGAGGCGGTCCGCAGCCCCTCGGACCACCGCATGTGCAGGCAGCATCGTCTACACCTGACCTGCTTTCGTGCGCTGCACCAGGCCGCCTCCAAACCCCACCTCCTGCTGCGCTTCCTCCCCCTCCCTCTCCCCTCGTTTCCTTTTTCCCCCCCATCCCACCTCCCAGATTCTCCTGGAGACTAGTTTTGAGGAACTAGTTTTCCCCCCCACCCCCCTCAAAACTAGACTTCATTCCCGTTTCCCCCCCCATCCCACCTCCCAGGTTTTCCTGGAGACGGTCCGCAGCCCTGCAGGCCCTCTCCTCTCCGACCGCCACATGTACAGCATCGTCAACACGTGCTTCCGCGTGCTGCACCAGGCCGCCTCCGAATCCCACCTCCAAATCCCACCTCCTACGATACCTCTCTCCCCCCCTCCCTCTCTCTGCCCCTTTTTCCTTCCCAGGTTCTCTTGGAAACGGTTCGCAGCCCAGCAGGCCCGCTGCTGTCTGACCGCCACATGTGCAGCATCGTCAACACGTGCTTCCGAGTGCTCCACCAGGCCGCCTCCAAATCCCACCTCCTGCAGCGCCTCGCCTGCCAAACGCTCCTCGACATGGTCCGGGAGATTTTTGGGCGGCTGCCCGAGCTGCCCGCGAGCGAGGAGGATGGGGAGCTGGGCGAGGGCGAGGCGACGCAGGGGACGATGGATAGCACCCCGTTCTCGCCCAGGGTGGAGGCGAGGGAGGGCGGGATGGAGGAAGGGAAGGACGGGGGGCTGGAGCTGGGGGGTGCAACGGTGGAGGAAGCGGAGGGAGGGGAGGGCAGAGACGCCGTGAACGCCGAACAGGTGAGTGGGATTGAAGGGGTTTACTAACAAGGGGGGTGTGGGACGTGTGTTTCTTTTGCACCCCCCAGCGAGTGAGGAGGATGGGGAGTCGGGCGAGGGCGAGGCGACGCAGGGGACGATGGATAGCACTCCGTTCTCGCCCAGGGTGGAGGCGAGGGAAGGGGGGTTGGAGCTGGGGGGTGCGACGGGGGAGGAGGGGGAGGGAGGGGAGAGCAGAGATGGCGGGAACGCTGGTCAGGTGAGTGGGATGCAAGGGGTTTGATATCAGGGGGGCGGGGGAAAGGAGGGTGTTTGTAAGGGGTTTTAACACTGGGAGGGGGGGAAGGGAAGGGAAGGGTGTGTGTGTGGAGTGTGTCTGTTCTGCCTCGTTGGCTCCATCTCGCGCTTCCTGCATCTTTCTATCTGCGCTGCTGCTGCTGCTGCCGCTGCTATGTTTTGAGGCGCATCAAAACACGCTATCTGTCTATGCTGCTGCTGCTGCTGCTGCTGCTGCTGCTGCTGCTGCTGCTGCTGCTGCTGCTGCTGCTGCTGTGCAGGCTGAAGCAGCCCCCACGACAATAGGAGCAGCAGGAGGGTTAACCACCATGCCAACCACCGGCAGAGCGAGCAGCAGCAGCACTGGCAGCGAACCACACTCCATCCCCACTGCCAACGGCCTCCCCCCCACCTCAGCCTCGGCAACCCCCAAACCTTCCCATCCCACCGACCCTAATGAACAGCCTCGGGGACAGGGGAACGTCAGCAGAGGCGAGGCCGGCGAGGAGGGGGAGGAGGAAGACGGGGAGCGAGCAGGCAGCAACCCTAACAATGCCTCTCTGGCGTCCCTGGGTCGGCCCCATGGGGTGGCATGTGCAGTGGAGGTCTTCCACTTCCTCTGCTCGCTGCTTGGTCTAGAGGACCACCAGTCGGCTCTCTTCGCCTCGGGCATGCTAGCAGATGACGATGTGTCGCTGCTGGCGCTCAGCCTTATCTCAGCTGCTCTGGAGCTCGCTGGCCCCTCGGTTGTGAGGCACCCGCGGCTGCTGTCGCTCATTCAGGACGAGCTCTTCCGCTCGCTGCTGCAGCTGGGGCTCTCCCCCAACCTCCTTGTCCTCTCGCAGGTGTGTGTGTGCCTGCTTTCAAAGGACTGCCCTTTCTCTTCTCCCTCAGGTGTGTTCCTCCTTCCAGAGTTTTTTCTTCATTGGTTATCCCCCTCATCAGTTGTGGTTATCCCCCTCATCAGTCGTGGTTATCCCCCTCATCAGTTGTGGTTATCCCCCTCATCAGTTGTGGTTATCCCCCTCATCAGTCGTGGTTATCCCCCTCATCAGTTGTGGTTATCCCCCTCATCAGTTGTGGTTATCCCCCTCATCAGTTGTGGTTATCCCCCTCATCAGTCGTGGTTATCCCCCTCATCAGTTGTGGTTATCCCCCTCATCAGTTGTGGTTATCCCCCTCATCAGTCTATTTTTTAGGCTCCCCTAAAAAACAGAGGTTTTTCTTCATTGGTTATCCCCCTCATCAGTTGTGAGGCATCTGCTCCTGCTCTTTCTCCAGCCTGCTCCTGCTCTCACAGCACAGGGCAGGCATGGGCCTTCTCAGGGGTTCGCGCCTCCTCCTTCCTCAGCTACGTGTCAAACCGTTACATGTTTCCATGTGGCATGATCACGTGATCACACCATCTCCCATCCCCCACAGGTTCTGGCCATAGTGCAGACGCTCTGTCACTCCACACAGCCGGACCGCAAGCTGCAGCTGAAGGCCTTCTTCACCTGTGTTACTCAACCTTTGTCTCTCATGCTCACCACCATCTCCCTCCCATCTCCCATCTCCCCCATCTCCCAACCCACAGGTCCTGGCCATAGTGCAGACACTGTTCCACTCCGCTCGCCCCCATCTCAAGCTGCAGCTAGAGGCCTTCTTTACCTGCAACCTCGGCTGTCTCACCCACACACGGAACTTCACCGCCACCTCTTTCCACCTTCCCTCGTTTCCTGTTGCTTACAGGTCCTGGCCATAGTGCAAACGCTGTTCCACTCCGCTCGCCCCCACCTCAAGCTGCAGCTAGAGGCCTTCTACACCTGCGTCCTCGGCCGTCTTGTCGGCACAGCCGGAAAGTTCACAGCCACGTCCTTCGCCCAGCAGGAAGCTGCCCTGGAAGCCCTCCTAGACTTCTGCCGCCTGCCCGAGTTCGCCGTGGAAACTTTTGCCAACTTTGACGCGGACCTGACGTGTGCGAATTGCCTGGAGGAGCTCTCGGGGTTGCTGTCCCGGGCAGCTTTCCCAGTGAACACACCGCTCTCGTCGCTCCACGTGCTGGCGATGCAGGGGCTGCTGGCGGTGGTGCACCATATGGCGGATCGGGCAAATACCGCCGCTGCTGCTGCTGCTGCTGCTGCTGCTGCTGGCTCTGCTGCTACCGCTGGTGTTGCTGCTAGTGCTGGTGCTGGTGCTGGTGTTGCGGCGCCAAACCCATTGCTGCTGCCAGGTTCGGCAGTGCCGGCAGCGCCAGAGCTGAAGATAGCCTCGGAGAACGGAGCCATGTGGACGCAGGCTCGGGAGATGGTTGCTGCTGCGTTAGCTGCTGCTGCTATTGCTGGGGCAGGCGAGGGGGCGACAGGCATGCTAGTGGACGTGTCAGCATCTGCAGACGGATTTCAGCGGCAGATTCCTTCTCAGCAGCAGCAGCAGCAGCAAGCAGGCCAGAATCAGAACCAGCAGCAGCAGCAGCTGTTGCTAGTGGAGGTGGTGCGGCAGCAGAGGTCGATCAAGCGACGGCTCCTCATCGGCGTGGAGCATTTCAACCGGGACTCCAAGAAAGGCCTCCAGTTCCTCCAATCCTCGGGCCTCCTCCCCCCCCATCCCGACGCCCGCGCCGTCGCCTGCTTCCTCCGCTTCACACCGGGACTTAACAAAACTCTGGTGGGGGACCTGCTGGGGGGGCATGACGAGTTCCACGTCCGCGTTTTAGGGGAATTCGCTAAGCTGTTTGACTTTGAGGGGATGGCGCTGGATGCGGCGCTGAGGACGTTCTTAGAGGGGTTCCGGCTGCCTGGGGAAGCGCAGAAGATCTCGCGGGTGCTGGAGGCGTTTGCGGAGCGGTACTATGAGCTGGCGCCCGCGGCTTATGGGTTTGCCAACCATGACGTGGCGTATGTGCTGTCGTACTCTGTCATCATGCTCAACACGGACCTCTATAACGGACAGGTATGGAATGAGCGGGGTGGGTGGGGACTGGGGAAGTTCAGTGCAGGTATGTCATGGCGGCGCATGGGTTTGCGAACCATGACGTCGCGTATGTGCTATCGCCTTCAGTCATCATGCTTAATAAGGACCTGTATAACGGGCAGGTGAGGGAATCTGTAGGGGTGACTGCAATGGGGTGTGGCTTGTAGGGATGCTGCACCTCTTCACCTCATCATGCTCATTGCTCAACACTGATCTCTATAACGGGCAGGTAAGCAATGAGTGGGGTGGGTGGGGACTGGGGAGGTTGAGTGCAGGTAGGCCATGGTGGCGCATGGGTTTATCAACCATGACATCGTGTATGTGCTGTCGCCTTCCATCATCATGCTTAATATCGACCTCTATAACGGGCAGGCGAGGGAAGGTTCAAGTTGAGAACGTAGGGCATATAGCAGCGTATGTGCTGTCATACTCAGTCCTCATGCTCAATACCGACCTGTAGTATGGACAGGTGAGTGAATGCATGGGATCTGAGGGCCTTTTGGGATCTGCTACACGTGGGATATCGTATCCACCAGTGTGCATGCGCTGTCGTGCTCAATCATCATGCTCACGACTGACCTGTACGACGGACAGGTGAGAGGGTCTTTGGGCATCTTGCTTTTAGGCACATAGATCTGATCTGCCATGCATCCCCCCCATGCATCCCTCCCCCATGCATCCCCCCCCCATGAATCCCGCCCATGGATCCCCCCCCGGCATCCCCCCTATGCATCCCCCCCTATGCATTCCCCCCCTATGCATTCCCCCCTATGCATCCCCCCCATGCATCCCCCCCATGCATCCCCCCCATGCATCCCCCCATGCATCCCCAGCTATCCCATCCCCCCCAGGAAGTTCAGTGATGGCAAGGACCTACCGCCCGGGAGCTCCTCTCAGGCGTGTAGCACGCCGAAGCGCGCAACAAGATCAACAAGTCATCAAATGTCCTCTTCGCTGCTCCCACCTCCCACCTCTCCCCTTCCACCCCGCATTAGGTGCGGCGCAAGATGACAGAGGAAGAGTTTATCCGCAACAACAGGAAAATCAATGATGGCAAGGACCTCCCTAGGGAGCTCCTCTCAGACCTGTACCACGCCATCGCACGCAACGAGATCAAGATGTCCTCCGACGTCTCCCTCTCCTCCTCCTCCGCCTCCGCCTTCCCCGAGATGAATCTCAGCCGCTGGCTCGGGCTCATCCGACGGTCGCCAACTGCTGTGCCGTACATTCTCGCTGCCAGTGCTGAGCCTGATCTTTTCTCTTCTGCTGCTGCTGCTGATGGTTTTGGTATTGGTTCTGGTGCCGGTGCTCCTGCTGGTGCTGGTAGTGGTGCAAGTGGTGCTGGAGATGGGGAGGGAGGAGCAGACGGGAGGAGTGCAGCTGGCATAGGAGAGAGGGCCAGCACCGAGTCTCTCTCAAACTCCTCAGCCCATGTCGCCATCGATCAATCTCTCGACCCTGCCACTCCCGCATTCCTCGCTTCAGAATCCCTCCCCCCTGCCCCCCCTCTCTTACAGTCCTCCTCCCCCCCGCGCCCCTCCCCCCCATCCAAGCACCTCTCCACGCTCTCCCCGCCTCTCTCCAACCTCTCCCTCCCCCCCTCCTCCTCCTCCCTCTTCCTGCTTCAACTAGACAGGGACGTGTTTGCAGTGGTGGCAGGCCCAGCCATAGCCGCCATATCCGTTGTCTTCGACCACACAGAAGACGACGAGATGCTGCTCCGCTGCTGCACCGACGGGTTTTCCGCCGCTGCTGACGTGGCGGCTTTTCACGGGTTCTCGGGCGCGCTGGACGATCTAGTGGTCTCCCTCTGCCGCTGCACCACGCTTCGATTGAACCCCTCCGGATCGCTGCCAAGTGGCGCAGATCTAGTGGACAACGCAGCTGCAGTGGCGTTTGGAGAGGATACCAAAGCCAGGCTTGCTGCGGTGACTGTGTTTGGTTTGGCAAACAGGCACGGGGGGGTGGTCCGGGGAGGGTGGCGGAACCTACTCGATTGTGCGGTGAGGCTGCATAAGCTGGGACTGCTGCCTGCTCGTGTTATTAACGAGGCAGAGGATACAGAGGATGGGGCGTTCACGGGGGGGTTATACGCCTCTCCACAGCCCCAATACCCCCAGCAGCAGCCGCAGCAGCAGCAGATGGGAATCAGCCCCACCCCGTCCTCCTCCACCATTTCAACCACCACTGCTTCCACATCAACCCTAGCAATCACCAGCCCAGCAGCAGCTGCAGCGCGAAAGAAAGGAGCAGCAGGCAGCAGCGGGGGCGGCGGCGGCGGGCTGATGCTCCGCTTCTCCCAACTCCTCCTCCTCGATTCTGACGACGACTACTCCTACGGCGGCGCCAGCTCAGCGCAGCCCACAGAGCGCCAGGTGGCGGCGCGGCAGCGCACGGAGGAGGCGGTAGGGGCGTGCAGAATCGAGGATCTGTTTCGATCAACGGCTGAGAGGCTGCAGCCGGAGGCACTGATGCATCTGGTGAGGGCGATAGTGTGGGCTGCAGGGAGGCCGTTTAGGGGCGCGCTGGGGATGGGGCCTGGGGGCGCTGGTGGGGGGAGTGCTGGTGGGGCGGGGGCGGGTGGTGCTGCTGGTGGGGGTGGGGTGGGGGGAAGAGGAGGCGGAGGTGGAGGAGGAGGAGCAGGAGGAGGGGGAGGAGGAGGGGGTGCTGGTGGGACCCCGGTGGGGGGGAGTGGAGGAGGGGTGGTTGTTGGCCCTCTCTCCCCTGACGAGGAGGACACTGCCGTTTTCTGTCTCGACCTCCTCTTAGTGGTAACCCTACGTAACCGCTTGCGTGTGCTGCTCATCTGGCCGACCCTCTCCTCCCAGCTCGCGATCATCATGCAGTCGGCCAATGCCGGGCCGCCACCTGGCCCTCTGGTCGAACGAGCCGTCTTCGGCCTCCTCCGTCTCTGCCGAAAGCTGCTTCCAGAGGCGGACGAAACCCTAGCAGACGAGCTTCTGAGGTCGCTCCAGCACGTGTTGAGACTCGATGCCAGGCTGGCAGACGCGCTCTGTGAGCGGATCACGCAGGGCGTGCTGAGAATCGTGCGGGAGGGCCGGCAGAGTGGGGCGCTGAGGAGAGTGAAATCCCCCCCCGGGTGGAGAACCCTGGCTGCGCTGCTGGCTATCACAGCCAGGCATCCTGACGCTGCTGCTCCTGGCTTTGAAGCCTTGTCTTGGCTCATGGCTCCCATCCCCCCTGGTGCTGTTGCTCCCGGTGCTGCTCCTGCTGCTCTCGCCTCTGCGTTCTCTGGGGATTTTGCTGCTGCTGGTGGGGGGGAGGACTATGGGGAGGTGTGCACCGATGGGCCTCCCTGTGTGTCTCCGTGTAACTTCATCCCGTTCCTCGATGCGGCTCGAGATTTTGCCGAGGCTCGGGTGGGAGGCTCGGACCGGTCCAAGCGGGCGCTGGACCTGCTGGGATGCTTGATTGACTGCTTGCTGGAGTGGAGGGCGGCAGGGGAGGTGGAGCAAGCAGCAGAGGCGGAACGAGCAGCAGCAGCTGTGGCAGCAGCAGTAGCAGGTGGTACGGGCGAGGGTGACGGTACAAGTGATGCGCTTTCAGGTGTGAATTCCGGTGCGTTTTCCCCACAACAACAACCGCCCTTGTCAGCTGCTGCTGCTGCTGCGGGCCTCTCTCCTCAGATGAGCCCCATACCCGGATCAGCAGCAGCAGCAACACCAGGAGGGGGAGGTGCATCTGGAGCAGGTCGCTTCTCAGGCCAGGACTTAGCCGACCTGTGGCTGCGTCTTCTGCACGCGCTGCGCCGCGTGTGCTCGGACCAGCGGGAGGACGTGCGCAACCACGCGCTCATCTGGCTGCAGCGCTGCCTCCTGGCCGCCGACCCCCTGCGCATGCCCCCTCCCATGTGGGCGCCCTGCTTCGACCAGGTGGTATTCATCCTGTTAGATGATCTTCTAGAGGTCCATCTGAGGGAGAAGCCCAAGGAGTATCGGGGCATGGAGGCGTCGCTGCTGCGGGCGATCAAGACGCTCTCCAAGGTGTTTCTGCATTTTCTGGGCAGCCTGGCCTTGCTGCCAGGCCCGGGGTTCCGAGCCTTGTGGCTCGGCGTGCTGCTTCGGATGGACCGGTATATGAGGGCTGGAGGGAGCGGGGGCGGTGGGGGGAGGAGAGGAGGGGGGGGAGGAGGGGAGGGGAGAGGAGGTGGTGGGTCGGGTGAGTCTTTGAGAGAGAGTGTGGGGGAGGTGCTGAAGAACATGCTCATGGTGATGCTGGCACAGGGGGTGTTACAGGTCACTGACGCATCAGACACCGAGAGCCTGTGGAGCGCCACGTGGCGCGCTGTACACGCCATGCTGCCGCACTTAAAGCCCGAAACGCTCGTGCCTCCTGCACCGGTTGCACCTGCGCCCACAGCGGCAGCGGTTCCTGCTGCTGCTGCAGGGATGGAGGGGCAGCAAGCAGCCGCATCTGCAGGAGGTGGTGCTGTTGGTGATGGTGCGTTGGTAGCTGGGCAATGACGCAGGGCTAAGTGCTAGGGGTGCCACTGGGTGCCACTGAGTGCCACTGGGTGCTGGGGTGAATGTGCAGCTACAGGCAGTGGTGGTGATGGTAGTTTTGTCAGGTAGCTTCTGTTGGTTTCAGTATGCGCTGTTGTGAGGCAAATTGGCTGGGAAAGTAAGCAGCACTGCAGGATGGACAAAGCAAGCTGTGCCACAGGAACCAGGTACTAATTTTCAGGCTATGACTTTTTGTTACCGTGACATGGGATTTTTGCTGGTGGTACTTGGATGCGGGAGGCGTTTGGGCGTAAAGCATCGTTAGGTTTGTTAACAATCTTGGTGTTCTGCGGCTGCAATCAGGGATTCTCAGGTCGAGGAAACTAAAAACGCGGATCGTTTTTGGCAATAAGTTCAAGGTACAGAACAGCAGCCCCAGCGGGAGCGCAGGATTTGGAATTCGAGACCCCAGCCGAACTTCAGCCTCTTCCGCAGCACCGTTGTAAACCGTTATCCAGAATTTCTGAACTATGCAACCAAATTTTTTCCATTCGGCCTCGCCCCTGATCATTGTTCTCCCCGCAGGCTTGCTCCAACTTGTGAAGAGAACAAATGGCTTCCAAATCGGTTTATGTGAACAAGCTGCAGTGCTCTAGCTACTGATTCTAAACTGGCAAGCACTCTAGTTACTGATCGCGATCAGCTGCTCGTCTAGGGTATCTATCGCTCATGGACGTGGGTGAGGAGGACTGCTTGCGCGATCTACGCGAGGGATGCGAGTGGGTCGCTTCGCAGTCGACGCACTGCACAATCGACGACCGAGGTATTACCGTATTGACGACCAACGTAGAACTTCACGGGATGCCATATTCAAGTCGTGGCTGTTGCTACTTCGGTATTCCGACTTGACCAGGTTCAGTTTGAGAGGCTGAAACGGATTGGTAGTCTGACACGTTCCGGAATTTCCTGGTGTGGTTTGACTCAGCCATGCCTCCTCTTGACACTGTTGATCGAGTCTGCTCTTCCCTTAGCCGTGCCTGCTAATGGCCATTCTTTTCTAGGTTTCGGAGATAAATACTTTCCCGCTACTTTCCTGGTCGCGCTTTTCCGCAATGTTGTTCGTTGTATGGTCTCAACTCCAGGATTCCTGCCAACCTCTATCTTACCCATCCGAATCTCATCTTTCTGTTCCGAAACTCTTCAGCGGTTGAGGCGCTTGCGGATGCGCTATGCGCGTCAGATAGAGGTCGGTCTACGACGGGTGCTACGACCGCTGGTGCTACAACCGGCGATGCTTCAGTCCAGACCACAACTGATGCTACAAGCGATGCGACACAAGCCGGTGCTGGCAGGAGCACGTTGAGGCTACCGCCTTGGAATTTCGACGGAGTGCATTTCTACGACGGCGGGCCTCTGACTGTGCAGTATCTGCTGCTGCTGGACGCCCTGAACTTCTGCTTCTGGCCTGGTAACCTGGTAACACTGTTAACGCTGTAAAGCATCTTGTATTTGTGCTGTTGCTTCTGCTTCTGCTCAGCATCTTGGTTCTCTCAACTCTGCTCCTGGCCTGGTCACATAGTGTAGCTGGTGTAATATGCTGTGACATGCCATAACATGTGGTGTATTACGGTGTTACCAGGGTGTGTCCCTTAAACTAGCATGTGCCGAACTCCCAACCTGAATAGCCTCACCAAAACTATGCCTACTGCTCTCTTTCTCATCCGCCCCTTGCTCTGGAGCCTCTTCAGACCTGTAATGTGTCCTCTAGCCTCTTCTCTTCCCTTCCCTCTCACCTGTCGCAGACCCCTTTTTCGTTATGAGCACCTCGCATCCGGCCTTTGTGCGGCAGTGCAGTTCGACCCCAGGGGCATTGGCGCTCATTCCAATTTCTCTCGTCCTCTTCCTTCCTCCCCTCCCCTCCCATCCCCTTCCATCCCCTTCCATCCCCTTCCATCCCCTCCCATCCCCTTCCATCCCCTTCCATCCCCTTCCATCCCCTTCCATCCCCTTCCATCCCCTTCCATCCCCTTCCATCCCCTTCCATCCCCTCCCATCCCCTTCCATCCCCTTCCATCCCCTTCCATCCCCTTCCCTCCCCTTCCCTCCCCTTCCCTCCCCTTCCCTCCCCTTCCCTCCCCTTCCCTCCCCTTCCCTCCCCTTCCCTCCCCTTCCCTCCCCTTCCCTCCCCTTCCCTCCCCTTCCCTCCCCTTCCCTCCCCTTCCACCCCCGGCAGACCCCTCTCTGCACTACGAGCACCTGGCGTCCGGCCTACGAGCGGCAGTGCAGTCCGATCCCAGCAGTATAGATGCTGCTCGCCTCGCAGCACTTGATGGTGGGCTTGGGGGAATCATGGATCTTGGATGCTTCTCTCCATGGATTCACGTTGACTCACCGAGTTTGACCGCGGGATTGCTAGGATTCTGCTGGATGGGGATTTGTCTACCTGATAGTCTGTCAGGTCTCCTCTTTCCATGCTCTTTGCAGTCTAAGGCATGCGTGCTCTGCTCGACTTCGAGCCCTTCCCTCTCGAGCAGCAGCAGCAGCGGGTGCCTCTAATCAGCCCATCCCTAAGCCCGCCTTGAAGCCCCTCTCCCCCACCCAATCTCCCAGTCCCCGGCCTGCGTGCTCTGCTTGGACCCAAGCCCCTCCTTCTGGAGCAGCAGCAGGTGCCTCGAATCAACCCTCCACACCTGAAACCACCGCTCTCCACCCCTTCTTCCCCAGTCTCAGGCCTGCGCTCTCTGCTCGGCCCGAAGCCCTTCCCTCTGGAGCAGCAGCGGGTGCAGGCAGGTGTGGTTTTGAGGCTCTTTCTTACTGCCCTGTTGTTCCTCCCCACCCCTTCTCCCCCAGTCCCAGGCCTGCGTGCTCTGCTGGGCCCCAAGCCCTTCCCTCTGGAGCAGCAGCGGGTGCAGGCAGCACGGCAGGTGGGGCAGGTGCTGCTGCGGCGATTCAGTGGCAGTGCAGTGAATATGGTGGTGGAGGCAGGGGGGAGTGCGGAGAGGCTAGTGCGCCTGCTCACAGCCCACTTCACATGTGAGCATTGCCTGGTAGTTGAGTGGTTAAGGCAGTAGCGATGTTTGAGGCAGCAAGTCTACGCGGAGGGGTGCTGCTGTGGCGATTCAGTGGTAGTGCTGCTGCAACGAACATGATGGATGAAGCAGGGGGGAGTGCGGAGAGGCTAGTGCGCAAGCTCACAGCCCACTTCACATGTGAGCATTGCATGTGTCTGGAGTGGTGTCCACATTGATATGTGAGGCAGCAAGGCAGGGCAAGGCAAGGTGGGTTGAGGGGGTTTGCTGCGGCGTTTAGGTGGCGGTGCAGCAAATATGGTGGTTGAGGCAGGGGGGGTGCAGAGAGGCTAGTGAACATGCTCACAACCCACTTCATGGGCAAGTCATCATTTTCTCTCTTTCTTTTGCAGGAGACTTCACATGGCACATGGTACTTCACCTGTGCAAATTTCATATTTCGCATGTATTTCTCGGTTTTGAGGCGCCTCAAAACTGCATGTATTTCTCGGCCGGTATAGATATTCTTTTCTGCTGTGCACGCTGTCGCTCTATGCCCTCCCTCGCAGATTTCCAGGACCACGCAATCTACCGCGGCCGCCAGGTGGCGCTCTTCAAGAGGGCGCAGATCTTCGTGGCGGACGTGTGGGGCGCGTTCAACGGGCGTGGGCTGGGTCACTTCTCGGACGTCCACAGCCTCACCATGTTTGCAGACTACATTGTACCTGCCGTGCTGAGAAGCAGGGGCGTGCTCAAATACGCAGAGGGATTGGCGCAATCAGTGGATGGCAGGCAGCAAATACTAGCAGGTGAGGGGAGAGTTCAACTGGCATGGGCTGGGTCGCTTGCTGGTGTGCTGCTGTCCATTTCCCCAATGGCAGGTCCACACGTGGAGGTGGAGGTGAGAGCATGCAGCATTGGTGTTCCTTGGATAGGCTGGGAATATTACCTGACTGCTGTGCGAGGTGTCCGTCTGCCAGTGGCAGGTTCTGAGGAGGAGGTGGAGGTGAGAGCATGCAGCATTGGTGTTCCTTGAATAGGCCGGGAAGGCTGGGAATATTACCTGACTGCTGTGCCAGGTGTCCGTCTGCCAGTGGCAGGTTCGGAGGAGGAGGTGGAGGTGAGGGCGTGCTGCGTTAATTCGACCAAGGCGACTTTTGAGCCGCCTCAAAACAAATTACCTGACTGCTCTGCAATGTCCCTTCGGCCGTGGCAGGTTCGGAGAAGGAGGTGGAGGTGAGGGCGTGCTGCATTGTTGCGACGGAGCGCCTTCGAGTGCGATTGGAGCGCCGAGTGGGGAAGCAGGTGGGAGAGCTTTGATTGCTTGGACGCTCTCGGTGGGATGCAATTCGGAAGTTCCATTCTCCCATGATGCATTTTCTTGTGTGCATCCTGGTCTCTTCATTTGTGGTGTGATATGTGCTTCTCTCCACTCTCCGTGCTGTACGGCGTGTGCTGTTGGCAGGTTTTAAGTGTAGAGCTGGACTGGTTGCTCTGGTCGCTGGGAATGGAATCTACGGCTCCATTGTGTCATCATCGCACGATGACCATTTACTACTAAGAACGCCTTCGATGCAACACAGCCGTGCACTTGTTCTTGAGAGATAGCTGATGCTCATTCCTTGCCGTTATAAATATTGCCAGTGTACATAGTCTGTTGAGCCATGATTGGCTGTTCCTTGTACATGCACCTAGGGCGAGTCCCAAGAGCATATATGCTGAACGGAATATATGGTCTAAGAGCGTGTTCCTTCCAGCCTCCCAAGCAACCTCTTGTTAAATTATATCTTTGATACATAATTGGTGGGCTTGGTAGGTGTTATTGAAACCTACTATGGGGGGTACAACCCCCCTCCTTGTATCCCTCTCTTTTCTATTCTCTCCTATTTTCTCTAGTCAACTTCCTCTCCTAGCTAAACCCTCACGCCATTCTATGGCTTCCCTCCTACCTAGATTCTAGCATCTTTACATGGTATCAGAGCAAGTTGCCCTTCCTCAGCCTGCTCCCCACGCTTCCGCCGCGTACTCATACTTCAGTCGTAATTTATGCTACTTACCGTAATCCCTCGTATATAACACCAGCCGAAATAGTCACTCCGCGGGTGGTTTATGCGGGGGAGAGCTTATGATAGGGTGAATTTAGGAGAGCACCCGCTTTTCGGGGGCTGCATTTTACATAACACCCCCCTCGTTTTATGCAGCAAAGAACAGTATTTCGTAGTTTTTCAAGCTCAGCTCGATTGAGGAAAAAAAACTAATAGGATGAAAAACGCGATGTCAACTACCATTAGCAGCGAAAAAACGGGCAGAAACATCAACACAAGTTGCAGCGCGAAATCGAAACGTCAGCAAAGGTCGAGACTCGGGAGGATTTCGACCGTCGAAGTCGCGGAT